AATTCCTTTTTTTGATAGAGAGAGTGTGCATGCAAAAGAGCACGAGCAGAGGGAGCTAGATGGGCAGAGGGAGAAACAGACTCCCCACTGAACAGGGAGACACACTAGGGGCTCCCTCCCACGACCCTGGGATCATGGCCTGAAGACAGATGCCTAACCGACTGAGCCACCCCAACACCCTTGGATTCTAATTCATATCTTTATTATATATGTTGCAAGTATTTTCTACTCTGATAAGGTTACAACTTTTTCAGTTTTATCTGTACAAGCCTATCAGCAGGAGATAAGAAGGCACTGTGAGGGCATTTTGAAGGTTCTAAAGGAGTATTCATTCATATCACGTATTTTATTGAAATGTAGAGTTTTAGTTCTAATAAGTTTCCATCAGCATAGGGTATAAGATGGTTTTTAATAATGAATTTGTGTGGCTTCTAGCCTTCAACTTTTACTCTGAATGTGTTTTTCTTTCCTCCCCCCCCCCAAATTTCTCCTCACCTAATAACACAATCCCCCAACTGTTACTAACTGCTTGTTTAGTTGGCTCAGATAGTCTCCTGTCCACGGAAGCTGAGAATCTGTGAACGCCATACCTTGAGGCAACAAGGATGATCTGAAAAGAGCTATAGTGTGGGTAGCTTGAACCCAGACGGAAGCAGAAATTCTCAGCTCACTATTGTCTTGGCAATTGTGGCTGCTGCTCATGTCACCATTTTATCCAAGGACCAATTCTGGGTGAACAGCTCTCTTCACAGGACATCACATACGCTTTGTGGCTAACCTGACAGCCACTTCTTTTCTCAGTCTCCTTTCCTCATGCTTCCTCTTCTATATGACCTCCAAATATTGCACAATTTCTTCTCTATCTGTATTCAATCTATGATGATTTTATTCAGGGTCCTGCCTACAGATGGCAACTCCTCTGTACTCATGTATCACAGTTAATGACTTTGGCCTAAATCACTTCCCTGAATTCCACATTTATGTATGCAACTGCCAATTCACCTTTCTCATTCGGGTATCTAAAACGTATTTCAGGGGATCCCTGGGTGGCTCAGCGGTTTAGCTCCTGCCTTCGCCCCAGGTGTGATCCTGGAGTCCTGGGATCGAGTCCCACATCGGGCTCCCTGTATGGAGCCTGTTTCTCCCTCTGCCTGGGTCTCTGCTTCTCTCTCTGTATCTCTCATGAATAAATAAATAAAATTTTTAAAAATAAAAAAATTAAAAAAAAAATAAAATGTATTTCAAAACAAACATGTCAAAATTGAACTCTTGATCTCCCATATGTGCTAAAACCTGCTCTTCCTCTAGCCTCCTCACTGCATTGTGGCAATTCTGACCTTTTCCCCTTGCATTTGGAAAAAGTTACAACCTTCAGAAGAAAATAAAGCATCTAAAATAATAATGAGATTTTAAATTCATCTCTACAAATCTTGGATTTCTACATGGACAATTATTATATCTGGAAATAATGATAATTTGGCTTTATTCTTTTTTAGTCTCATAAATTATCTTTCTTTTCTTGGCCCATTGTATTGTTAAGGACTCCAATATATATTTTTTAAGACCTCCAATATATTTTTAATTATAAGAAGTCAGAACAGGAGTCAGCTAGTATTCTTTTTATTTTAAAGGGTATGTTTCTGACATTTCTCCATTTAGTAACGTGCTTATTGTAGCTTTTGGTAGATACCTTTATCCAACTAAGGAAGTTACTTTTTATTTCAGTTTGCTAAGAATTTTATGATGAATAGCTGATGATTTTAAATGACCATCAGGTGTACTTAATTTGATAAATTATTGTGGTAAATTACAAAAGTGGATTTTCTGATATCAGAAGATCCTTGTGTTTCTAGAGAAGATCCTTGTGTTTCTAGAAGAAATACCACTCGTCATATCAAATATATTGCTGAGTTCCATTAATGCTGTGTGCCCTTTTTCTTTTAGACTTTTGCATTTCTGTTCATAGATAAAGCTGAACCCTAGTTTTCTTTTCCCTTTCATGTTTCCTTGTGGTATAAATTACTTCCCTCTTTGTTTTTTCTCTCTTTTAATTGTGGGGAAGCATCAGGGTTGGAGGAGACCTCAGGGAGGGCTTGATTAGATCTTACATAGTGTCTTCAGCCTCTGGTTTCTCACCACCTCTGAGTTCACTTGAGCTCTTTGTGTTGGTAAAAAAGCCTGTATATATCCATCATGTAAAATGTAAAATAAGTAAAAAATAAAGTACATCTTTACCTTGTTATGTACTTTGTCAATTATTGAGCCAGCTCCTTGAAAATAGTGTGATTCTTTTAAAATTTTCTGTAAATACTTGAGTCTTATTTCTTAGGTGAATATCAATTTGCGATGTCACATCTTCCTGGAGCGTTGAACCTTTTGTCATCCTATAGTGACTCCGTCTCCCTAATAGTGCATTTTTACTTGAGACCTATTTGTCAGATATTGCTATAGCAACACTAGCCTTTAATTAGGGTCCTATTCACATACCTGTTTCTTCCCCTTTTATTCTTAAGCACTTTTGTGAGCTTAAATTTTAGGCGAGCCGTTTTAGCTGAATTGATTTCTAAGCAATTATAGTTGAATTTATTATTGTAGTTATAAGCTATCTTTGTCTTTTGAATTAAGTTTTTAAAACATGTGATAATTGACATGACAAATTTTTTTAAAAAATTGAAATTCAATTAGCCTCCATATAGTACATACTTAGTTTCATGTGTAGTGTTCAAAATTTATCAGTTGCGTAGAACCCCCAGTGCTCATCACAATTGTGTGACCTCCTAATGCCCATCACCCAGTTACCCCATCTCCCCACCGACCCCAGTTTGTTTCCTAGAGTCAAGAGTCTCTCATGGTTTTTCTCCCTCTGGTGACTTCCCATTCAGTTGACAATTTTTTTTTTCCTAAGGTCTTATTTTGTGTTTTCCATTTGTTCTGTTTCGTTATGTGTTGCTCCCACAGGTAGGGACCTGTCCCCTGCCCTGTCCCCAAATGTGTTTTCTTTCCTTATTTTCTTGCACTGAGGATTTTTTCTTCTGAGTTTTTAATACTGTCTTGGAAGTTACATGTGCTATATTATTTTAGCAATGACTCTTAAATTTAAATTCTCACAAGAACTTAAAGGGACCTTTGTGTCTTGGGTCTGATTCTTCCCTTTGTGTGCCTTCAGTCCTATCCACGTCATCATTTTGTAGAGCTTCTCTCTATGACAGCTTTTCTAGGTTTCACATCCCCTTTACTCTCCTGTTTATGTGCACCACACTTCTCTTCCCACTTCTCGTAACTCCTTAGTACTACTGCAGGGACTGGTTTTTTCAAGTTGGCCAACAGAGACGATTCACTTTTCTGGCTCCTTTGGCTATTCTTTGATCTTTGTCCTTTCCAGTTCAATGAAGAAATTAGTAAGCCCTGGAAAGCATGCAAAAACCATTCTTTTTAACAACCTTTACAGCACATTGCTCTTTGTCTGATGTACTGAGGTTTCATCTGAGTGGATTTTAAAAGGAAAAAACAATCTGCTGATTGAAATAGACTTCAGCCCGATCCCACATCCATGTCGTCCACAGATGGGCACTGTTTTCCCGTCCTTAAATTGGTATTCACATAAAAATAAGCATGTGATGAGATCCAATTGTCCATATATCTAAGCAATTTTTTTTTGTCTTATCATTTGTGAAGCATGGCCATGTCCTCCTGAAAACATGCTTAACAGAACCTAAATCCAGAGTATAGAAAAAAGGCAATGGATAGCAAGAGAACCAAGTTTTGGTGATTGCCTTCTCAATAGCTCACCTTTGGCTGGTCACTTCACCTCCGTGAATTTCAGCCTGTCTCAGGTTCTACACCTGCAAAATATGTAGCAGATGTATTAGTAACTTGTTGCTTTGTGACAGATTATCCCAAAATTAAATGGCTTAACACAACAAACATTATTTTCTCACATTTTTTTATGGTCGCAAATCTGGCTTTACGATAGCTGGATGCTTTTGGCTCAAAATATTTAGAAGACTGCCATCAAGGCATCTGCTGTCACTATGCATGATCCTCTTCAGACTTACTCATGTGATTGTTGGCAGGATGGAGATCCTTCAGGATTGTTGGATGGGAGTCTCAGTTACTAGAAGGCCATTGGCCAGAGACGTCTCTTAGTCACTTACCATGTGGTTCCATGCACAGCACATCTCATTTCCCCCAGAATGAGGGCTCCAGTAGAACAAAGGAAAGAGCAAGCCAGATAGGAGACATCATCTTTCTGTAATCTAAAATCTTAGAAGCAACATCCTATTATTTTTTCTTTATTCTGTTAGTTACAAATTATTAGGTCTAATCTACACTCATGAGAAAGATTTCTTTGTACTTTTTTTGTAGTTAGCCTTGTGCTCCTTCCAAATAAATGAGTTGCATGAGAAAGGGATTACATTCATTTTAGTCTCCACTTGAATTAATTAATAAATTACCATTAATTGTGGTATAAAGCAGACAGGTTTCTTAACTAAAAATTAGAATCTCTTTGGGTTTCAAGGAACAATTTGTTTCTGCTTTTGGGGAAGTTGAGAGACTATGTATGTACGTATGTATCTATCACATATATGTAACATACAGACGTAATAAACATTTAAAAGTCAAAACTGATTTTATTTCAAAGTTTATGAATAAAACAAAGTCCTTAAAAACAATGTAAGTGAAGCTTCATTTGTGATTTTGAGTTTCTAGTGATATAGTTATATTGTAGTTTAGGATATTTAAATAAAGTTACCAATTTTATTGTGATGGCAGATATGGGACTGCATTGTGATCCCTATGTTATTATATAATAATAATAACAGAGTAGGACATTGGCCAGAAAAATAAGTTTTGAGTACAAGCTGTGCATTGACTGGGGTATAGCACAATTTCTCTAAATATCATTGTAAAATGAACTTGATACCATAACCTCAAATTCCACTTATAAATTATAATGTTCCACAAAGAAATGGAATGATTTCACTCATCTTTTATTTCAGGCCACATGTGATCAGCGTGGGTGCTGCTGGAGACCTCAGGGGACCATAAATGTACCCTGGTGCTACTATTCTAGGAGTCATGGTTATCAAGGGGAGGGTGATGTTGTAAAAACGAATGCAGGTAAGCCAGCTCCTGAGGCAGGAGCTTCCCTTCTTTTGAGAAATAAAGCCTTTTCACAGCCCCTTTGACATACAGCTTAATTTTTACATGACTATTGCTTGTGAGTTTCCACAACCTTTTCCCCTCTACATACTAGGGTTCACAGCCCAGTTGAAGAGGTTGCCTTCTCCATCCCTATTTGGAAATGATGTCAACAATGTCCTTCTCACAGCAGAGTATCAGACGTCCAATCGCTTCCACTTTAAGGTTGTGGTTTATTTATTTAAAAAAAATTTTTTTTTAAAGATTTTACGTATTTATTCATGAGAGACACACAGAGAGAGGCCGAGACACAGGCAGAGGGAGAAGCAGGCTCCCCATGGGGAGCCTGATGCAAGACTCAATCCCAGGACCCCATGATTATGACCTGAGCCAAAGGCAGATGCTTATCCACTGAGCCACCCAGGTGCCCCTCTGTAAAAATCCTTTTGAAAAGTTCTCATTCTCTACCTGACGGCTACAGTTGTAACAAGATTGACAGTGTTGCTGACGGAAGCATTTTTGTCAACCGGCATTAGACTTCATACCTGTGTGTTGAAGATGTTTGTGGCCTTCTTTCAATGGGATAACTTCCTGAACATAGTCTATAGAGTCAAATGGTGAGGTTTGGCTTTCATTTAGTTGTCCATGATATCATGTGAAATGTAGTCAGGAGGGAAAATAAAAAGAATGATCACAGCTGTGACGATTCTAGAGCTAGTCTGTTTTGTAGACTTACAATGTATATTTCTACCTAAAGGCTAATTTCTACCCAAGTATTAAACATTTGCATTTGGTAGTATGATGGGTATGTCTACTTTTACGTCATGCCATTTGGCTCAGTATCCATATTCAGTACCATGAGCATAGTCATTGGGAAGCACTGCTGTTGGTAGGGAGGTTTCTGTTTTAGAAATACTGAGTTTTCATTTTGGCTTTCTTTTCCTTCATGTCCCGAGCAGTTAACTGATCAGAGCAAGGACAGGTATGAAGTGCCCCATGAACATGTGCAACCCTTTAAAGGAGATGCTGCTTCACCCTTGACCTATGAAGTTGAGGTTTCCAAACAGCCATTTAGCATCAAAGTAATCAGAAGAAGCAATAATCGTGTTCTGTAAGTTTTGAGAACCTCTCTGGGGATCAGTGTAGGAAGGACATGGGGGAGGGAGGTCTGTGAGCCTGAGGAAGGGTGTATGCATTACAATAGGACTCCCAAAGGTCATCAGCCCATGGTTGCTGACCAGGCTCTCCAAATGTATACTTTTTTTGCCTTCTCCTCTTCCGACTTTTTCTTATGTTGTGGTGGTGGTATTAAGCATTTATTGTAGTCCAGGAACTGGACTGGGTCCTTTTTTTTTCTCATTTTTATTACTGCATGATCATTTTTTTTCCTCTTTATTTTTCCCTTTCCTCCATCCATCTAACCAAGTATCTACCAATAACTATTTACAGAACATCTATTATCAGGTAAGAAGACTATTTGGGTCATGTAGTAGGATATCTAAGGGGACAAGAAGTCCTGATCTCTTGATGTCAGTGGGAGAACATCACAGGAGGGTGAATGGGACCAGTTAAACAGGGAATAATGAGTCATTAAAATGTAAAGGAACCTTTTCTGAAAGGTTGTGTCCTCTCTACTCTACTTGCCTGTCTGTCCCTGTGTTTTGCATTGGAATCTAGGCTGGACTCAGGCATTGGACCCCTCCTGTTTGCTGATCAGTTCCTGCAATTCTCCACCCGACTGCCCAGTGCTAATGTGTACGGTCTGGGAGAACAGGTGCACCAACAGTACAGGCATGATATGAATTGGAAGACCTGGCCTATATTTGCCCGGGACACAACTCCCAATGGGGTAAGCTTTAAGGATGGGCCCCTCTGCACTGAAGGTCAGCCTCATTCTTGAAGGTCACTTCTGGCAGTACAGAATAATAGTTAAGAGTGAGATTCTAAGCTGAGGCTGTGTAGGTTTGAATGACACTGCCACTCACCAATTAAGTGGTTCTGGGTGAGTGACCTCTATGCGTTTCCAGTTTCTCATCTATAAAACAGGGGTAATATACTTTCCTCATAGGGCTGTGATGGAAATTAAAGGAATTTATCCATATAGACTCTAGAGGAGCGTGTCTGCTACATAAAAAGTGCTCAATAAATGCCAAATACTCTTTATTTTATTTTCCTTTGGAATTAACTAGTTGTGGAGAAAAGATTACTAATATTGACTCTGCACACTAGGTGGGTTATTATGTCCATAAGTTTTGGGCTGACCTTTATAAATCACTAACTTATACCAGGCTTGTCAACAAAATAGGATAAAATATCAACTAAAATACTGTCTTGCTCATTCCTGTGTGAAGAATGTTTGGGGCAGCGAAATAATAAAATAAATAGAGTTTTGTTGCTATTGTATCATTTTTGTTTTAGTTTTTATATTGCTTTGACTGTGAAAATCCAAATCAGAGTTACTGTCTAGGCTCAGCAATATTACCTACAGATCTTGGTCAGCAACTTTCCTGATTAAGCAGATTAGCTTCTGGATAAAGAAGATAATTGGAATAATTTATTAAGTGATTATTTTAATATATGATCTCTAATTTACCAAAAGAACCCTTAAAAATAAGTATAATTTGCTCCATTTAACAGGCAAGGAACAGGCTCAGAAATAGCCTAATATTTTAAAAAGTTTGAAGTAGCAGAAATAGGATCTAACTCTGTGTAATGTTAAGCCCATGCTCCTTACTCTATCATACGCCTACCAGAAAGAATAGGTGCTGAGTCAGAAAAGCTCAGCTGGGAATTATTTAATAAGGAGTCTGGGACCTTTGCTACTCAAATGGACATCACCAGGTGAGAAATGTGGGCTCTAAACTCTTCCTTCCATTTACTGAATTAGAGTCTGCATTTAACTAAAATTCATATGTAATTTCTATTCACACCAAAATTTGAGAAATGCTGTTCCAGAGCAGTGATTTCAAACATGGCTACTGATTAGAATCTCCTGGAGAAATTTAACAAAATATCAATGCCTGCTTACACCCCCAGGGATTCTGTTTTAATTGGACTGGGATGCAGCCCCAGGTTGAGACCTATTCTTCTAAAGTCTTGGAAGATTAGCTCAAGTTCTAAAGTCTAGGTTCTAAAGACTAGAAGACCAGCTATCTTGAGTAGAGCTCCATCTAGTTGCACTTTAGAGAGATGTCTGATTCATATTAAGGCTTGACGGAGCTTTTGCAGATGGGGTTAGGTTGAGCCTTTTTGAGGGAATAGATTTTTTTGAACCACAGTTTCAAAGTTCTTGTTCTCTCACATTTTAACATATATCACAAGCTCACCTTTCTATGAGATAAATGGTCATAACTGGCTCAATTTAAAAAGAGGGTACTAATTCACTTGGTTGACATCAACCAAATATAGACTTGATATTTTATAGATTTATTTGTGTCTTCTTTGACCATGAGTTCCCTGACAATTATTCATATGATTAACCCTGATTTCTTTTTTTTTTTTTTTTTTAGATTTTATTTATTTATTCATGAGAGACACAGAGGGAAAGAAAGAGGCAGAGACATAGGCAGAGGGAGAAGCAGGCTTTCTGCAAGGAGTTCCATGTGGGACTCAATCCCAGATCCTGGGATCACATACTGAGCTGAAGGCAGACGCTCAACCACTGAGCCACCCAGGGTGTCCCAACACTGATTTCTTAAGTCATTTCCAGCTGTTTGGGGTTTAGATTATTAGATGGTAAATTTGTATTTTTAATTTTCTTTCTCCAGGATGGAACTAACTTGTATGGTGCACAGACATTCTTCCTGTGTCTTGAAGATGCTAGTGGATTGTCCTTTGGAGTGTTTCTAATGAACAGCAATGCCATGGGTAAAATACTAAAGGCATATTCATGGAAAAGATGGATAAGAACAATTTTCAGCACTGTGATAAAAGGAATAGAGCCTTTTAGGAATGGCCAAGCCATAGCTCAGGGGCTTGCATGTTCTCTGATTGTCCCATCTGTAGTTCATTACCTTTTGTTATATGGTGGCCATGAGTAGGGCTTTTTCTCCTAGCTAATGATTTTCTTGACTCTGGTCGCCTCTTTTAGAATATTTTCTATTGCAGAGTTAAAAACAACTAAGCCTTTCCTATAATTTACTCAGAGGCAGTTTCTACTAATTTGTTCTTGTCCTTTAGACTTTCATCCAGTAGAGGGGTTGATAGAAATGCTCGTAAGAAAACAGCCAAATGCCTTGGGCCTAATGGGCCTAACTAGGTAGCTACAACTGAGCAATGAATATTTCATTCAGATAATCCACAGGTAGCAAGGCAAAGTGGAGTCGCAAGGGTCATACACAGTAAGACCAATTTGTTTAAGACCAAACAATGTAACATTACAGGGATTCCAGAAAGTAGCTAGCTTCCCCATGTTTGAAGGTTTAGACAGGATCAGTGATGCTCCAGTTTTTTTTCTGCTTGCACCAGTAACAATGGATCTCAGTGGCAATGAATCAGTCACCACAGGGGTAGAGGAGATGTATTAGAATCTCTCAGGGTCGATAGGATATTGATCCCTACCTCTTTTCAACTGAGAATCAATGGACTGGATCAGAGCTACTCAAAGCATGGCCTATGGATGGTTCACAGACTGTTTCAGGTCTACAGTAAAATGAATATAGAAATGGAAAGTAAACATTGCTGTAGCATCCAAGTATGTACACGAACCCTTTTCTAGTAATTTGTTTTCATGTTATTTTGTGGAAAGTATCAGATTGCAAAGAATTAGAAATTTAAAACATAAATCTCTGATCCTTCATTTGTAGATTGAGACTCACTCTAGGTGATCTAAAATGCTTCTAAAATACAGAATAGTCTAAGAATTGACTGAGATAGTACAAGGATTGTACAGTTTCAGGGTGTTGGAAGGAACCAGAAAACAAGTTAAGACAGGCTTAAAGGGCAAGTTCTCAGGATCTTAGATACTCTGTGTGAGTTGTTCTTATGATCGAAGACTACATTCAGTAGATCTTGAAGCCTTTTTTCCTAAATGCAAACCGAGGCTATGGGGAGACTTCTCTGAGAATTGTTATTGAGGCTTAGATAGATTTTGAACTTGTAATGTTGTCTCTGACTTTTTTTAGCTTGGCTTTTGCCTGAAGTGAGATTCGCTGAGGCTAGTACCTCAGTGTGTCTAATTGGGCTATGTTCTTGCAATGGTGATGGGGTATGGGGCAGGAGCAACGGGTTTTGTAATTGTGAATGTCAGAGAAGAAAAACTTGAGGGGGGCACTTGGCGGGATGAGCACTGGGTGTTATGCTAAATGTTGGCAAATTGAACCCCAATAAAAAATAAAAAATAAATAAATAAAAGTTGAATGCAAAAAAAAAAAAAAAGAAAAAAGAAAAACTTTTCCTCTGCCCTCGCAGGTCCAGTATTTGGGGTCTGTGAGTCAAAGGGACAAGAGATAGGTTAGCAAGAGAAAAGACAGTTTATTTACATGTGTCACATAGGTACACAGGAGAGCGCTCAGCAGAGTAACTTCTCAGAGGGGTGGTTAGAATTTGGGGCTTATATCCCACCTTGATATGTAAATAGGAGGGGGAAGAAAGGGTACTTAAGGAAAAACAAATGACTTTTGGGAAAGATAAATGAGCCTTTAGGAGAACTGCTGGTGGATAGGATATTCTTATGATAATGTCTCTTTGGGTGTCCTGCCAACCTATTGACTCAGAGAAGATAGAGTTGCTTCAGGGGTAGGAATTTATGACAACTGAGTTTATTTGGAAAGCTCTGCTTTTTGGCTGATTACGGATTTCAGAAACTCAAATGTCTTCAGCTTAAAATAATTTCTGTGCTACAGTGGCTTATTCTGGACCCCTTCACAAAACTGAGTGCTTTTTCATGAAAGCCTGAGTCCTGATACAGTAGTGAAGACACCCCAGTCACCGATTAATCAAAACCTGTCACAGATCAAAGGCTTTGCCTCTCTTGTGCTGCAAGGGTGGACTTGATCATCAGAATGTGTCCCTTTGTATACAAAATTTGAGGCATTAGATTCACCTTCTTAATATTCAAATGATTGGCTATCCTTTGGTCTAAAACTTTGCAGTTATTACTCTAGAGTAAATTCTAATTTTTATGTTTTTCACTTTTAAATCTTGCAAGAGGTTGCCCTCCAGCCCACCCCAGCCATCACTTACCGCACCATCGGGGGCATTCTCGACTTCTATGTGTTTTTGGGAAACACTCCAGAGCAAGTTGTTCAAGAGTATCTAGAGGTAAACTTACAATATCATGATGATGACTGAGGAAATAAATCCTAAATCATACAAAGAAAAGTAAATTTAATATGCAGATGTGAGGCACAAAAATCTGCAGTTGGAAGTAGCTATTATAAATCTGCTACTACAAATCTATCTTACCCTCAGTGATTTATAGAGGGGCTAGGAGACTAGGCTAACATTCCAACATTAATGAAATGGTGTATTGGAAATTGGAGTATGTCTTGTGCTGCCAAACCAATGCTTACAAAATTTTGTTAAAGATAGAGTATTTGCTAACTTTTATTTCATGTACTTCTTTCAGCTCATTGGACGGCCAGCCCTTCCCTCATACTGGGCCCTTGGATTTCATCTCAGTCGTTATGATTATGGAACGCTAGAGAGCATGAGGGAAGTTGTGCAGAGAAACCGTGTGGCTCGGCTCCCTTATGTAAGTCAGGCTTTAAACATCCTCCAGAAATAAAGGAATTCCCTTGGGGAATAAGAACAACTTCTTATGCTTTCTCTCCTGGAGTTTTTTTTTTTTAATATATAATAAAAAGAATTTTACATATTCAGAATGCTAGACTTTTTTGCTGGGCCGGCCATTCCCCTAAGGAACCCGTTTTTTCATAGGAAATAATACTTAGAGACCACAATTTTGGAGTTTGGAGGCAATCTGTTTGTCTGTTTTTCTTATAACATTTTATTAGTAACATTTTCGTATGCTTACCATATTGACTACTTTTATATTTTTTAATTTTAGTTCTCAAAGCATTTCTTTCCTAGTTTAAGTGAGCAAAAGCACATAGTACATAAACATAATAATAGAATATTTTTATATTTTGAATGGCTCAACTTGAACATATCTGTTCTATCATGGAGAGTAAGGCTTTTCAGGAGGTGCAAAGGAGAAAGCCCAGTAGTCTCTGGAATAATCCTTCTCTCCCATACCCCTTTCCCTTGAAGGCAGACACATAGATCTTGAGTAAGAATCAATTTCATTCTGGGCACCACTATTATCATACAGGTAAAATTAGGAAAAAAATAAGTGCCAAAGAAAACTTGAGTTAGAAGAAAGGCAACGAAACAAAACATGGGGCAGTAAAATGACAGAGACATGGGACAAACTGTCTCTTCTCCCTTTCAGCTTGTGGATGGGGTAGGATTTAGGTATGCATATAATTTTGATTGTTGTAATTGTTATGGTTTGTTAGATTGGCTTTTAGTGCTGGAGTGCAACAAGGCCTGGTGATGCAGTTAACCTGATTCCAGGGGTGGGGGTCAGGCCTTAGGGGATACAATGGATCGTCTGTTTTTGAAATTACTAACGGAGAAGAAACACTTCGATGCCAGGGACTGATCTAGAACCTGGTTTCTAGCCCAGCACAGAGTCAGTGTGTATGGGGGTCTTAACAGTGATCATTTGACTGAGTCATTTGAACAGGGAAATTCCTGAGTGCTAAATTGTGGACTTTGCCTACACTTTTAGGATGTGCAGCATGCCGATATTGATTATATGCATGAGAGGAAGGACTTCACTTATGATCCAGTAAATTATAAAGGCTTCCCTGAGTTTGTTAAGGAGTTACACAATAACAGTCAGAAATTGGTCATCATTGTGGTATGTGTCATCCTCTCTTTCCCCCAGATCAGTGGCTTGCTCTTTCTTATCTTTGCAGCCACCTCTTTCTCCTTTGACCCTCAATTTCCAGTCTCCTTTCTGTGCCTCGAGCTTGAAGCTGAGTCCTTCATTATTTCTTTCCTCTTCTTAGGATCCAGCCATCTCCAACAACTCTTCCCCCAGCAATCCTTACGGCCCATATGACAGGGGTTCAGGTGCAAAGATATGGGTGAATGCTTCAGATGGGTTGACGCCGCTCATTGGAGAGGTAACTGAATGGGGGACCTCGGGACTTCTGGGGGGGGGGCCACTGTGGCAGAGTGTGTGTGTGTTTGTGTGTGTGTGTGTGTGTGTGTGTAGTTGCCTTGACACTTTCAAATGCCTTATATATTCTGGAGATAAACTTGTTCCTATCTCTTCATCCCTAGACACCTAGACACCTCTAGCTCATGCATGCCCCCCACAGCTGAATCCCTTTGAACAGTAGCCTGCACCCTGAATACTCATGTCCTCGTGTCCCCTTCACTCTCCAGCTGACAGTAGGCTTCATGGCACTGGTGCTGCCCTGACGGATGCCACCACATACCTCCTAATCACCAGGTCCAATGGAACTGGTTCATTCCTCTCCTTTGTAATACTTGACCAATTTGACTACTTCATCAAACTTTTGTTTGTCCATGTTTTCATGAGGGTGTGATCTCCTGGTTCACTTCTAACATCTCTGCTGTCCCAAACACACACAAGTGTCTGAGAGGACGTGGGTGGCAGGAAATACAGAAGAGGAAATGATGCTCTGAACCCACAACTTGTGACAGCTCAGTGGACACTTGGACAGGACTTTCCTGAATTTGCTGTTCTTGGGCCTGGAACTATAGAAAGTGAGGGGGAAGGTGTAGCAGAGGCAAAGATGAACAATGTAGATGATGCCTGTGTCCGTGGATTCCTTTATTTGGGGCTTTATTGGTTTTTAAAATAAGTTTTTCCTCATATGACCAACTGAGTCCACCTGACATTTATTATTATTGAGTATTTGGGGTGCTTCCCATTCCCAACTGGAAAAAGCCTGTGCCTAGATATCTCCATTGCCATGACCATATTGGGAATCTCTTTGCAAAATACTCTGTTTTATCCTATATTCGTTTAATTGACTCTGGTCAATGTTTTTCTTTTTCTACTGTAGGTCTGGCCTGGAAAAACTGTGTTTCCTGATTATACCAACCCTAGCTGTGCTGTTTGGTGGGCAAAGGAATTTGAGCTTTTCCACAACAAAATAGAATTTGATGGAATCTGGATTGTGAGTCCTTATTACTGAATTTTCGGTGACTCATGTTTAGACTGTGTATCTATGTCACTGAGTCAAGGAACATGGCAGGAAGGAGATGAAAAGAAAGCACATATAGCAGTAATTCTAATATTCCCTATGTTACTATTTAATATTACTGAAACATGTAGCTTAGAATCTAAATCAGATAATTAGTTCTGGAAGTAAACTCAGAAGTTTGTTTTTTTTCTGAATCCAGCTCTTCTTTTGAAAATGGATGGGTTGATGGTGTAACTAGATGATGGGCATTAAGGAGGGTATGTGATGTGATGAGCACTGGGTGTTATATGCAACTGATGGATAACTGAACTCTATACTTGAAACTAATGATTACTATATGTTGGCTAATTGAATTTAAACAAAAGCTGAAGTAAAAATAGGTCACATATGCCTTACGTTGTTGCTAAGTACATGGATTGTTCAATTGCCAGTTCAGAGCTCTTTCATTTGAACACGTTGGACAGATTGATCAGAACCAAAGTACCCAGTGATAAATGACAAAGTTGTGGGGGTGGTAAGGACAAATGTCACCCATAATATCAAATGAAAACAAATGCAAAGCAGCAGACATTCAGGAAATTTTAGGGGGCTCTAGAGTTGAACTTTTTTCTATCTTTAAGAGAAATGTAGAAAATTAGGACAATACAGAGAGCTAAAAGGGTGAAAGCAAAGCCCCTCTAAAAAGTTATCAATTGCAAACATCTACCATCAATATTTTGGTGTGCATCTTACCAGACCCCTCACCTGCTCAGCTATTGGCAGGGGCTTATCCCTTCATCTCTCTATGTATATATTAGTATATATGTATTAATATGCGTGTGCATTCATAGCTGTATTTGGAAATATGGAGAATGTATAAGTTGATTCGGGCACCCAGTGCACATTGCATCATGTACCCTCCTTAATGCTCATTTCCATTTATATGGAATCATATAAATTGAGATCTTTTTTCACGTAATATTTTTGAAAATGTTTCATTTCCCACAATTATAGACATATAGCATTTTTAAAAATTTAAATTCCATTAGCCAGCATATAGCATTTTGAAGGGATTTTAAGAGACTTCTCTGTGAAACCTTCAGTGGGTAGAGAAAACAGGAAGATCTGTTTCTGTCTTGTGCATAAGAACCTCTTTAAAGAAGAAATATCTAGAATCATTTCTCTGATTCCTTAAAAAAATGGAGATAAACATTAGTACAACGTAAGGGGGCTTGTCACTTTTCCGTCATGGTAGTTTTACTCTTTGTCTTGTAGGATATGAATGAAGTCTCCAACTTTGTTGATGGTTCCATTTCAGGGTGTTCCACGAGCCATCTAAATTATCCCCCATTTGTTCCCAGTAAGTCTTGGTGGTAGTATGATTAAATTGGCAATGCATATTTGGTATTTTACATTCATAAGGATAGATATGAACTACCTAGAAAAGAAATTTGTACATGTATGTGCATAGGGAGAGGAAAATGTGGGTAATATATACCAAAAATTAGGAAAGAAAATCAAAGCACTCCAAGCTTTCCTAAATGAGGCATAAATTAAATGGAGGCCACTAGTCTTTTTACCTACCGTCTGGGCTGTTTCTAGGGGAAGGTCCAAAGAACATATAGTACAGAAGCCAGAGGCTAGTGATTAGTTTTTATTACTCTAGAGTGAGTATCTCCAGAGGTCAGGGCTTACAAGAGAAAGTCCAGATAACCAGGCTTGGTCTTCAGATGAGGGTGAAGTCTGGTGATACCAAGAATGTGAAGAACAGACATGAACTGTAGGATGAAAAGAAGCCAGAACCCAGGCTTTGAAGGTCAAAGTCAGAGTCAGTGAATATGATGCTATTGAGCTCCGACTGAACTTTGAACAACACCATCTCTCAGGGTATGGCCCTGGAATCACGGCATTTATTGTAGTTTGAAGGAAGCTAGAGGATCACTGATATATTTTATCTTTATTAAGGAAAGAATGTGGTGCTAGCATTATGGCATCTTATGAAGACTTTTAGTCTAATGAGAAAATAGGAAATTGGGGCAGATGGGCCAGGGATTTGGGTGGGAGGCTAAATAGTTCACATTTAATTCTTTAGTGATGGAAGCTATTTATGTTTTCATATAAGGGAAATAGGATAGTTGAATGGTTTGGGATATATTAATCTGGTGCTAGTACAGTATGAATTCGAAGATCAATAGATCAGAAGTAAATAAGCCATTAAGAAACTACTGCAGTAGTTAAGATGCAAAGGTAATTGGGATCAGAGTCAGGATGGTACAATGGGAGCAGAAAAGAATAGAAGTATGAGAGATATTGGGGAGGTAGCCTTTATACAATCCGTCAGTGGAGAGAAGAAGTGAACAATAAATTTACACTTTCATCAAATATTTCTATTCTCAAACCACATGATTTGGCTCAGTTAGAAGAATTCAGATTAAATCTCAAGTCTAATTGGATCCTCTGGCTTCCAAAGGCCTGCTTTGAGTCAACGTGAGTGCCCAGGGTAGAAGAATGTGTATGGGGCAGCACAATTTATTTATATATCAAGAAACTACTCCAAATGTATAACCCTCTGATAGTGAGGAAGCTGTGTGGCAGGATGGCCACAGTAAACCCCCACCCAAAGTGCCACGATTCCTTCCAGTTTCTGCCATATGACAGTCCAGGAGCAGGGAATGTGCATCTGAGGCTCTCACTGACTGATCCCTCTTTTGCCCCAGGAATCCTGGATGGGTACCTGTTCTCCAAGAGTCTCTGCATGGATGCAGTGCAGCATTGGGGCAAGCAGTACGACGTCCACAATCTGTATGGCTACTCCATGGCGATCGCCACGGCAGAGTAAGGCCACTGCTGCTCTGGACTTAATACATGATCAAAGTATTGATCTTTGTTAGATTCCAGGTGCCAGGGTGTTATTTTTAAAAACTCTGCAAGATAAATGTGGTTATTATTACTGAATGAATGAATAAACTACCTGGCACATAAAGAAGAAGGAATCCAATAAATATTTGTGGAATGTATAAAATCAAAGAATGGATGAATTTGAAAACTACATCTGAAACTAATGATGTACTGTATGTTGGCTAATTGAAATTAAATTTAAAAAGACAATGCATAGAATTTAAAAAATTATTTCCATTAAGCTATAGGAGAAAATAAATTTTGAACTGACAGATAATGTCAAAAAAAAAAAAAAGAATGGATGAATATATGAATGAGTGGAAGGTTGGAAGAAATAAAGGGAAGTAACTTGACCAAGGGCAAACAGCCAAGACGTTGTAAAAGCAAAATTTAAATCATTTTTGCATGAATCCAAAATCCATGTATTTTCCTCTCTGCTACACTGTATAGATGGAGTATGGAGGGTAAAGTAACTTATAGACTCCTTGAGCTTCAGGGCTTTAGATACTGGCTCAACTTCCACTGTGCTTTGTCTACCCTGGTGTATAGACTCAAGTTCTACAGTGAGGAAAACGTACTGAGATTTTACTGTAACTTTGTCAGCAGGAAGTCAGAACAAAACCACATTCCTTCATTAGCAAAGTCATAGTATAAGTTTAGCCTTCTTGAAAGTTGTTTTAAAAATTGTAGAGCAAAATTTTTAAAATATATGTGTGGGCTTCTTATTTTAAAAATATAGATGATAAGTAATTGTAAAAGTACACAAAAGCATCTACAAATTTAAAATGTCTTTTTTTTTTATTACAAAATTATGGCCAAAGTGTTTCTATTTAAAAAGAACGTAAGTTCCAAAAGGCTGGTCCTAAGGTCATTTTTTGCATATGCTTAAAATAGCACAATGTGCAAGATCAATGTTTATACATCTATATAAAGATAAATTTCACCTTTATAAAAAAATATTTACCTTTGTTCCATAAAAATTGGATACTAGCCTTTTCAAGGCTGCTTTTAAAAATCTTGGAAATTAAAGATTTAATGATGTACTTAAAACAAATCAAAACAAAATGTAAATATACTTAATGCTGCAGTCTGCTTCTGTAGCAACTCTAACCCTATTGGAAAGAGCTAAAAGAGAATGATCTTCGGCATGGTCGCTGTATCTGTGGGGCCAAGTCATGCTGAGATCACACATTGATTCTAAGTTTCTCTCCCTGTCTAGAGCTGTCAAGACCGTGTTCCCTAATAAGAGAAGCTTCATTTTAACCCGTTCTACCTTTGCGGGATCTGGCAAGTTTGCAGCCCACTGGTTAGGAGACAATGCGGCCACCTGGAATGATCTTCGGTGGTCTATCCCTGGCATGCTCGAGTTCAACCTTTTTGGTATCCCAATGGTGAGTCCCCATCCCAACCTTAATCCCCAGAAAGCCTCATTACAGAAAATTCTGAAAACATGGAGCTCACCTCTCCCACCCTTCCTGGCTCAGGGGTTTAATGTCTTAAGAACAATGGCTTCATTTATATCATTATAGTTCTGATATTACTACATTCTTTCCTGCACTGACTTATGAAGAAGACAGTGCACCCCTGACGTGCTATCACTGGAACATTTTTTCTATTAAAGTATAACATACACACAAAAACATATACATATACTTAAGCATGTAGTTGATGAATTTTACAAGCTAGACACATCTGTGTATCCAGCACCCACATAAGAAAACCTAACGCTGCCAGGTCCCTAGAGGGTGCGTTTGACATCTTTTAGTTAAATTCAACATACGTATCTATGGAACTCCTTCTATGTGCAAGGTACTAAGCTAGGTACTCATGGTAAGGGTAGAGAGAAGCATAAATATAGTAACAGAAACACCTTCTCTTTGCCTTATATATAAAATATAACAAATAATTATGACAAGTTAGGGACATATAAATTAAACGTTGAAGGAAATCCTGCGCAAGATACTTTTTAATTCTGACAAGATTACAAGGAACACAGAGAATCAGGAGAAACTTCATGGAACAGGTTGCACTTGAGTTTACCCTTGAAAAGTGGGTTTATCTTGGGAAGCCTGGGTGGCTCAGTGGTTGAGTGTCTCCCTTTGGCTCAGGGAGTGATCCTGGGGTCCTAAGATTGAGTCCTTCATTGGGCTCCCCGCTGGGAGCCTGCTTCTTCCTCTGCCTATGTCTCTGCCTCTCTCTCTCTCTCTCTCTCTCTGTGTCTCATGAATAAATAAATAAAATCTTTAAAAAAGTGGGTTTATCAGATTAATGGGGAGGTCATTTTAAGATTGAGAAATAAACATGAGGAAAAGTAGTAAGGGGGAGAATTTATGTGTCTATAAGGGTTGGTTTGTAGGACCGGCGTAGAAAGTGATACTGGAAGGGTGGGTTGGAACCAGGTTTTGAGGAGGTGCTAGCTAAGCTGTGAGGAGACCTGGAGATGTTTGAATAAGTGAGTGACAGAATCAGATTAGGCTTTGGAAAGTTAGTTCTGATAGTGATGTGGCCAAAATAATAATACCAGCGGTAATTCTAGTTCTACCCATCAAAAAGCTCTTATTGTATGGCAGGGCATACAATATGCGTTGGTGTCCACCTCTTGGTTCAGCTCAGGTCATGGTCTTGGGATTGTGAGATTAAGCCCTGCCTTGGGCTCCATGCTTACTGGGGAGTCTGCTTGGGATTTTCTAGCCCTCTGCCTCTGCCCTTACCAAACTGCCGCCACCCCCACCCCGACCCCCTTGCACACTCACACACACTCTCTCTCTCAAATCCATAAATAAATCCTTAAGAAACAAAACCTATTGTATGTCAAGTGTTTTACTTCCATTATGTCATTTACTAAAACCCTGTGTGGGTAATTAATGTCCACTTAAATGAAATGAGTAAACTGAGGCAAAGAAAAATGAAGTAGCTTTGTCATGGTCTTCTAAGAGTAAAGAGTGAACATGAGGAGTGCCTGGGTGGCTCAGTTGGTTAAGTGTGTGACTCTTGATTTGGCTAGAGCCCTGTGTTGGGCTGCACACTGGGTATGGAACCTGCTTAAGATTCTCTCTCTCTCTCTCTCTCTCTCTCTCTGCCCCTCCCCACCTAAAAAAAAATATGTAAAAGAGTGAACATGGGATGTGACCCAATTCTGACCACACTCTATAACCCTTCTCAGTAAAAATTGGCAAAGTGAATTTGGGAGGTCCCTGATATCAAGCAAAGGGGGCAAGATGATGGAAATGAGGTATATATCCTGTCTGTGTGTCCTTCCAGGTGGGTGCTGACATATGTGGCTTTGCACTGGACACCTCTGAGGAGCTCTGTAGGAGGTGGATGCAGCTGGGAGCATTTTATCCATTTTCCAGGAATCACAATGGCCAAGGCTACAAGGTAAGTCTCCCAGGAGACATGATTAAGATAAGTTTGACATATGTTAGAGCTGGATCTGTCTGCATCCTCGCCAAGACATCTGCTGAGCCAGCCTCCTACCTGGTGCTTCACTTAGGCTAATTTGCAATTAACCAGGGCCTCTGGCATGCCATGAAAATGCTCTGCTGTCACAGACTCTGCTCTTGGTAGTGCTACAGTCAAGGAGGTGGCGGGTCTGTGAAGGTTCTTACCAGATGTCTGTACATTCTATCTACATTGCTCATTTTGTAATGAGAATCAGATGAGGAAATATTTCTAAATGATTGAAATGACAATCTGCTGACAGAGCAAGTCCTAAGTGTGAATGAGGCTGGATGAGCTGCCAGCTGAAGAATGGTACTTACTTGGTGACGGGATCTCCCTCTACCCACCTGTGCTGCTCAGAGGCTGAGTTTACACCCTAGGCCCCAGGCCTTTGGGGAAGGGAACTCTTGGTTCTGATGAATGGGTCTGGAGTTCTCCAGATGCTTCTGTTATTCATAGTCGGATCACAATGGCAACCTCTTCTTCCTCCCAGGCCCAGGATCCTGCCTCTTTTGGAGCTGACTCTCTGCTGTTGAACTCCTCCAGGCACTACCTTAACATCCGTTACACTCTATTACCCTACCTCTACACCCTCTTCTACCGTGCCCACAGCCGGGGAGACACAGTGGCCAGGCCCCTTATGCATGAGTAAGTTCACATCATCCAAAGGGGTTTTGTTATTGTGACTGGTGACCCAACATGGTCTGTTAATCAAATATCAGAGTGGACATTGAGACACTTCAAGTGGTTATTCAGACATCTATATATCTATATCTATATCTATTAAAAGATTTTATTTATTCATGAGAGAGACAGAGAGAGGCAGAGACATAGGCAGAGGGAGAAGCAGGCTCCCTGTGGGGAACCTGAGGTGGGACGCGATCCTGGGACTCTGGAATCATGCCCTGAGCCAAAGGCAGATGCTCAACCACTGAGCCCCCCAGGCATCCCAATCTATATATGTATATTTTAACTGAAATATTCAGTTGGCATTTGCAAGGCCACTGCTGCCTCCATACTGTTCTAGAGGTATATTTAAGGTATATTTAAGTGGAATAGCCTGCTCCCTTTTATGGATAGAAGTAGACTAAAATCACAGGACTTTGAGGTCTTTGTTCTACCACCAACTAACTTAGACAAATCATTTAAGTTCTTTCATCCTTCTTTTCTTGATTCTTAGTTTAAAGGATTTGATAGCTTGAACAGAATGGTGTCTTCTGTAACACACTATGTTTAGGTTCTAGGATGAACCTATCATTTATACACGAATAAGAATATTATAGAGGATTTCTAGAGTTCCAGAATCTTTACTGCCAGCCTTTACTGCCATCTCCAACTTAACTCTGAAAAAGGGCCCTAAAGACACTTTCCTTGTCAAAATGCAGTTAATTCTCTTAGGGATCTGACATTCTAGGCTCTCAGGCACATATCTGCTATTATTATTATTATTATTATTATTGTTATTAATTATTACTATTATTACACATTCATTATTTTTTTAATTTTTTTTATTATTTATTTATGATAGTCACACACAGAGAAAGAGAGAGAGAGAGAGAAGCAGAGACATAGGCAGAGGGAGAAGCAGGCTCCATGCACCGGGAGCCCGATGTGGGATTCGATCCTGGGTCTCCAGGATCGTGCCCTGGGCCAGAGGCAGGCACTAAACTGCTGCGCCACCCAGGGATCCCACATTCATTATTTTTGAGTCACTTTTTACCATCTCCTGGAATTTTCTGTTAAAAGGCAGATACCCTAAAAGGGTAGAATTTTAAATTATCTGCTAATTGTGATTGTACCCAGTTCCTTCTTGATAGTCAACTGAAGTTGTAAGATGCATTGCTTATTTTACTTATTTTATTTAAAGGGGGATGTGGTGAATAGACTTGCAGTCTGGACCCTGCCTCACATATGTCCTGGAATAGGCACCTGTGTCCAACCAGGGAGAAGAAAAGGAGAGTGCATGGGTTGGGGAAAGTGAATCTGTCTGCCAGAGCACAAGGCAGGGGCTGAGTGGGTGTCCCAGAATAATGTGGGGGGTTACCACAGGCAGGCACCCTGCATATTTTGGACACTTGTGGGGAGGGTTATTAGGAAGCATTGGCCCAGATCTCAGTGAACGTCTCTTGATCTCCAGGTTCTATGGGGATAGCAGTACGTGGGATGTACACCAACAGTTTTTATGGGGACCCGGCCTCCTCATCACTCCAGTTCTTGATGAGGTAAGTGTCCCACAGAGGCACCCGGATGGTCTCTGCTTCTGTTCTTGCTACCCTCCAAACTCTTCTCTTCCTGGAACCATTTATCTTCTCTTTATTCCAAGTCTGATTGTAGTCCCTATGGCTGAGTCGGCCTTGAAGACAGTGTGCTGAGGTTTGGTGAAGTTGGAGATGTGTTCCTTACATATCTTTTTTTCTATATGAGTCTTTTTCCTCTATCAAGTTCCCAGTCACTGGAGAAGCATCTAATGGTGGCTCTGGGGCTGGAAATGGTCCTATTTGTCATCAGATTTTCATAGCAGATCCTACTTGCTCCTTGAGGTAGAGGCAGAATGGAGCAGGGGTCCAGCACTGTCTGTAAAGTTGGGTGGAATCAGGGTGTGATTGCTGCCTCTGCCTCACTTAGTACCATGTGCCCTGGGGCGAGTTCCTCAGCTGGAAAGGTGAGATCATGAGAGTACCTGCCACTGGGGACAGTTGGATTACATGAGTTCATGTAAAGCTTGAATTTTTACCACAACATATTTTTATTTTATTTTATTTTATTTTACTATTTTTTTACCACAACATATATTTAAATATTATTATTCCTAATGTGGTTCCCCTGGGATTTTTCTTTCGGTTGCCAAGTTATTGCTTCTACTATTCCTATCGGAAGAAAGACACAATTTGTTAACAGAGAAAAGAAAGGATGTTTATGCTCTCTCAGTATATGGTTAAGAAGCTCCATTGGGAATGCTAAGAAATCCATTTTATTCCCTTCAGAGGCTGTGCCACGAGGAATGATATTTTGTTTTAATTTCAGGGTGCAGAGAAAGTGATGGCTTATATACCCGATGCCGTCTGGTACGATTATGAGACTGTAAGTAGCTTTGACTTTTCTTAAACTCCTCAAGACCACAGCTGCAAAGACAAGATGCCTCCCTGGAGAGAGGAACATCTATCAGTACCCCAAGGAGTATTTTTGTACTGTTTTCTATAATTTCATAGCACAGTTGATAAAGTGAGCCTAAATCACTTAATGTCAGTCATGAAGAGATCTGAAAAAAAAAAACACTTTTATATGTTTTATTTAACAGTAAGATAAGAGCAAATATTGGAGAGTTCAGTGGAGGGTTCAGTGTGGTCAGGTGTCAGCTAACTTGTTTAAAACTACCCATTCATCCAATATATGTCAGATAGCCTCAGCGTGACATAAATGCTCCCCCAAATGCCCAAGTGATGGCAAAACCTGTTGTTCTTAATTTGTTTCCTTCCTCTCATTTGATTGCCTGACTAGACAGTAGGTCAGCCAGGTGGAAAAAAAAAGAGAGCTGTAGATAACTCAGCACATAGGTAAGAGGGGGGTGCAAATGTGCCATCCTGCCAAGGTGCTTGACAAGTGTGCCCCTCCATCAGGGGGCCCGAGCAAGATGGAGGAAGCAAAGAGTGGAGATGGGACTTCCTGCAGACAAAATTGGACTTCACCTTCGCGGAGGCCACATCTTTCCCACACAACAGCCAGCCACCACCACGGTGGCCAGGTAGAGCATGGTTGGAGTTTCCTTTGAGGGGGAGGCTGCTGACGAAGCTGGTCATTTCCGTTCCCATCTGTTGCCGATGTAGAAGATGCTGAAGCTTTCTGTGGCATGTGGGGACGGGGAGGGGGGGGACTGGACTGTGTGTGTGTCCATCATACTCTGTCCCTTACGTTTCTCTCAGCCTCTTTGGAGGAAGTTGGGATTTACAAAATAGATTTTGAAAGAACTTAATCCCTATCCTTCCTTAAACCTCCTGCATTTCTCCTCAAAACACACTGACCGCTGGGGTGGTCATCCTTCCTGATTTCCCCAGGACCGGTTCAAATTTAGCACCAAAAGTTTCATGTCTTGGTAAACCTTTCAGTTCCAGGGAAATGGGGTCTGTTGATTACTCTACCTGCTTGGTAACCCATTATGCTATGCTCTTGACCCATTCCTTCTCATTTCCATTCCTCTATAATTTCAATTTCCCATTCCTTTCTTTCCACTGAGCCACTTCTTTTCCTGTGATGCAGAACAGGGTACAAAATTTACTTGTTCACGTCAAGTCTATCTCATATCACTGATTTCTCCTTTCTGACTCATTGATTCTGAAATTCTAGATTCCATCTGTACTAATGATGTACACATTTATATATGTCTCAAAATATTATTTGTCTTTAATAGACTGGGAGGTTAGAAATCTTTCTTTTCTTTTCAACTTTCCTTACCACCTAAATTTTTCTAGCTGCAGACTTTTTTTTTTTTAAAACTGCAGACTTGTTATGATAATGAGGCCAAATACTTTCACATCTCATACCAAATGGTTTCTTTTTATCTTATTGTTCAGCTTCAGGCTATTCTGCATACTGATACCAAAATTATCTTTCTAGAATGAAGATTTTTTTTTTTCTTGTTGTTTCCCTGCATGAAGTCCAAATCCTTTCATTAGCAGGGTATTCCAGGCCAATCACAATCTAGTTGCAAGTTAACTGTGCCTCCTGAGACATCTGAATACACACCTGTAGACCAGCCATGCCCAAAAGCTTGCTATTCCCAGGCATACCTATTAAATAAATAGGGCATTTGGGCTTCTGCACTTATGATCCTTTCCAGCATCCTTTGCCTGGTGTGTTCTTCTTAGACATTCTCCAATTTTAAGATTTCATCTGCAAGAAATCTTCCTCAATTCTTCCAGCAGAGGGCCTGCTGCCACTACAAACTTTTTAAATACTTTTTCTCTTTGGTGTACTGTTAAATTATTTTTTGCTCCCTAGCGGATTTTTTTTTCTTTCCTTCTCAGTATTTTTAAGTATTTCAAACATAGTTACTTTATGCCTTGTATTTGAAAATTCTATTATCTAAAATCCTTTGGAGAATCCAAATTATTGTTCATTTTTTTTGCAAACTTTCTTTCATGCTGGCTTATTACTTTGTACGCTTAGTCATTTTTTTCCCCCAAATGTAGTGATCTTAAGGGTCCAAATGTGGGGTCTCATTACTCCAGAGAGATCTTGCCTTTTTACTTGGTTGCAAGTCAGGATTGCTATCATCTTGAAGGCAGTTTAAGCAACCTTTAAGGATCATGTGTTGGGTGCATCTTTCAGGGTGCCTGGTATCCCCCAAAATATTTGGTCAGCCACACTCCTGGAACTGCCATACTGGACTCCCATATAAGTCTTTTGACTTGTGTGTCCCTCTACTTCCTGTCTTGATTATGTGGTGAATATGTTCAGTCCTTCTTACAATATTTAAGGCCATCAACAGGGCTATGATCTATTTGTCTTTATATCTCTTACTTGCTGACAAATAAAGCTACTTAATACATATGTGTTAAGAAAAAGCAGGTGATTTGATTGATAATGGAACCTGACTTCATAGGGCACACTGGAGGGCTGACCAGGGAAAGAATATAAAATGTGAGGCCAGGGAGGGACCAATGGGAGCAGGAAGCTGGGAAGTAGTCAAGGGAGTGGTGACACAAGGAGGGCTTCCACATGAAATGGCTCTTTTTCCCTCTTTCTCAATGCCCATCTACCTCATTGCCTTTTTAAGTCATGTTTTGTGTTTCATATTTTAAATTATAAAGCAGAAAACTCGAATGTTTTATTTTCCTCTCCAAATGAACTAATTATAAATAATAAAATTAGGAAAGTTGCCTTAAATAGATGGACTCTATTGTATTTTATTGCCTTCTGAGTCAAAATGGTTCTTTGGCAGGAAAACAAAAATTTATTCCCCCAACCATAGTTCGTTTCCCTTGTATGAACTCCAAAATTAGGCTGAGACAATTATTGTCTAGAATTTCTTTCTCTTCTAATAGTCTGCATTCTAAATAATAGTTGCATCAGCAAGTTTTATAGTAGCAATCACAGTGATGCTGGCACTTAAATTCTTGCTTTCTACATAGATGTTTATTGCCAATGTTCGCAGTATTTCTGTCTCCTGTGATGTTACTGATTCTAGAGAAAGATGCGCTTGCTGATTTTGCTTTTGTGCCTGGAGAAAAGCGAGCCATCTGCTATAACCTTTCCCATTTGAAATCTGATGGCGGGAGCCCGTGGGTGGTATAGTCAGTTAAGCATACATACAACTCTTGGTTTAGGCTCCGATTGTGATCTCAGGGTTGTGGGATATAGCCCCATGTCAGGCCAGTGCTCTCTCACTCCCTCTACCACTCCTGCACGTGTGTTTTCTTTCTCTTAAACTGGTTTCAGTTGGTGCATAAAAGAAAAAAAAAAAGAAAAGAAAAGGAAAGAAATCTGATGGCAACATTCCCAGCTCTTTCGGCAAAGTTCTTTGAGTCTTAAGTCCCTAAATCTTGTTTCCCACAGTCGCCGGAACCCCCTTGGTCTTATCATTGCCCTGGATGAAAACAAAGAAGCAAAAGGCGAACTTTTCTGGGATGATGGGGAAACTAAAGGTGAGCACTGTTACAACAACCTGCATCTGTGAGTTATTCCCACTGATCATTCAGTGGGGGAGAAATCTCACCAGGCACAGCAACGCTAATCACTCAGAGGAGAATTTTAGTTTGGGTTGCACTGTTCACTGCTAGTGGTAGATGGACCTCAGATGGAAGGAAAACATGTTTCTACTTCTTAGAATGCTCTCATCAAACAAGCAATATATACAGGCTCTCATTTTATTGTCAACAGGCATCTGAAAGAGATGTTTTCAAGACTATTCCTGCCATTAACTGTAGATCTCTTCCCCTAAAATACTTCTGCACAAATGTTGATGATAAGAAACACATACCCATGCCAGTGAGGCAGAGTGAGAGTATATTCTTCTCATGTGCCTGTATCCGGTCATGCTTCTTCACACATTTTTCTGGCTCCAATATATTAACAACTCTTGTGGCTCAAGCTTAGGGGATAGATTCACTTGAGGCATCTGCCTTGGAAGCTCTTGGAAGGGAATCTTTTCAAGGGTAAGGTAGGAAGGAAGAGGGAAAAAACAGTGGCCTGGCCTTGGACACCTGTCTATAATCTTGTCATTCTCAAGATGTAGCTTTCGATACAGCCGAGGGGTCATCTGTTCTTCTGTGGTGGGCAAGCCAGAGGTTGATTCACCTTCCTTGCACTTTCAGATACTGTGGCCAATCAAGTTTATCTCTTATGTGAGTTTTCTGTCACCCAAGTAAGTAGCACATTTTAATGAATCTTAGGTGTGGGCTTTTGTCTGATAGCTCATGTGTGTTTGTGTACATGTGTAGTTATATGTGTAGTTTCACATGCCTTTATGACTGTAGGTGAGTCCATTTCCTTTTTTGTGAAGGTAAAAGAACTTTATTTTTTATTATTATTTGCTTTTATTTTAATTCCAGTTAGTTAAAATTCAGTATTATGTTAGTTTCAGGTGTACAATATAGTGATTCAGCATATCTATTTATCACCTGGTGCTTAGATGGGCACATTTCAATTTATGACTTAACTCTCAATAATTGAATCATCCATGTTAGTAAAAAGAGGCAATGATATGGATAAATCAAAGTGGACAGCCTTTTAAAATGCAGTTTAAAAATTCCTCTGTGTGTATTTCTATCTTTTTTGTTCAGGGGAGTATTAAAATAAATTTGTACTCCTTGAGCACATGTTATTTGAGACAGTTAAGAGGCATTCAAAGAAGTTTTGGGTATCTGGTCTAGGATAGAACATTTGAGGGACTTGGCCACCAATCAGCAGATCTTTGTGTTTCTTTTGCAGAACCGCTTGGATGTGAAGATTTTGCAGTCAACTTACAAAGACCCCAATAATTTAGTATTTAAAGAGATTAAAATTCTTGGGACCCAGGAACCTACCAATGTTATAGTGAAACACAATGGTATCCCAAGTCAAACTTCTCCTAATGTCACTTATGATGCTAACCTACAGGTAAAAATTCATTTTGTTGAGATAGTTTATCAAGAATTCATAGCTTATGGTGTTCCTTCTTGCCGAAGTTGTATGGGTTCCTGAAGAACCAGGACACACTCCGAGGTCTGGGGTGGGGAAGTCAGAGGGTTAGGAGAGGAAAAAAAAGCAAGGGGTAAGCTAGAGCTAGAAGGGAGCAGGGAGCTGCTGAGAAACTGGAATAAGATAAAATGGTCTTTTCATCCATATTCCCTTATTTGCCCATCAGTCTTCTGTTCTCTCTGATGGAGACAGAAGAAGAGCAAAGTGAGGAGTGTGGGGGACAGGATTAGAGGGAAAGTGGGTCTGAAACCTGCTGGCTGAAGCTAGAAAGGCAAAGTGGGAGTTGAGATCCCCATTAATTAAAATTTTGAAGTGCATTTTTTTTACTGTGTTCAGATATATGGAATTTCTCTCCAACATATACATTTTAAAGAAATAATTCAAGTTGAAGAATCTGACCAGCTTAGCTAATGGCTACTTATTTGGTTAGATAAGGATAAAAAATAATTTTTCATCAGTTGTAATGAGACTTGATGCTCCTGAGCAGGTTGTAATCTGTTCACTTGGTGTCTTAGTGTTATGAAAAATCCTTTCCCCCATCCTCCTCACTCCAGGCTCTCCAGATGATTTGGGACTGGGAGCTCCTGGGTCAGCATGTTTGTGAGAGATCTTCCCCATTTGGAGAAAATAAGTAAATCTGGCATTCTCCCATAATGATGTATTGATGACATTGGCCATTTTGCCTTCCAGTGTAGGTTGAGGATGCGTACATTATAAAGTTAGAATTAAAGTACAGTTGACCTTTGAACAGCATGGGGGACACTGACCCCCCCATGCCATCAAAAATTCATAACTAACTTTTGACTCCTAATCTTAACAACTTGTTTTGATCAAAAAGCCTTATGAGTAAACTGTCGCTTAACACATCATCTGAATTTGTACATCATCTGAATTGTACACCGTATTCTTACAGTAAAGCCAGTGAGAGAAAAGAAAATGTTATTAAGAGAATCATTAGGAAGAGAAAATACATTTGCAGTTCTGTAGTGTATTTATTGAAAAAAAAAAAAAAAGAACGATGCGTGTAAGTGGACCCACGCAGTTCAAACCTGGGTTATTCAAAGGACAACTGCACTATATGATTAGTTATGGCAAAGTGCGAGCCATTTGAAATGTGCACATACCAAAACAAGCTCAATAAATACCTGCTAAGTAAATTAATTAATGTAAGAGCAAAGGAACTGTCGGTGCTTGAATTTGGGTGGTGGAGAGATACAATTTATATATGTGACACTACTGGGAAGGGGACAGGCAATCCAAAGCAAGAGAGGAAATGTTAACTTACGTTATACCAGATTTAATGTTCAAAGCCTCATGGAGTAGCTGAGCAAAGCCATTGGAAAAATCAGGGTTTAAGCTGGACTTTGAATGAGGGTGTATCAGACAGAGATTCATTCAGCCACAAGTGATAGGAAACTGAGCAAAATGGGACTTTGAACAAATTGGGATTCTCTTCTTCATGCAATAACAAGTTTAGAAAGTGGTGAGTTGCTGGTCTTGGTTCAGTCGCTCAAGGTTGTCAGGGTTGGTTGGAAGTGACTGCTTAGTACCAGCTGTTGTGGCCCTATTACTGCAAAATGAAAGAAGAGTCAGGAAGGGAAAGGTGCAGGGAAGGGGCAGGCCCTTAAATGAAGAAGGAGACTCTGAGCCAGCAACTCCTAGTGGACTTGTACTTGCCCATTTATGGCCACAGCTATGTTATGTGGATTAAAAATTTAGTTCTTAATCATGAACTTTAATATTCTAAGCTGAAATAGTGAGTCAGAAAAGAACTTTTATATAAGGCAGGTAACTAGCAGTGTATTCTGCAAAAGGGCACCATTTTCCTAGAAAGAGCATTGGTCTCTTTCAAAATAAGCCAATCGAAGGATTGAGATCAGCCTTACATTAGTTTGCAAGGATTATATAACGAGAAGAGGTCGGGGATCAGTGTGGACAAATAAGTTGTCATCAGATTTTGGATGGTCTTAGCTGCCAAAGTGAGAAAGATCTGATTCTCAAAGTGTGTCCTATAGATCCTTGAATCAAGGCTGTGCCATTGTCAAAGCATTGCTCTGGGGAGTGGGATTTGTGAATTTAGACTGAGAAGAGCCTGGATAAAGGGTGATTATCCTTAGAGTGTGATTTTGTAATTCTGGGCAAATGGGGACCTTCCCTATGGAAATTGCTAATTAAAGAAGAGATATAAATACACAGAAAATATTAAATATTTGAATTAGTGGGACTCAAAGAGGCAAGGTTTCAGGTTTTGAGGCTTTGGTCGTGGAAAAATAAAGAGGTTGGGACGTTAGAAATGGAAGGAAATGTAATGATTTTGCCAACTCCCCACTTTTGCAGTTGATGAAACTGAGACCCAAAGATCTGAAATGGTTTGACTAAATTTTCCTAGCAGATGGAGATGAGAGCTCAAGCCACACAATTGTTACTCCTGTTTTCTTGCCACTGTTCCAGGCCAGGACAGGACACCCGGGGTTAAAAATGGAGGGCAAGAACATAAGCTCGATTTCTGGATGGCCCCGTGAGCTCATGTGTGTTATGCCACAAGGAGAAACACAGAAGGCCTTCTGACCAGAGAAGGAAGAGGAAGGGGAATCAGGGAAGGATAGAAAATGGGTGATCACGGAAGATTTTATTTGGCCTAATTCTCTTCCAAATGGTGTACAAGATTCTGATAGTTGGGACATTTGCACTCTTCCCCCTCCCTCCATGTGGCTCCCTTCTTAGCAGCTCCAGTGTGGTGTCATTTGGATTGTTGAGAGCCTAGTCCGGTTTCTATTTTCTTTCCTAAAAGAGGTTTCAGATCTTACAAGGCCTTTCTTTGTCCTCAGGATAAATTTCCTTGTCACTTGCCCATCCCACACAGGTTGCTCTTATCACAGAAATTGATCTTATCCTCGGAGAAGCATACACGGTGGAGTGGGACCTGAAGATACGGGATGAAGAGAAAATAGACTGTTTTCCTGATGAGAGCGGTGCTTCTGCAGCAAACTGTACTGCCCGTGGCTGTGCCTGGGAGGTAACCATGCTGACTGCACTAAAATGCGTTGAAATCCTTGGGCAGCCCGGGTGGCTCAGTGGTTTACTGCTGCCTTCAGCCCAAGGCCTGATCCTAGAGACCTGGGATCGAGTCCCATGTCGGGCTCCCTGCATGGAGCCTGCTTCTCCCTCTGCCTGTTTCTGCCTCTCTCTCTCTCTCTCTCTCTCGCTCTGCGTCTCTCATGAAGAAATAAAATCTTAAAAAAAAAAAAATCCTTGACACTCAACCTGCAGTTTCATGAGTATAGCACCAGTATCTGTGTCACTACTTAAAAACCCATAGAAAGCAAGGACTTCCAAAGGAACCTGAGTTTGTATCTGGATATAAAGAATAGGTAGGGACAGGAGTGGGAGGGTTTTTTGTTTCTGTTTTTTTTTTTTTTTTTTTTTTTTTTTTACAAATACTTCGTAAGGAGATCAGGAATTTAAACTTACGTCACTATCAAAGAATATATAAGAAAATGAGTGATGGTCTGGCTTTACTCCCTGTAAATGGCCTTTTCTAGCCCCTTTATATTTGATAATTCTAGGACCACATGTAGAGGTAACCTTTGCTTTCCTTTTCAGGCATCCAGTTCTCCTGGAGTCCCATTCTGTTATTTTGTCAATGATCTGTACTCTGTCGGCGATATTCAGTATGACTCACATGGAGCCACTGCTACCATCTCCTTAAAATCTTCTGTCTATGCCTCCGCTCTGCCCTCAGTGCCCGTGACCTCTCTCCGCCTGCGTGTGATCTACCATAAGAATGACATGCTACAGTTTAAGGTATATGTTTGCAGTACACATATGTATCAAGTACCGACTGGGCACTTGGCAGTTCCATTACTTTTTGCTAGTTGAGGTCACAGAACCCTAAGATAAGTGTGCTCCTCTGAGCTCCCCGTGCTGCAATATACTAGATTATTATGCTGAGAACACTGAGAAACCATTGATGGACCAGTGCTGCCTGTTCTGATGTGCATTTTGAAAAGATCACTGTGTCTATTGTGAGGAAAATGGTTGGGAGGGTAAGAATGAAAAAGGAGAGGCCACCCAGGAGGTTACTGGTTAGGTTGTCCATGTGAGTGACCAAGTGTAGACCAAAGATAAGGAAGGAGAACGATGGTGGACATCTTGTTGGATCACAGGATCCAGTGATGACTGCAAGTAGGCAATGAAGGAGAGGGAGGGATCAAGAATGATTGCCATGTTTCTGGCATATGTCTATATATGGATGGTGGTGACATTACTTGTAATGGGAACACTGGAAAGATTTGGGCTTGGGCAAAATAAGATGATGAATTCAGTTTGGGAGGCTGAGTTTGGGATATTTGAGAAATAGCCATGAGAATGTAGTGATCTTGGTTTTTTTCCTGTGATTTAATTAAGCTAAGGATTAGTGACAGGCTGTTCTTATGTCTATTTCTCTACTACTTGTAAGTTTCTCAAAGATGGGTATTTGTCCATTCATCTTTGTGTTTCTGAAATCTGACACAGAGCCTGGTAAATAGTTAGCACTCAGATGTTTCCTGAGAGAGTAAATGAAAGACATCGAGCACTGCCCAAAGTTTCGTAACCACCTGCTATCGACCTGGACTAGGAGTCCTTTTACATCTTCTAGTGCAGGGAAGATGCTCTTTGATATTTCTGTCCTCACCTCAGGACTGGCCTGTGGTAGGCACCTAGTTTTGAACAAATGAATTTACTTGCATTTCCTGCTTTAACCCTTTCCTGTCCTACCTCCTGATCACACAGTAGCTCTCCCCCCCAGCATTTGCCTCTTTCTGACCCAGCTTTATTTTATTTATTTATTTATTTTTTCTCTGACCCAGCTTTAATACTTTCGGCCTTTGCCTTTGTTTCACTACCAGGAATGACTTTATCTCCTTGCTGTGCTTGGTTAATAGCTGCAAAGGTTTTAACACTCAGCCTGTAATTTTCACATGATATCATGTCAGTCTTCCAGAAACTGTGTTGGGCATTTTCTTCTCTGTAATCTCACAACACTCTTGCGTAGCTCTACAGGAGCACGTATCAGCCCGGGTGCTGTGGATACCTCTTTTACGTCTGGTTAGCATGTGAATTTCTTAAAAATAGTAATTGTGTCTTGTCTGGTTTAGTGTGTCTAGTGTCTGTAGTACAGTATAGTACAGTGTAGTAGAGTACACATTTTGTGAATCTACTTAGATCCCATTTTTAGGAAGGACATCTGTGGTAATTTTAATCAAAATAGAGTTCATGTTTTTTGATGGATTTTTTTTCAATTCAGAGAAGCTTTCAGATAATCACATATATCCACACACAAAGCAATAAATACTATATATGTACCAAGCTGATTTTAGACTGATTTTCCAAGATATCACCAATGTCGAAGGGAATGTGTTACTGTAATAGGGGCCTTAAAAATGAGATATGACAGATTCAGACCAAAATGTTAATTCTAACATTGTTCTTTGATATAGTAAATAAATCCCTGGTGTCATGAGTTTAATGAAAAGAGAGAAATAATAGAATTCAGACTCCATGTCAAAGATAACAAGTTTCTGCTAAGGATATAGGTTTCTGGAGTACTATATTTTCCTAATTTTCTTCCCACTCTCACCCTAGATTTATGATCCCAATAATAATCGGTATGAAGTTCCCGTCCCTCTCAACATACCCAGGGTTCCATCCAGCACCTCTGAGAGTCAACTCTATGATGTCCTCATTAAGAAGAATCCATTTGGAATCGAAATTCGCCGGAAGAGTACGGGCACTGTGATGTAGGTGGCTCCTGGTCTGACTTGGGATTGATAGTTACCTGTACATTCACTGCCAAGTCCATTGTCCTTGGAGATATCCTGGCTCAAAGCATCACACTATCCATTTCCAGGTTTATGAATATGTTATTCCCTTTGGACTAAAGATTTCTCAATCTTTAGCCTCCTGGCAATAAGATTACTGAGGCATTTACATGTACTAGGGATTCATTCAACCAATGTTTACAGGGTGGTTAGGCTATATTATCTCTATATTAGGTAGTTTTAGAAGATAAAGTCTTTCTTCTCATGACAAAAATTAATGCTAGATAACAAAGACAAGTTAAAATATAAATAAGAAAGTTTAGGTAGCAACAACTGCTATGTAGGAAAAAGAACAGGGTAATCAGAGTTATAGGGAGTTTACTGCTTTTGATACTGTGATCAGAGTAGGTGTCTCAGAGAAGGTGACATTTGAAATAGGACTTGGATGAGAAGGATCCACCCCTGTAGAGATCTGGAGGAAGGGGAAGAACATTCCAGACAGATGGAATAAGAAGTGCACAGGCCATGAAACAGGAGCACACTTGCCATATTGAAGGGGGAAATATCCACCATGGCTGGAGCACATTGTAGTTGGATTGCTCTGGATGTTAAGTAGCAAATGGACTGTAGAGAGCAAGAGTGGACTGCCAGGCTAGTGTCGGGTGGTAGCACCCAAGACGGTGAAAAGTGATTGGATTTGGCATCCTGAAGAGAAAACTGAAGAAAGGCAATGAGAGAGGAAAACAGGAGAATGAAGGCTGGCACCTGGGCTGGTAGCAGGTGCATCTAAGATTATTTTAATTGAATAGACTTTGTGTCTGTTTGGAAGATTAACAGGCTCTGGGTGGAAGAGGGAATCGAGAGTTCTGTTGTCCTTGAAAGGTCAGGTACTTGAAGCCAACAGGTTAGCTCATTTCTTTTCCAAATACTCTCTTTTGTGTTGCAGTTGGGACTCTCAGCTCCTTGGCTTTACCTTCAATGACATGTTCATCCGTATCTCCACTCGCCTTCCCTCCCAGTACCTCTATGGCTTTGGGGAAACTGAGCACACAGCCTTTCGGAGAGACTTGAACTGGCACACATGGGGGATGTTCTCCAGGGACCAACCTCCGGGGGTAAGGGCAGAGCATCTGGGATCTGTGTCTCCCTCTCTCTACATGCTGTGTATACTTCACGTGTCATCTTCCCAGACTCACCTTAGATGGGCACGTTTGGCACTTAGGCAAGTGGGCCAGTGTTTACGCTCCCTTGATTTTCACATACCTAAAGTTCATTGTAGAGAAGACAAAATGTACCTTGTCAGTCATTTTTTGTGGAGTTTTTTTCTCAGTCACAATGTCTTTTAACTTCTTACCACTTTTGCCCCATGACTCTCCCAGTACAAGAAGAATTCCTATGGTGTCCACCCCTACTACATGGCACTGGAGGAGGATGGTAGTGCCCATGGGGTGTTACTGCTCAACAGCAATGCCATGGGTAAGATGATGCCAACATCTCCCTTTATTTTTGTGAACCAGTCATTCGTGAGTAATGTTACAATGAGTTTGAAACTGCTTCCCCCTGGAGTCAAAATTATCATCTTGGGGACAGTGTTTTTGTTTTTACTTTTTATTTTCTGGGTAGACTTTCTATTTATTTCAGTTCAGTAGCATGTGGTAATGAGAGTTAACTCTTATTTGGCAAAAATGTAAGAAGGGATAGAAAGACCAAGTGAGTCTGAAATATCCTGGAGGTCAGCCGGTAGGAGCCATCTTTTTAATTTGAGTTAGTGGTGAAGCTATGGATAAGAGTGCTCACTCTGGGGGTATGAGGGTGTGAAAAAAATTTATATGGTTTATTGGAAAGAGGGTGGAAAATCAGGAGGTGTGGGGGAAAGCATGCACGTAAAAACTGGTCAAATCAGAGCCAGGTATATTCCCGACTTAATAGTTTTATATGAATGTCAGTTTCCTGGTTTTGACAATGTACAATGGTTATATAAGATGTCATTGAGGGAAGCTGAGTGAAGTATACAGAGGACCACCAGTGCTATTTTTGCAACTTCTTATAAATCTTAAAGTATTCTAAGATAAAAGTTATAATAATTTTAAAAGAACAGAATGACAAAACATATTATAAAATAATAATAAGCCCAATGGCAAACAAATCCAGGGGTAGCACCCTGTAGACTTTCACTCGACTTCTTCAATTCTATGTAGGTATGGTAAAAATTCTTTCTCTTAATACTGTATAATAAGGAGGCATAAGGAGAAGGCAAAGGGAAGAATTTCAGGGATTATTCCTCACCTTGAATGTTTCCAGCTTGATTGATATTTTCCTATATTTTCAGATGTGACATTCCAGCCCCTGCCTGCCTTGACATATCGCACCATAGGAGGAATTCTGGACTTTTATGTGTTCTTGGGGCCAACTCCAGAGCTTGTCACTCAGCAGTATACTGAGGTAGGAGGGAATTAAACTGATTATCAAGTATTCATCCAGTGCATTCCGAGTTTCCAAATCCACATTTATTAGTGTAACTCTCAGTTGATACCTGGAATTGTTGACACTTTTGGAAGATAGACTATAAAATGATGAACAAAATATATATCACAATAACCATTAAGTTTGCAGCCTCTCAAAGATTGCAGAGCAGTAGTGGTGCCGGTGGTGGTGTTGGCAGTGGCAATGGTGGTGGTGGAGGTGGTAGTGGTGATGGGATTATAGTAATGGTGGAGGTGATAGTGGTGATGGAAGTGGTGGTGGAGGTGGTGGTCATGTGGTAATGGTGATGGTACTGTTAGTAATAGTGGTCACAGTAGTCATGGCAGTCACTTTGGCAGCAGCAACAAGCACATATACAATTTACTGTGTGTCACTGATTATTTTACGTATATTAACTCATTCAGTCCTCACAAAAACACTATGAAGCAAACACTATTATTATCCCCAGTTTACAAGTGAAGGAACTGATGAACAAGAGGTTTTTAACTTTTGCACAGGGCCGCTTAGCCAGCAGGGATTGGAGCCTGGATAGTAAACCAGGCATTTTTGCCTCTAGATTCTGAGTTCTGAACCAGTAAGCTAGGCTGCCTCTAAGAATCAGGATAAAATCAGATTTTCCAAAATCCTTGGGGAAGAAGGTCAGATCTAGCAGAAAGATTTCTCCAAGATATCCCAGGGGCTCTGTATCCTCTCCGTTTCCCTCCATTTTTGAATTTGTTGATTATCTAACTTGGGCCACGGGAAAAAATATTCTTAATTTGTTGACAATTTCAATCCAGATTCTCCTTTTTAAGAATTAAATTTTCTGTCTATTTTTCTAGATGATCGGTCGGCCAGTGATGGTTCCTTACTGGTCCTTGGGGTTTCAGCTGTGTCGCTATGGCTACCAGAACGACTCTGAGATTGCCAGCCTGTATGATGAGATGGTGGCTGCCCAGATCCCTTATGTACGTTTTCCGTATGTGGTGGTTTGGCTCTGGGACCTCGTGGCCAACACTAGTGGTTTCTGTGTCTGGATTAGCTTGACTTGGGTGGAGGAGGGTGTTCCTACAACTACACAACTTTAAAAGACTTGGTCAAAACCATCTTTGGTATCTTAAGAACAAAAGGTTGCCCAGTTGGTAGTTTTGCTTAATTAAAAAGAAAATGACCCCAATTCAGTCAGATCACAGTAGGTGCAGATATAACCTCAGTTCCAATGCTTTGCTGGTATGACAGTGTTCCCTCGACTTTGAGCTAAAGTTGAAAAGAGGGATCTTGGGGTGCCTATTTCCTGATAAAATACATACAAAAACAAGTTCTGTTCTTCACTTGAGGGCTAGAGGGGTCCAAAAATCAGAGAACTGATCCCATAAACTTCTTACATATTTAATTTTATTCTATTTATTTTTCTATTTCTTACAATTATTGCTATCAATTGTAAGCATAGCATGCCATATTTCATTTTTAGTAAGAAAGCTGTGTCTGATAACCCCCAGGATTGGATATTCTAAAGCAACTACAGGAGCCTTTTTTTAAAAAGGTAGATTTACCATCCATCCAATTGTATCCGTGCTGGGGAGTTTACATTATGTTCTTTTCCCTGAAAGTGAACCACTGATCCCAGGAGCAGCCTCTTGGGAGGTAGGTAACCACAATCACTCACACTGGCCACTCACAAGGCACTTTCTCATCTGCTGTCTTCATTTATCCTTGCAATAGGCTTGCCACAGAGGCATCATCCTATTTTTGCTAATTTAGGGTTTTTTGGTTCTATTTTATGTTTGAAAATTTGAAAATTTCCCAGGATCTAATACCTGATACCTGGGATTAGAAAAAGTCAAAAGGAAGCCATCTGAAATTCACCATTGGTTAGTTGAGGTTTGTCCTCACCTGGAACCTGGCCTTTTACAAGCAGGAGCCATTCACTGCCCCCGTGTGCTCCCCCAGGATGTGCAGTACTCCGACATCGACTACATGGAGCGGCAGCTGGACTTCACCCTCAGCCCCAAGTTTGCAGGGTTTCCAGCTCTGATTACTCGCATGAAGGCCAACGGAATGCGGGTCATCCTCATTCTGGTTAGTCCCTCTGCGAATGGGTGGCAGTTGTTGGGGAGACTGAATGGGCTTTGGTGGAGAAAGCTTTCTTTTTTTTCCTTTTTCTTCTTCTTCTTTTTTTCTTTTTTAACAGTAAATGGACCTTTATTTAAAGACATTAACCCACAAGGGGAAAAAAATGGAAGTGACAAAAATGGCAACCAAATTTAGAAGCTGAATGTCTGATGAATGTTGAATGAGTTAACAGACCTGAGAAAGGTCAATTCTAAAGTAGCACTGAGGAAGGCTGGAAAGCATCCCACTTTATGTTGCACATCCCCTCTAAGGCTCGGATATTAATGAAAAGTGAAAGGAAGGATGAGGTGGGGCTGAAAAGAGAGGACAGTTATAGTTATACTTTCTTGCCCCCAAAAAGATTGAAGTTTCATTCTTGCAGAGAATCAGAGTATCTCTGGACTGGGGAACACCCAAGCACAGCTGTGTGTGGCAATGCTGATCTGAAAATCACTGAGAACTTTCAGTTACTCCTCTTCTGCCTTTTACTTCTCCCAGAAGACACTGGAAGTAGGCAAGATATAGGAAGTAATCTTTGAAGAATGAGACCAGTGAGAGAAAAGACCTAAAGGTATTAGCCTCAAAGATTCCCAAGAAAATGGTGTAGCTATCCACACTAGAATAAAAACCTCATTTGACAAGCCTCACACACATACTGAAATTTCAGTCATTTATAATGTTTTTTCATACTTATGAGAAGATGGCGAAGGCATTTGAGGACCAAAACATTATAAATTATGGAACATCAACAAACTTAAAAAGCAGGTTAGAGGAAGTAGAATTTATTTAGGGAGAACATTTCAAGAAACTATTAGAGTATCCTCAAAGAGATAAGGTATTACTTTCATGAATTAGAAAATAATAGAACAGAAGAGATGGAAAACTCAATGAAAAGAAGATAAAATAGAAGCGTTCTCTCAAAAAGTAAAGCAAAAAGATAAAGAAAATTGGAAAGAAATGAAAGTAGGAGGCCCAATATCCAAATAATAGAAATTTTAGAATGAGCAAAGAGAGAAAATAGAGGGGAAAAATTCATCAAATAAATCACTAAATAGCATTTTTCCAGAACTGAATGATGGGTTTTTAGGGTTTATTATTATTATTTTATTTAAATTCAATTTGCCAATATATAGGAGATGGTGAAAGGGACTATAAGGGAAAGGAGGGGAACTGAGTGGGAAAAATTAGAGAGGGAGGCAAACTATGAGAGACTCCTAACAAAGGGTTGCTGAAGGGAAGGTGAGTGAGGGAATGGAATAGCTGGGTGACTGGCACTGAGGAGGGCACTTGATGGGATGAGCACCGGGTGTTATGCTGTATGCTGGCAAATTGAATTTAAATTAAAAAAAATAGAAAGCTTTCTATTGTATTTCCTTCTGTGTTACGAGTGGAGAAGTTGAGGTTCAGTAAGAAAGATGTATTTCCCAGGATTCACACAAGCACTGTGGTTTGCGCGGAAGCTGGTGCCTTCTTTTTGGGAATTCTTTTTTTTTCTGTCCTGAGCTGTTCTCTGGCTTTGGACTTCTCCCCAGATCTGTGCTTTGGTTTCAGGACCCAGCCATTTCTGGTAATGAGACGCAGCCTTATCCTGCATTCACTCGGGGTGTGGAGGATGATGTCTTCATCAAAGCTCCAAATGGTGGAGGCATTGTCTGGGGGAAGGTACGGTGTGAGCAACGAACCACTAAACTTCAGCCTGGGGGTGGGGGTGTGTGTGTGGTTAGTGTGCATGTTGTTTTGGGACCTTTTCCATTTGGGTTCTGAGATCAGAAGTTCTCGTTTTGTCCATCAAAATTTGTCAACACGCTTAAGGAATGTCTAGGGAATGTGTAGATGTGTGTGCATTGTGGGATCCACTTCCCTAGACCAAAATCAACTATTACCACCCACAACCATGTTTTATAGTTTCTTAGGAAGTTTGTAAGGTAAATTATCTAGGGCATTGCTTTTGAACAATTTTATCTCCACAGGTGTGGCCTGATTTCCCTGATGTCGTCATAAACTCATCCCTAGACTGGGATAGTCAAGTGGAGGTAAAGGGACCTTCGGGGATGCGGGTGAAGTGAGGGTGACTGTACTTGGGACAGTGGACATACCTCAGCCATGGGTGTGGGCCTGGTGAGGAATGCACTGAGGGCTTGTGTCCTGTGTGTTCATCTGTGTGCAATCACTTTACATATAACATTTTACTCCAGACTGGGAGGCAGGGATTATTATCCTCAGCATAACCAGGATTCAGAGAGCTTAAATTACTGCTCTATGGGTTTGGGTGGCCCAGTGATGATTTCAGGTCAAAAACTGTCAGATTCCCAAGGCCCATGAAATTTCTACCTTTGAGAAATCCTGTTTGCCCAGAATTCATGGGTTTATTATTGTTTCTGTTGTTGTTCCTGAGTATCCCAATTTTAAACACAGTCTCCACACCCTGTCTGTAGTGTGGGATCTTTTTCTCTGTACATCTTTTCCATGGATGGGCTTCTCCATCTTCACTCTTACAAATCCCCAAACCTGGGGCACCTGGGTGGCACAGTCGGTAGCACTCAACTCTTTGATTTTGGCTCAGGTTGTGATCTCAGTGGTGTGAGGTCAAGCCCTGCACTGGGCTCTGTGCTCAGCATGGAGTCTACCTGAGATTCTCTCTCCCTCTCCTTCTGCCCCTCCTGCTTGTGTTCTCTCTTTCTCTCTCAAATAAAGAAATTTTAAAAAATAAAATAAAATAAAAATAAATTCCCCATCCTTCCTTGGGTTTCTCGACTTTGCTCTTACCTCCCAGTTTCCAGCTTTATGTTAAAACTACTCTCTGTGGGGAACAAGTTCTTATTTGTAATGCATCGCATCTTAGATAAGGGTTCAAGGGGGAGGCCCTAGCTTCCTCTTTTGCTTCTCATGGGAAACTACTTGAAGTTGGCTGATCCAGGTGGGCCACATGAACACAGGAGTCTTCCAGGCCAGAGAAGTTCAGGGTCTCCTTGACATTCATTCATTCATTCATTCGTTCGTTCGTTCATTCATTCTTTTTTTGGGGGTGGGTATTTTTCCCATAGCACAATTGAAATATAACTGACAAATCAAATTGTATATATTTAAAGTGTACAGTGTGGTGATTAATTAGATATATATATATCATGAAATGATTACCATAATCAGGTTAATTAACACATCTATCACCTCATATATTTGCCATTTGTCTGTGTGTCGTAAGAATGCTTAAGATCTACAGTCATAGCAACTTTGTATGTACAATACAGTATTTTTAACTGTAGTCACCAGGCTGTACATTAGATCTCCAGGACTTATGCATCTTAAAAATAAAAGCTTATATCCTTTGATCAGCATCTCCTCATTTCCCCCACCCCCTACCTCCTAGTAACCACCATGCTGCTGTTTCTATGAACTCAACCTTTTTTTTTAAGATTCCAAATATAAGTGAGATCATATAGTATTTACTTTCTTCTGTATAGTTCTTTTTATTTAGCATAATATTCTCCAAGTTCACGTATGTTGTTGCAAATGGCAGGATTTCCTTCTTTCTCGCGGCTGAATAATATTTTATTGTATGTATGTATCCCATTTCTTCTTTGCCCTTTCATCCACTGATGGATGCTTAGGCTATTTCCACATCTTGGCTTTGGTAATAATGCTGCAATGAACATGGGAGTACGTGTGTCTCTTTAAGATATCTATTTCATGAAAAAAAAAAGATATTTATTTCATGTTATTCAGGATATATATATCCAGAAGTGGGATTGCCAGATCACATGGTAATTCCATTTTTAATTTTTTGAGGAATGCCTATATTGTTTTCCATATGGTCGATGGGGATGAAGATGATGATATCCAGGTCTGGCCTGGCCGAGGGTAGTATGAAATAAGCAAACAAGCAAATAGCAGGCAGCCTGTGGAAAGCAGATTGCTGAGTCTGAAGCTCAGATTGAATTCAGTAGGCCTAGGGTTGGGCCTAAGAATTGCATTTTGGTAGCATGCGCATAGTGGGTTGTGATAAGTGATCCTATGGCTGGACATGCAAGTAGGAGCATCACTAGTTGAGACCCAGGAAAGTGGGGGCAAAAGTAACAAGGCAAGAGCTGATACAGACAGGAGTAAGGCAGAGCCAGCACCTTGGAGAATGGCAAAGTGTGTATTTCATGGGTAAGAGCCATCAGAGTGCCTTTCAGTGAGGCTAATGAATTAGAGTTGGTCAGGAGTCTCATTTGTCCCCTATATGGGATTCAGTGGTGACTCAGGCATGGCTGGATTCGACTCTGTTTACCCTAATTCTCCATCTCCCTCCTCTACACCATGTTTCTAACCCTGCCACAGCTAGAGCTGTCTTTCTAGTGAAAGATTCTATTCTTGGGGTTCCATGTCTCTACCTCTGTTCTCTAGCAAAAAGGCATCTCAGGATGCCTCCCTTTCAAGAGACTCTCAGGGATGTGGTTTACTCCCCTTCCCTTCTCTGCAAGCTGGATCTCTGCATTCAGTTGCATTTCTCTTTTCTTCTTTGTGTTCCTTTTTTGGCCTTTTATCTAGACCTATGGGTTCTTACTTGCCTTTTGTCTCTTGTGTATAAAAATGGGAGATTTCCTAAACCAAGTCCTCCTTCTGTTGTCCTCATTCCTCAGGAGCCTGTCCTCCCCAACCAGCAGTGTTACTTAGCTCTTTGACTCTTACATCACAGTGAGGAGCACAGAGGAACCCACTTACTGGAACATACAAAGGACCATAAAGTTCCAACACAAGCAACACGGGCTGTATAGAAATTTATGAATATCTGCTGCTGCTGCTCAGAGGTGTGAATTCACAATTATGCACCGAGCATTTATTTCATATAGGGTTTGAAGCTAAGCACTGTGGGGAAGTCCAAGGATCCACCAGCAGAGTATAAAAACAAGGTCCTTGTTTTCAAAATCCTTATGATTTAGTTCAGCTTTGGATCCACTCTCCAGATTAAAATACAGATAGAGCTTTTATTACTTGAAGGAGATAAAGAGAAGGGGGCAGTGTTTAAAAATTCCTCTTTAGCTCCTCCCAAGTGACCTGACACACAAGTGCAGTTTTCAAGTGATTTCCTTAACTATGGAAAACACAAGGGTGCTGGTTAGACATCTCACCCCTGTCCTCCCTTCCCCAGGGGGAATGAAACCAGAGAGCCTGCTTGTTGCCTTCCAGCCTGCTGACAGTGCATCTGATGTCTTTCAAGCTGCAGTCCCTCCCTGGCTCCTACTTTGACTCTGAGTCGAGCTTAAGAAATTGTCAGCCAGAGCTTGAAAGTTAAGCATCAAGTGAGACAGTGAGTGCAGGGTGTTGGTTGCTACCACTCATGTTGACACAAAAAGGACAGTCCCCAGATACCTTCCAGATGCTAAGCAGGTGTCTAATGCATGCTAATGTCTCTTCTGTGCACTCTTTATATTTCACATAAGCCGCGAACGTTATTTTGACTCTGGATTATCTATCACCACGCAGTACAGGTGTGTGCATGAATTATGATATAATTTGGGGGAGGACGCATAAACTATATGTCATTTTTACAGCTGTACCGAGCTTATGTGGCCTTTCCTGACTTTTTCCGTAACTCCACTACCACATGGTGGAAGAGGGAGCTGCAAGAACTATACACCAACCCCCAGAATCCAGAGAGGAGCTTGAAGTTTGACGGCATGTGGATTGTAAGTGTGTGAGTTTGCATCTGTGCACATGTGGGTGGGCATGTTTCTATCTTTGTGTTGCTAAGCTTATGGATCATGACCTTTAATCAGGAGGGCTGATAATCATCCAAGAAAGACTTTGGACGCATCAAATTGCAGTTCCTCCAATCATAAGTGGAGCATCTCTGATATTCCTCATATCATATACCTTGCCCGAAGTTCCTGCTGTAAAATGCAAGGTGATTACTAGGAATTTCTTGGACTTGAGCCTTGCCTCATACCTTGAGGGAGATTTTTTTTTTAATTTTTTTAAATTTATTTATGATAGTCACACACAGAGAGAGAGAGAGGCAGAGACATAGGCAGAGGGAGAAGCAGGCTCCATGCACCGGGAGCCTGACGTGGGATTCGATCCCGGGTCTCCAGGATCGCGCCCTGGGCCAAAGGCAGGCGCTAAACCACCGCGCCACCCAGGGATCCAGATTTTTTTTTTTTTAAATGCTCTAGCCAATCATTCTTGAGGGCTTCATTGATCTTTCTAGTCAGTTCTCAGCTGGATCTGATGAGTCTCCCTGGGTTGATATCTACGGGATTGCTGGAAGGTGAATGATTTATTCACTGCTTCCTTGTCTCTGAGTTGGCAGGATGTAATGATTTAAAAAAGTAAGCTATATCTGTGTTTGACATTTCTAGGATATGAATGAGCCAGCAAGTTTTGTGAATGGAGCAGTTCGCCCAGGCTGCAGGGATGCCACTATGAACCACCCCCCCTATATGCCACGTAAGAGCCCTCGGTCTCCTTTTTTGGCAGAGCCATGGCTATGAGGAGTGACCTCAACAAGAACCCAGCAGCCAGGGTTTATCCTGACTGCTCAGGGCATATCTTAACTGGCACTGTGGTTTTTAGGGGGAACAAAGACATACATGCGTCAAGTACTTTATCCAGTTGAGTGTGTATAAGTTACTGGCCCTGTTGGGTGAGTTTCTCGAATATGTTCAGAAAACAAACGGGTGGGCTCAGTTGGTTAAGCATCTGCTTTCGGTTCAGATCATGATCTCGGGATCTTGGGATCGAGCCCTGCATGCGGCTCCCTGCTCAGTGGGGAGTCTGCTTCTCCCTTTGTCTCTCCCTCTCCCTCTGCTTTTCCCTCTCTCTCTGCCACTCCCCCCTCACTCGTGCTCTCTCTCATGCTTTCTCTCTACTCAAATAAATAAAATCTCAAAAAAAAAAAAAACCACTTAATATCAGTTATGTCTCCAAAGGATTCTAGAACTAAGTTTCTTAATTCTTCAGGCCTCTGTGAATTCCTCCACAGGAATTTGTTAGGCCCCCAGTGGGTGGAAAGTAGTGGCTCCCCCTTATCATGAAGTCGATGGACTTTGGTGTTGTACTTGTGTTCATATCTTGGTTCCAGAAATTATATTTACTATGAATTGTGTGACCTTTAACAGGTTACTTGATGTTTCCAAATCTGTGTTTTAAATTGTGAAGGGAGGGGCACCTGGGTGGCTCAGTGATTGAGCATCTGCTTTGGCTCGGGGCATGATCCCGGGGCCCCCACATGGGGCTCCCTGCATGGAGCCTGGTTCTCCCTCTGCCTGTCTCTGCCTCTCTGTGTCTCTCATGAATAAATAAATAAATTCTTAAAAAAAAATTGTGAAGGGAGATAGTGCTCTTTTATAGAGTTATAGGAATTACATGAAATGACTTACAAGAAAAATGCTTAGACTGCATCCTGTCAAGTAATTAGTTGTTTCTTTTTTTTAAGATTTATTTATTTATTCATTCATGAGATACAGAGAGAGAGGCAGAGACATAGGCAGAGGGAGAAGCAGGCTCCCTGTGGGGAGCCCCATGTGGAACTCTATCCCAGGAGACCCCAGAATCACATCCTGAGCCAAAGGCAGATGCTCAACCACTGAGCCACCCAGGTGTCTCAAGTAGTTAGGCATTTGACACCTGTGTTTTCCTCCCCCTACCCCTGCTTTCTCCTGGAGAACCCTGTAGGGGACCTTATGTTGAAAGCACCTGTGGGTTCCATTGCAGCCCCAAGCCAAGCATGTTCCCATGCCCCTGAACATGCCCCTGAGGAGAAGAGGAACCCATGCACGGGTCTTAAGATCTAGCGTCCAATTCCTTAAAGAGGGGTCAGGAGTAAACAGGAGCAGACATGGCATTTATATCACTAGATCTTTCTCCTCAGATTTGGAGTCCAGGGATAGAGGCCTGAGCAGCAAGACCCTGTGCATGGAGAGCGAGCAGGTCCTGCCAGATGGCTCACGGGTGCGGCACTATGATGTTCACAGCCTGTATGGATGGGCCCAGACCAGACCCACCTACGAGTGAGTCATGTTCTCCCTTCTCTGGTCCACATGACCTGCAGGGACAGCCAATGACTGAGGAAGTTACCCTGCATTTCCTTTCATGCCCCATCTCAAGGGTTAAGAACATATTAATTACAAATGTGTCACAATGCTTATTTTTTTTAAAGATTTTATTTACTTATTTACTTATTTAGAGACAGCATGAGCAGGGGCAGGAGCAGAGGAGGAGGGAGAGGGGGAGAATCTCAAACAGACTCTCTGCTGAGTGTGGAGTCCAATGAGGGGCTTGATCTCATGACCCTGAGATCATGACCTGAGCCGCACAATTCTTACATATTAAGCGAACACAAGCATGGAGCCAGGCTCCATGATCATGGTTAGAAGGACAGGTTTAAGTAAGACATGGTCCTAACAGCGAGAGACAGATAGTCCTTGTAGAGGAGACACACATGGAGACACAAGCAATGATCACACAGTGCAGCTGATGCTATAATTAAATATAAGAGGTGAAGGGAACACAGAAGACTAGCTCTCCTTTTATTTTCTTTTGAAAGTGACTCATCTCTGTTGGGTTTTTTTGTTTTAGTTCTGCTGAATTAGTGCTATCCCATTTTGTGAGCTCAGTCAATGAATAATAAGAATTATCCTAAGGAAAGCCTTACAAAGGAATTTATTTTCTTCCTCCGTAAATATAAAAATATAAAAACTTAGTATTTAGTAAATAAGTGGTAAGACTTTGTGGTTATTCATTATTTTTAGGTGATCCAGTAAGTTTATCACAAAGTTTGTCGCAAAACACTATTTAAAAGCACAATTGGACCATCATTTCTATCATCCAGGGTCAATCAGTGGGGACTTCATTATGGCTCAGATTTCCATATTTCCTCCAGCAATGCAGGAGACATTTTGTTGCTATGCCTTGGGCTCTGAAACTCTGGATGGAGAAGCTCTGTGGCCTTTTCTTTCCTAATCTGCTCTCCAATCACCTCCTTTCCCCCTCCAACTAGAGCTGTGCAGGAGGTGACGGGACAGAGAGGGATTGTCATCACCCGCTCCACATTCCCCTCTTCTGGCCGCTGGGGAGGCCACTGGCTGGGTGACAACACGGCCGCGTGGGACCAGCTGAAGAAGTCTATCATTGGTATGTGGGCTTATCCTTAGGGTCCTCTGCTGGTGGGAGGGGCGCTAGGCCCCCTTGATAAAGGATTCTTGAGGAGGGAGGAGGAAACAGATCATGAATCCCATCTCTCACATAGCTGTGTTCTTGTTGCAGGCATGATGGAGTTCAGCCTCTTTGGTATATCTTATGTAAGTGTCTTTTGGGTCACTTCTAATCCCCAAGAAGATAGTCACATCTTTCAGAAATCACCAACAAGCTTGTTTTATTCTACCTTGTTTCAGACAGGAGCAGATATTTGTGGGTTCTTTCAAGATGCTGAATATGAGATGTGTGTTCGTTGGATGCAGCTGGGGGCCTTTTACCCCTTTTCGAGGAACCACAACACCATTGGGACCAGGGTAGGATGTTAACTTATAGCTCAAAAGTCTTGTGTCACTAGGAATACAACCTCCAAATTTGAGCTACAATTAATTAATATTCTCTATGACATCCTCAAAACCATCAAACCCTTATGTTTCTTGTTTTTTTTTCTTATTTGATACACTTATGTATTGTGAAATGTTTACCATAGCAGGATTAGTTAACACTTCCATCACCTCACATAATTGCCATTTCTTTTTTGTGGTGAGAACATTTAGTATTTATTCTTTTAGCAACTTCCAAGTATAAAATAGAATATTATAAACTATAGTCACCATTCGATTGTGCATTCGATTACCAGAACAAATTCATCGTGTAACTGGAAGTTTGTACCCTTTGACTGATACTTCCCCATTTCTCCTATCCCCCAGCCCCTGATATCCACCATTCTGTTCTCTAGAGGAATGAGAGGTAATAGATGTGATAGATGTGAGGTGATATCTCACTGTGGTTTTGATGTGTATTTCCCTGATGATGAGCGTTATTGAGCATCTTTTCATGTAACTGTTGGCCATTTGCATGTCTTCTTTGGAAACTGGAAACCAATAACAGGAGAAAAACTGGAAAACTCACAAATATGTGGAAATTAAACAACCAATGGGTCAAAGATGAAATCAAAAGGAAAATAAAGAAAATATCTTGAAACGGATAAAAATGGAAACACAATATACCAAAACTTATGGGATACAGCGAAAGCATTTCTAAGGGGAAGTTTATAATGATAAACACCTACATTAAGGAAAAGAGAGAAAGATCTCAAATAAAAACCCGATTTTATATCTTAAGGAACTAGCAAAAGAAGAACAAAGTAAGCCCATGGTAAAAAAAAGAAATAAAGATGAGAGGAGAAATAAGTGAAATGGAGACCAGAAAAACAACAGAAAAAATCAACAAAACTAAGAGCTGGTTCTTTGAACAGATAAACTAAATTAACAAACCTTTAGTTAGATTTGTTAAGGAAAAAAAGAGAAAAGACTTAAATAAATAAAAAATATAAATGAAAAAGGAGACATTAGAATTGATACCACAGAAATGCAAAAGATCACAAGAGACAGCAATTATATACTAACAAATTGGACAACCTAGAAGAAATGAATAAATTCCTAGGAACATACAGTCTACCAAGACTGAATCATGAAGAAATAGAAGAGCCTAACAGATAAATACTGAAAAAGGAGATTGAACTAGTAATCAAAAATCCCCTAACAAAGAAAAGTCCAGAACCAGATGTTTCCCAGATGACCTATACAATGAAAACCATTGGACATATATGAAAGAAATTGAAGAATACACAAACAAATGGAAAGATATTCTATGTTCATGGATTAGAATTAACATTGTTACAATGTCTATACTACCCCCAAACCATTTATAGATTCAGTGCAATCATTATCAAAATTCCAGTAGCATTTTTCACAGAAATAGAAAAAACAATCCTAACATTCATATGGAACTACAAAACACCCCAAAGAGGTAAGGCAATCCTGAGAAAGAAGAACAAAGCTGGAGGCATCATGCTTCCTGGTTTCAAATTATATTACAAAGTTATAGTAATCAAAATAGTTTGTTATTGACCTAAAAATAGATCAATGGAACAGAATCAAAAGCACAGAAGTAAACCTTTGCAAGAATATTCAATGGAGAGAAGACAGTCTCTTCAAAAAATGCTGTTGGGAAACTGGAAAATCACATGCAAAAGAATGAAATTGGAGCCCTGTCTTATAACTCACAAAAATTAACTCAAAATGATTAGTAATTTAAACATAGGACTTTAAACTGTGTAAGTTCAGGAAGAAAACAGGAGAAAAGCTCCTTGATGATGTTCTTGGCAATGATTTTTTGGGATATGACACCAAAAGCATAAACAACAAAAGTAAAAGTAATAAGTCTAGGGATCCCTGGGTGGCTCAGCGGTTTAGTGCCTGCCTTCGGCCCTGGGCGTGATCCTGGAGACACGAGATCAAGTCCCACGTCGGGCTCCCTGCATGGAGCCTGCTTCTCCCTCTGCCTGTGTCTCTGCCTCTCTCTCTTTGTGTCTCTCATGAATAAATAAATAAAATCTTAAAAAGATAATAAGTCTACATCAAACTCAAAAGCTTCTGCACAGCAAAAGAAACAACAAAATGAAAAGGCAACATATGGAATGGAAGATATTATTTGCAAACTATATATCTGATAAGGAGTTAATATCCAAAATACGTTAAGGCACTCATTCAAATCAAGAGCACAAACAATCTGGTTTAAAACACATAAACAATCTGATTTAAAAATAGGTAGACTTACCACATAGACATTTGTCCAGGAAGACATACAAATGGCTAACAGGTACATGGAAAGGTCCTCATGCTTCAGTGAACCAGATTCCTTAGGGCTTTTTAGATTTTTGTTCGTTTAGGCTGTGTTCTACCAAATATATCCCAAAAAGAATGTCTTATGGAGAAATTTCATCAACTGTCTTGGGAAAGCTTGAGGGACTTCTTTCAATATATTAAGAATTTTCTCAGGCTCGTCTATAATCAAATTGATCAAATGTGATCTTCATTTGTAATAAGCATTCGGTGACATCCTTAAGTTTCCAGGTCCCAAGGTAAGCTCTGAGCATTTCTTTTCTCTCCTTTAGAGGCAAGACCCTGTGTCCTGGAATGCAACCTTTGAGGATATCTCCAGAAGTGTGCTGCAGACCAGATACACCCTGTTGCCATATCTCTACACCCTGATGCACCTGGCCCACACGGAGGGCAGTACTGTCGTGCGGCCCCTTCTCCATGAGTGAGTGTCTAGCTGGGATCCCAATGACTAAGGGATAATATCATTCTATGTGATGGCTTCTGGGAAAGTACTTCCAAATTAAATTAAAGACATGATTGCCCTGTGCCATAAGCTTTCCGGGCACAGATCATACATTATAACACCTTTTAGCACAGCATCAGTCATGCCCAAGGGTCTTTGATAAAATGTTACTGAATGAAAAAAAAAATTCAAAGTGATTATAATACAACATGGAATACTTTCTTTCTAAATTGGGCATATGAAGAGCTGCTGCCTATCTTTTGTAGTGGCTCAGGTCACAGAAACAAGGCCAGATATGAGGGATGGAGATTTGAGGGTGGAAAGCCATTCTTGGATTTAAAACCTGCCATAGTTAAGAAACATGGAAATATTTATAGGTGAGAACATGTCTAAATCCAACCATTGATGGGGTTTGAAGAACATGACAGAAAGCAAGTATGTATCTGATTAAGGGAGACATAGGGAAATGGTAAAGGAAGCTGTAGAATGCAGCTGAATTTCTGACCTGGGTCTAAACTTAAAGAGTTTCTTTTTTCTTTCTTTCTTTCTTTCTTTCTTTCTTTCTTTCTTTCTTTCTTTCTTTCTTTCTTTCTTCTTTCTTTCTTTCTTTCTTTCTTTCTTTCTTTCTTTCTTCTTTCTTTCTTTCTTTCTTTCTTCTTCTTTCTTTCTTTCTTCTTTCTTTCTTTCTTTCTTTCTTTCTTTCTTTCTTTCTTTCTTTCTTTCTTTCTTTCTTTCTTTCTTTTTCTTTCTTTTTTTAATTTAAATTCAATTTGCCAACATATATAACACTCAGTGCTCATCCCACCAAAGCCCTCCTTAGTGCCCATCACCCTGAACTTGAGTTTCTTCAGGGTCTTGGCCTAAGGCCTTTTGGGGTCTTAATTGTAGTACCTTGGTTTCTCTTTCCAGGTTTGTGTCAGACCGGGTGACCTGGAATGTAGACAGTCAGTTTCTGCTGGGCCCAGCCTTCCTAGTCAGCCCTGTCCTGGAGCCTGTGAGTATGGGTGCCTCTGATGAATAGAGAATTAGAGTTCTAAGGCCTAGTGACTAGAGGCAGCAGAAGAGGCCTGGTCTGCTGGAAGTCCTGAGATGTGGTCTCTTATTCTACTTCTGTCTCTCCCTCTCCGTCTCCCTCTGAGTTGAATTCCATTACTTAGGTGCTCTGTCCTCTGCTCCCTAATCTTTAAAATCAGCATAACAGATTCTGATTCCTAGGAAAATCAAGAAGAAAGAACCTTATGATACATTTGAAGATATAATCATTTCTTTATTAACTAAAATAAGACGAATGGACCAGGTAAATCAAGCTATGTTATAAAAATTCATTTCAGTCCTTTATCACCATTAAAAACAATTTTGCAGGATGTTTATACCAATTTGCATAATCTTTTTGTGGGCTAGCCCTTCTCTTCCTTCTATAAGATGTCCTTAGGCAGCAAAAGCCATTTCTTCATTTTTTTTCTCTTGATGTATAGGCTTCTGATTAGAATACCAGCTAATTCCATCCTCCCCAAAACTTACTGCACTAATTATAATCCCTAAAGTACTGGCACCAAAAAATCTACAAAATTTTCTTCTACTCCAGTCCCAACGAGAGGGTATGAGATAAGTCTATAAGCAAATGATGATTTTTTTCCCCAAAAGTCCTGATCCCAAAGGGCTTTAGGGAAACTATTAGTTTCTGGTAGGCAACTCTCCCATTTGGGAAGAGGGGAGGCATGGGAGGAAAGGCTTCCCCAGCATTGCTGGTCTCTAAAAGATAAACTTGTGGGTCCAAGACCAACACTATTGTTTTGACCCTTTTACTATGCAAATTGGTTACATTGCCCAGGATGGAAGAGCCCACCGCCAAAGTCTTGTTTGTGTTTAATTTTAGAATGCCAGAAATGTCACTGCATATTTCCCTAGAGCCCGCTGGTATGATTACTACACGGTAAGTTTTTCTGATGATTTATACAACTTGGGAAAATGGTAGTGTACACAGGCTTCAGAATCTGACACATCATCCATCCGATTCTGGCTCCGTAACTCATTTGATGTGTGTGAGCTTGGACAATCACTTTTAACCTCGTAGCCTCAATTTTTTCACCTCTAAGTAGGATAAGTGCACTTTTCTCACAGAGCTGTTAAAAAATAACACATTTTGTGAGTGTTCTTTATGTGTTAGTTTTTATCTTTCATGCTGGTGTATAATGGCAGCACTAGTAAATACTTGAAATTGTGCTGTCAAATGTAGTTTTTGTTCATATCATCCCTTATAAGACTGTAAGTCCAAAAAGTATTGAGGCCCTTCCTTTCTTGTTTTTTTTTTTTTAAGTTTTAAAGATTTTATTTATTTATTCATGAGAGACACAGAGAGAGACATAGGCAGAGGGAGAAGCAGGCTCCATGCAGGGAACCTGATGTGGGACTCAATCCTAGGACCCCGAGGTCATGACCCGAGCTGAAGGCAGACGCTCAACCACTAAGACACTGAGGTGCCCCTCCTCTCTTGTTATTAAATATCTCCTTCTATAGCATGGATGCTCCAGGAGGAGTTGTTAAATGTAATCTCCTGACGTAAGCACAGTCTTAGGCAGTATTATAAAATGCACATGGAGGTATGAGACGCAACCAACCCTTGTGTGCCAGAGCAACGCAAGTGCATTTAGAAATGGAAGATGAACATGTCATTCTCTGTTCTAGAACATTTCTACACTAGTGGGGGCTCCAGAGACTCAGCTGAGTAAACAGGGCCTTTCAAAGCAAGCACAAGGCCATGTTCTCTTGTAAGGACAAAAGTCGGATTTTGATTCTTGAGGAAGAATCAAAGGAGGTAATTCCTCTCCCTGTAACCAAGCCTACTCTGACTTTTCTGAGGAGAGCAAAGCAGAGGACTCAAAATCCAGCAAAAGGAGAATAGCGGGAGAACAATAGGCAGAGCATACTCTGGACCTTTGGGTCAATGCATTTGCGGTGTGATTAGGTGAAAACTGGACAAGAACAATGGAAGTCTTGTTCCTCCTCCTCTTTGTCTCACTGGAGCCCCGAGTCCTTCCCCGACACCTCTCACATCTTTTTTTTTTTTTTTTTCCCCTCGTGGGTTGGATCTGTCCTCTAGATGGCCCTGCGTTAGGACTCTGCTGTGTGCTTCCCCAGCCAGGGCCTGCAGCCGGGGAGCAGCCAACTGATTTTAAGTCACCTAGCCTTGGTCCTGAATTTGCATGTTCACTGCTCCATTCACTCACAGAGATTTTGAGTACCCGAAGGTTCGGAACAGTGGAATACACGAGTTGCCTGGGCATGCAGTTTAAAGAGGTCCTCCTTCGTAGGGCTGAGCCAGTGTTTGTATGACCCTGACAGTGAGCACTGCCTTAAACTGGGCCCCCTAGGCATCTCACGTAATTCCACTCTAGTCCCAGCCTGGCCCAGGTGCAGGCCACCTTTTGAGCTTCAGGTGTTAGAATACTGTGACAGCTTCCCATTGAGTGCACCCTGGAACCTGGAGCTGATATTTGCATGTGGTCAACACTACTACTTATGTACATAATCGTAGACACTACATGAAAGAAAGGGAAGTGTGAGGGCTAGGAAAGAAAAGTATCCTGGAAATTGTTGATTTTATACATGGCTTTTAAACAGAAGAGCTTTGGTTGAGGAAGGAAAGGGGGAAAATCACTTAGGAAGGCTCAAGTTGATGGAGCAAACCATTTAGAAAAAAATTAAATTTTTCCTGTTAAATTAAAATGGAGATTCTGTGGTTAGAATTAATGAAGAAGTGTCTCCTTGATTAATCTTTACGTGGTTGGGTACCTATTTTTGTACAAGAGCAGAGGTTGGCAAACTACCACCCACAGCTACATCTGATTCATACTTGTTTTTATAAATAATGTTTTATTGGAACACAGGCATGAGCATTTGTTTATTTATTGTCAACAACATCTGTATTCACACCAGCAGAGTGGAGTAGTTTCACCAGAAGTCATCTGACCTGCAAAGCCTAAAATACTTAGTATTCGGTCCTTTATAGACAAAATTTACCAATTCTAGTTCTAGCAGATATACATGCAGTATGAGGCCTAGTCCACCATCTGATCATGTGAAAAGGAACAAATTCATTATTCAGTATAAGGAATACAGTGGAATATTAAAACATAGTGTCAAAAGTTAGAGGAAGAAGAGCTGCAGATGTACTGGTTAAAGGATAAAAGTCACCAGGGGGAAGATAAGATTGGAAGGGTACCATGAAAGATATGTAGGGTTCCAAAAATACGTTAGAAGAGTAGAGATACCTCCCCTGGTATAAATACAAACATTGGAGAAGGGCAAACATGGTAAAATGGAAAGTAAAATTCACCATGTTCCTTATCTCCCAACTGCTGGTCCCCCTTCTAGAGCTAACCCCTGTTAACAGTTATATATCTTTGCTGATAAAAGTTTGTGCATAGACTAGCATATGTGTATTCTTTTTTATTTACACAAATAGTATCTTACTGTACATACTAAAAGGCTCCTTAATTAATTCACTTAATAATATATCTTGAAGCTTTTGTTTATTAAAGAACTTTGAACTTGAACTCTTTGAATTTGAAGCTCTTCCCTATTTTTTTAGCAACTATATTATATTCCATTGTACGGAATCATTTAGCAAATCACTTGTGTGGATGGACATTTTGGATTTAGGTTTGCCTGCTTTCTTTTTATAAGTAGTGGTACAAGGTTATAGGTAGCACCATTGTATGTGTATCTCCATATAAGTTTTGTCAGTGGAATTTCTGGGATTTAAAAATTTGACAGATATTGGCAGGTTGCTTTCTGAAAAGGTTTTATCAGCATTCAATCCCACTGAGTGTTTATAAAAGTGCCAAGCAAAGATACTTAATCAACAACTGTGCAGTTGATGCAAATTCCCCCTACAAAGACACTTGGGTTGTCTATTCTTATTTTAGTAGTGTGCTTTTAGATTTTTACCGTACAGTCATATCTTAATGGATATTTAAACAGGAATTTGTTAGACTACTCTGGTCAGAAACTACATAATGGAAAGTAAATAAGCTTCTGATAAATCAAGTATTAGAAATGAAATCATGAGATTAAACTCACATCACATTTACATAATGTGTAGTAGAATAGAAATATTATTGAGAGAAATAAAGAATTTGGTAGGGAGATAACTTTGACATTTTTATATGTGTCGAGTTTCACTGGTAGGCAGGATAATCAATGGAGGAAATGTCCAATGTTCATAAGATACCAGAGTGAAATGTCATTAGAGATCATATAATCGGATTTTCTCATGTTATCAGTGAGAAAACTGAAGAAGCCCAGAGATGTAGGACTGAAATTTTTATTAAATCCTGTAGACTCTGGAGTCCTGAGGCAGGCCTCAGGGAGTATGGCATCAGTCACCATGCTTCCTTCTGACCACTTACCCCTATGGTTCACACAGGCGAATATGGCTAAAATGAACAAAAGGGACCAAAGTGGAGGAGTGTTATGGTAGCTTTCCTCCTTACCTTTAAGATAGCAATTATCAAATGGGGGGATTTTTTTGCCTACCAGGGGACATTTGGCAATGTCTGGAGACCTTTTGGGTGTCATTTGTGGCTGAGGTGGGCTGGGGGAGGTGCTACTGGCATCTAGGGCATGGACATGGGTTAAGCATTCCAAAATTACAGGACAGCCCCCATGACAAAGAATTATCTGGCCCCAGATGTCTACAGTGCTGGAGCTGGAAAGCCCTGCCTTAGGTTGAAGAAATGTGGAAGGCTGGTTTCTTAGAAACTGAGCTTCATGGCTCTGGGTGAGAGAGCACTTCTCCCTGTCACAGGGGAGGCAAGATAAAGATGTTAAACATAAAGGAAGTTTAGTGAGTTAAAGATAAGGATTTGTAAAGTAAGTCAGTTCATTTTAATTCTGTCAAGTAGGAATCAAAGCTTTAGTAAAGTTGGTCAGGGTGAGGAAGTGGGGGCAGTAAAAGGAGCTGAAAGAGAAGGTCTAGAAATGCCATTGCAGGGCATGTATCAAAAGCTAACAAGAAATAAGCAAAAGAATTCCTCAACTTCCTCTAGCACTGCTCTCTGACACAGAAACAGGATGTGGAATGAGGGTAGGCTGAGATCCACACTACCATCTCCTGTAGTACGTACGGTAGAAACCCCAGAAGACAAGGGGTGCTGACATGATGTTGGAGCATCAGGGTAAGAGTCCACCCAGTAGCTGAGTGAAAGTGGAGATGGGTAATACCAGCTGTGTGCTGGAAGGTCATGGACAGGCAGCAAGTCCAGAACAGTAGACAAGGTGTCTGGTAAATGCGTTGTTCAGTGAGGTGTGTTCTCTTACCCTCACCCTGTCTTACCTTCTTCTGGCCCACAGGGTGTGGACATTGGAGCAAGGGCAGAGTGGAAGTCCTTGCCAGCCCCTCTTGACCACATTAATCTTCATGTCCGTGGGGGCTACATCCTGCCCTGGCAAGAGCCTGCACAGAACACCCACTTAAGGTGAATGATGGGACAAGGCTTCTCCTTTACCTGCCAGTTAGCTTAGATCCTGCTGAAGCCCGCCAATCTGTAAGCAGCACCCTCAGACCCCAAAGGAATTTTACTAAAGACATTTTTGTTGTTGGCTTTTTTGTGTTTTAACTTTTCCTAGACTCTGCACTCTTTGAACAATTATTAACAATTATTTTAGATTCCAGTGGGTGAGATAATAGGTCTAACTGATAACACTTGAAATGGAAGTCAAACAAGGAGCAACCCAATTCATACTAGTTTTAGAAGACTATCTGAATCTTAATGGACTCTGCTAAGAAAACTATTGCTAAAAAATTATGTAAGCCACATTGCAATTGATGGCTGAGGCTGAGATTCCTCACATACAGGATTTTAGAGTTCTGGACCTAAGTCTACACAATAATTAATAATAGCTAACATCAAGTGAATGTTTGCTCTGTGCCTAGAACAATACTAATATGGAGTTTTCTATTTGAAAATCTATTTTTCTTAACAAAAGGACAAAGGAAAAAATAAACTCTGTGATGAAAATGCTATTATCCCCATTTCACAGATAAGCAAAGAGAGGCTTCAAGTGGTCACACAGTTTTTAGGTAGTTGAGCACAGACTAAAATCCATGAATGTCTGATGCCAAACTAAAATCTTAGAGCCATACTCATTTGATTAAAAAATTCAGTTAAAAACTAAAGAGCTTAGGACATTTATAAACAGAGCTCACTGTACACGTCCTTAGGAAATTATGTCATGAAAAAAGAAAGATCACATCAGGATTTTTCTTACAGAACCACTGAATTTGCTTGTAGTTTCTTGTAGTACTTTTACAGCACGTGTAGGCTTTATAAAACCTTAAAGGAAAATTCCCCTACTTCATTCATTCATTCATTCATTCATTCCTGACCTGAAATCATATAGCCACTGGAGACAGAACTAGAGCTAGATCATAAGTCTCTTGCCTAGTACCCAGTCTTTATACTATGAAGCACTTCCATTATGTCTCTATGAAAACTCTTGGTTTATGGCTGTGGTTTTGTTTTTAGCTAACGGCTCTTTCCTACCTCATTGCAGCCGTCAGAAATTCATAGGCTTCAAAGTTGCTTTGGATGATGAGGGGGCCGCTAAAGGCTGGCTCTTCTGGGATGATGGGCAAAGCATTGGTGAGTAGGATTGCCTTGGATTCGTGTCAATACCACTGACTAGGGGACAGGCCTGCTGTCCATGTTAAAACAATTCTGCATTCCTAAACATAGCCATTTGTCATTTTAAGTGCATGGTAGCTATTGTATATGATCTGTATGCCTCATGTAAGTGAAGTATAGCTCTGAATCTCTCAGCATTACCCAACTGTCCTAATTCACTGTGTGAGATAGCAGTATGGAAGCCATAGGGAGTTTCTTAGTAGTCAAGTGAGATATACTTCCATATGGTTTACATTCAAGGGCACATTTCCTAATTACATGGTTTACTGTCCCAGTAAGAAAGACAATGCCTCTAGCAGCCATGCTATTTATTTGGAGGGATTTTCCATTAGGAGTTTACAGGAACTGGCAAACTCTTGGGACGAGGCTTATGCTCCATTAGCTCTATCTAAGCCATTTCTGTCCAGTGCAATGATGGAAATAGACTGTATCTGTGTTGCCCCATATGGTAGCAGTTGGCATAGGTGACTATTGCACATTTGAAATGTGACAAGTGCATCAGAGGAACTGAATTTATTTATTTAATTGTAATTAACCCTAATTTAAATAGGTATATACTATCAGTGGCTGCCATCTTGGATGGCATAGCTCTAGAGTGTAGCCAATGCCCTCTGATTGAGTGGTAAGCAAATTAGAAAGAAGCTAGAATATGGGGGAAGAGTGAGCAAGCCCCAGAAGTTGGAGATAGGATGGGGATGGCTATGCTAGACAGGCTGAGCTTCATATTCTCCATGAACCTGTGGCATACATGAAGGATAAATGACAAAAAAGTCTTTTCTTGGTCTCTGGAGACTGCATTAAAAAAATTGCCTCATACCTCTCAAGCTGACCAAGATACCAGTGATGTTTGTGATGCGTGTGTACATGCACGTGCACACATCTGTGTGCCTCTAGCAGAAGGGATCTGGGAATTCTGAGGTGACAAGGAAGGTGTGGGGAATGGTAGATCATGAGAAAGAGAAGCAGATTAAAGAGTGGTGTCAGGAAACTGCATTCTATGAGGGATTCTATTAGCCAGGTGCATCTATACACACTCATTTCAAACGCTGTGTAAGCGGAGTTTGGGGGAACACCTGAGCTCACAAAATGGAACTCTGTAAAGAAGAAAAGTAAAATGAGGAACAAAAATCATCCCTACTTTCTTAACAAGTAAGCAATTGGAATTCAAGAGCACAGCTCCAGATCACTTACTTTGTTGCTCATTTGCAGACACCTATGGAAAAGGACTCTATTACCTGGCCAACTTTTCTGCCAGCCAGGTGAGTGTAACTGGTACTGTGAAGAGAGAACAGAGTTCTGTTGGCTTAGTTGAATGCTGGATATCATAAGGGCATTACGTACCGTCTAGAATCCCTTCCCTGCTTGTCTTCTTAATTTGCATCTTTCCCTTCCTCTAGACTTCACATGGACATTTAGTAAGCTCTCAGGAAGTTCTCTGTGATTAAACCCATTCATATTTCATCAGTAACTTATTCCAGTTCACCAAGGCACAGACGGACAGATTGTTTCTGCGTTATCTGGCCCTTGCTCCCGTGTTGCCTTGGGATGGTCTGCACATTTTGTGACTCCTCTACATGTAGAGGATACAGTTCCTGATAGCTGAGACTTTTTGTCTCCCTAGAGTTCAGGGTGAGTCTAGAGACACTGCAGGTGCTTAGCCAATGCAAAGCTGGATGATAGCTAGAAGCAGGAGATACCGGGCTGAAATCATACTCTGCATTATCCAAGGGCACAAGATGGGGACTCTCACATTGTCTTAACTTCATGACCTATATTTGTGCCTAAAAAAAGGTTGGGAAAAATTTAAATGGATTTTGTTTTGTTTGTTTGTTTGTTTGTTTGTTTTTTTCCCCCTCTGGTTTCCTTTTATCTCCAATGGACAGAATATGATGCAGAGTCATATAGTTTTCAACAAATACATCACCGATGCAAACCCTTTGAAACTGGGCTACGTTGAGATCTGGGGAGTGGGCAGTGTTTCCATCTCCAGTGTCAGCATCTCTGTGAGCGGCATGGTGATAACGCCCACCTTCACTTACAACCCTGCGACACAGGTTTGTGACCAGTGAAAAGTCCCTATGGTATTTCCTGGGCTAATCCTAGGGCAGTCCCTGCCTACTTCCTTTCCAAATGACAGCCTTTCCTGCAGAGCCCTTTGGGAAGCTGTGTTCAGTGCACCAGCAGTAGACAGCATGGAGATGAAGGGGAAATTCCTGACTTATTATCATTGGGAATTGTGGGTCTCGAGCCTTTCTTTCCACATTTTTTCTTCCCTGCAAATTTATATAAAACTGTCTTTACTCCTTCACCTTGCCTTAGAGCTCTACTTCCCAGACAGCTCGAACTACCTTATTGCATCAAATATGACACCATACTTAGAGTTGTCCCATTATTTCATGTGGCATGAAGAAGGAAAAAAAAGTTACAAAAGTATGATACAATGCTTTCATATCATTTAAAATCTCTACTTTAAACACACAGAGAGCTTTGCAAACTTTCTTAAAGATTTTTATCATTTTAATGTTAGTGATAATACAGAGGAAAACATTGGGTAGGGACACATGGACATTGATAAATTTGCATTAAAGTAATTTAGACAAGGTAAACTCTGAATGTGAAGAAATATTAGAAATGCCTTGCTACGCCTGGGTGGCTCAGTCAGTTATGCGGGTTAAGCACCTGCCTTTGGCTCAAGTCATGATCCCAGGGTTCTGGGATTGAGCCCCCTGTTGGGCTCCCTACTGAGCAGGGAGTTGGCTTCTCCCTCTGCCTCCACCCTTCCCCCTCCCCATGCTTGTAATCTCTCTATCAAATAAATAAATAAATAAATTATTTTTTTAGATAAAGAAATGGGGATGCCTCGGTGGCTCAGCGGTTGAGCGTCTGCCTGCAGCCCAGGGCGTGATTCTGGACCCCTGGGGATTGAGTCCCACATTGGGGTCCCTGCATAGAGCCTGCTTCTCTCTCTGCCTGTGTCTCTGCCTCTCTCTCTGTGTCTCTCTGTGTGTGTGTGTCTCATGAATAAATAAATAAAATCTTAAAAAAAAAAGAAAAAGAAATGCCTTAGCCAATTTGTATCACAGATTTTTCTTTTAATATTAAAATTTGTATGTGAATATGGCAAATTACCATCTTATTATTATTTAAAAGAAGAATATGTGGCATGAATGGGTTAAGGTATTTCTCTGTGCTATCAGAAAGAAGCATTGGTGATACATCATTTCAAAAAAATTCTTCCACCAATCTCTATGGGATTTTTTCCAAAGCTAGCAAATGCATTATACAAGTTTTCATCCTCACACTTTCTTGATCTTACTACCAGTCAGGTTTCCTATTTTTTCCTAAAATAATCCTTAAGTGGTTCATAGTCCATCCATTCATAATACCAACAATAGCAATGAAGTTCATGCATGTACAGACAGTAACAATTGTCATGAATGCTACTTAGCTCACAGTAATTCTAAAGCTGTTGACTGTAAGACACATTCTGATTTCATGAATGTTAAATATGTAGAAAATTTGCCCCTTAGCATCAATGGAGTGTGGTGTTTCCAACACTTGTCCTCATGGTAAATGGATCTTTCTGTGTGTGCTTGCTTCTTGCTTTTTTTCTGGACTTTTTCTTTCATAATCCTTCCTGATTACAAGGCCTGAAACAAAAGTTTTCCCTTCAGTTTTGTATTTTTTACTTGTTTCCTCATACTTGTGGCTTTCTTCTCAACCAACTTCCCCAACTCTACCAAGAGCTCATAAAGAACTTTGCCCAATCTTGTTGCTGACCCACTCCTGGACTGTCATACTAGCTGCTGACGGCACTCACAATGACACTTTATGGAAGCCGTTTGCCTAGAAAAAAGCTGAACTGTTGGACTACTTTCACTGGGGAATCACCAAGTCGCTATGGGGGGAACAGGAAAAGGAGAAAAAGAAAGGAGGGTTCCAAGGAATGGAAATGAAGACATCTCCAATTTTCTGTGCAGTTGTTTTAGGGTAGTTGCATTATTTAGGGCCCACTGTCATTTCCCTATCACTGAATAAATTTTGTACTCTAAGGAATCAAGAAACAGCCTCTTCACCTGAAAATTTGGGGGCTTCCTGACAGCTAGGCAATGATTTGTGAAAGTAGCAGAGTACACGTGAACCATTGGCTTGTGTCTGATTCACTTGAGTGCAGGAAATTTCAATTGCCAGATGCCCACTCCTTTTCCTTTGGTTCCCAACAGGTGTTAAGCATTGATGTGACCGGCAGAGATATCAGCCTCCATAATTTCATTTCACTGACGTGGAGAAGCACTCTGTGAATTTTTAGAGCAAGATTTTAATTATGAATAGCTTTGGAACTACTTCTATTTCATGCTTATAAAGTTGTTGAGTAGTTAATTGGTTCATGCTCAGTGTGGGTAAAGTATTTTATTAATTTTGTCACATATTTTTGTCTGTGTCTTGGCCCTGTGGTGTAGGCCATAGGGAAGTGTGGGAAATCTATGGGTTGTTTTTCTGTCTCTGTGTGATTAACATGGTATTGCTGGCTCATCATACAGTATCTACTGAAGATGAACTGGGTCCATGATTGAAGTTGTGTGTGTGTGTGTGTGTGTGTGTGTGTGTGTGTGTGTGTAATCATTGAATGGGCTCCACTCTTGCTGAATACATAAGTAAAAGCTTGCCAGAACAGTCCAGGTCCTGGAGTTGACTAATGCCTCAAGAAAGTATCCAGAAAGAACATCGGCTAGTTGGTTATAGGGCAAGGGGAGCAATAGGCTGAGAGCATGATATGAGGGGAAAGCAAGGAAACACAGGAAGAGTTAGCAGGAAAGATGAGAGGAAACAGAAGATGGTGATAAGAAGCCATCACCACAATAAGAAGAAACCACAGAAGTCTCAGAATAGTAGACTCAGGGGGAAGAGACAAGAAGGGCCAACTCACATGGAAGCAAGAAGATGGGTAGGGCAATGCTTAGCATATGGGAATAGGGGTAAGGATGATATTTAAGCAGGCAAAACTGAAGGAAGGAGTTTGAATGTAAAAAATGTAACTTATTTGTCAGTGGTGTGCTTCAAGATATGTAAATCGTATTTCTTTGCTCTGTGTCTAACATATATAACCACCGTTTACACAAATGTGTACAACTTAAATGCCAGAGAAAAATAAAACCAGCAAATTTACAAGAGATTTTGGATTTTGTGGTATTTTTACCCTGGTTAACCACCCTTTGGGGTTAAAGCTTCTTGCTTAGCAAGCCCTTGTAAGTTGGTCTTGTTCTCTGTGGCATCAGAGTTCCTACAGTCTAACCCACTGACGGAATGATCAGATTTATGATTATCCACTCTTTCCCTCACACCACCGGATGGGTTTTTCTTAGGATTCATGTTTGCAGAAGCATGTACTTAAGTGGTTGTCGTTGTTTTAGTCATCATAGCAACTATAGCAACTGTTATATCTGGTAAAATGTCTACTGATAAAAACAGAATTTGCAACATTATTAGTTAAAATTTGAGATGGTTAAAATTTGGGATAAAGAAATGACATATTAGTGTTCAACAGGAATATTTACTTGAAATATTCCTTGAAAATGAGTATGTTGAAAATAAATATGTATACTTCCCTAAGCCTTTTTTTAAAAAAAAAAAAAGATTTTATTTGTTTATTCATGAGAGGCACAGAGAGAGAGAGGCAGAGACACAGGCAGAGAGAAAGGCAGGCTCCACGCAGGGAGCCTGATGTGGGACTCGATTCCAGGTCTCCAGGATCACACCCCGGGCTGAAGGTGGCGCTAAACCGCTGAGCCACCGGGGCTGCCCTTTTTTCTCTTTTTAAAACACCAGGAATGCATACTATTTTAAAGAAATCCTGTTAAATTAAAATACATTAAATGAATATTTAAAAATGTAATATAGTAATACATAAGGCATTTTTAATGATCACTTTAAATAAGATCTAGCAGTGGACTTCATAATGTCCCAATTTCCTCGTGATGATCAGCATAGACAATATTTTGAGATATCTACTACTGTTTCCTAGTGTGATATGATTTATCTGTGCTTCTATTTTTGAAAGACTCATGTGTACTGCTAAGACTGCTGTGCTCTGCTCTTTACATTTATAATCTAAGAAAATGCTAAATTTCAGTTAGTAATTAGTAAACAAAGATGTATTTTTCCCGTCAATACTTGCACATTCCCTAAGTTATACTTATACACCTTGGATTTCTGGGGACCTCGGTTCAAGAATTCCTAGATTAAAGCATGTCTGCTTCTCAGACTTCAGATTAGTGGCTGGGTTCCTATGTGGCTCTAGCATTTTAAGAGTCCCTAAGCCTCAGCTGGTCACATGTTTCTTGAATTCATTCATCCTTTTTCTATTTTTTAAAAGATTTTATTTATTTATTCATGAGAGACATACACAGAGAGAGGCAGACACATAGGCAGAGGGAGAAGCAGGCTCCCTGCGGGGAGCTCAATGCAGAATTTGATCCCAGGACTCCGAATCACGACCTGAGCCAAAGGCAGACCCTCAACAATCAAGACACCCAGGTGTCCCTATTTTGGCTTTTAAACAGCCAGTTCCTTATGGATGTGAAGACTTTCACTATAGGACTGAAATGATTCATAGTAGCTCTGGGAGGGGGGTCAGTGAGGGAGCTGGCTCTGTGGCTCCCTTAATTTCTCTCTCTGAACAGAGTTGTCTTTCTTACATATAAGGTTACATCCTGCCTGGCCCCAATCACAGGTGTTTGATCCACCGGTTGAGCATTTTCTGGGGCTTTCATTTGAGTGACAAAAACTCAGAAGCAAACAAAAACAAAAACAAAAAACAGAAGCACTCTTTTGGGTCAGGGACTTGGTGAATTCATCACTCTGTCTCTTGGGGATCATGCCTCCTCATCTGCAAACTGCTGGTGTCAAAGCTGAAATTTCCAAACACTGGAAAGGAGCTTTGCCTTGCTCTCTGGGAGTGGGTGTAGAAGGCAGATTGGCAGGGGTCTGAGCTCCCCATCCTGTCTTCAGTCAATCACTCAGTTACATACTGGAATTCTATTTGAATAAATAATTTTAAATACATATACATAGATATTTATATACAAAAGTCTATATAATACATACACTTAAATTTTTTATTCAAGTGGAATATATATATATATATATATAGCCTCATATACATTTCATGTATCATATTTATGTAAAAAGTTTGAAAATCAGTACACCAAGTCACCAGTTCCATAAACATTTTGGTCCCAGCAACTCTTTTACAATCTGAAAAGATATTGAGAATTCCAAAGCTTTTGTTCATAGGGTTCTATCTATCAGTATTTATTATATTAAAAGTTAAAATGATTAATTGTACACCTAAAACTAATATTATACTGGAATTTAAATTAAAACTTGGGGAAAAAAATAAGAATCAATACACATGGAGCCATATACACTTGTGGCTGCCTTGAAGCAGACCTGTAACATGCACCTACACCCGTAACTCCTGGCAAGCTATTGGGGAAAGGTTGGAGTCTTTTTGAGACAATCTCTCTCTCCAAGGCCACATAATTTCACTTTAACACTTTGTAGGTATGCTAAAAAAACAAACAAAAAAACAAACAAACAAAAACCAATCTGAAACCCTTTCACTTAAAGAGGAATAAATTCATTCCTTTTCTTATTAAAACCATCCTTGTTATAATATTAATCATCATAGTTACCTACAAAGACAAGGTTTGTGTTGACTTTGGCAGATGTGGTCCAAGTGTCGGCAACATTCCTTTCTTGTCATTACAGCAATATCATTGAGATTTTTGAGTCTTGCCTTAGAGGAAGGTGCTTTGAAAGTTAAGGGCCATGCATATTGTTGGTTTCTGACTTGATTCAATCATCTGCTTGCTTTGATCACTTCATAAGTTCTGTCAAGAGCTAACTTTACCATCCTTTTTACTAATAAGCAACTGGAAGAAAATTAAGTGGCATGCTTGTTTCTTCTCTTCAAAATGTCTCGTTTTCATTGATCAACACAAGTATGTGACCCAGTATCTTCCAGTTGCTAGTGAGCAAGAAGGGATGGCAAAATTAGCTAATTTCTGCAATTTAGGAAACAGATAATAGCTGGGATAGTCAGCACTGAAATGTGAATGATGTCATAAATGAGCCTGGGATGTGGGGAGCTAAGAGTAAAGTATCACACAGAGAATAGAATGATCTTATGTAGCAATAAATCTCCTTTCTTGATCTTTTGCCAAGATACCATCCCAATTTGAAATGAGATCCAGGGACATTTTCCCTCTGACAAAGGCTCTCTTTTACTAGAGTTAAAGATAAGGTGCTTATGTCATTCCTGAAGTTCATAAAGGTAGAAACCAAGTCTCTCTCTCTCTCTCTCTCTCTCTCTCTGTGTGTGTGTGTGTGTGTGTGTGTAAGCTTGCCATACACTGAACATTTGAAGCAAACATGGACTACTATTGCTACTACATTATTTATGGATCTTAGATGCCATTGAAAGATGGCATACTCTCATATATTGTTTTATATATATATATAGGATATATGACTATATACCCTCATATATTGCTAGTGGGAATGTAATATGTTACCTGCCACCATGTTGGAAAATGCAATTCTTCATAAAGTAAGGATAGAGTTGTCATATGATCCAGAAATTTCACTCCAAAGTGTATCCCCAAAAGAATTGAAAATGTATGTCCACACAAAACTTGTATGTGCCTGTTTATAGCAGCATTGCTCATAATATCAAAAGAAGGAGAAACAACCGAAAGGTACATCAACTGATGAATATATAAACAAACTGTAATATATCAATGTAATGAATATTATCCAGCCATAAAATGGTATAAAGTACCTGAGGGCACTTAATACCTACAACAATATGGTTGAATTTTGAAAACATTATGCCAAGTGGAGAAACCAGGCACAAATGGCTGCATATTGTATGATTCTATTTATAAGAAATGTTCAGAATTGGCAAATCCATAAAGAAAGATAGTAGAGGGTGCCTAGGTGGCTCAGTTGGTTAAGCATCTACCTTCAGCTCAGGTATGATCCCAGAGACCTGGGGTGGAGCCCCTTCCCTGCTGAGCAGGGAGCCTGCTCCTCCCTTCTGCTTGTGCTCTCCTCTTGCTATTCCTCTCTCTCTCTCTCTCTCTCTCAAATAAATAAATAAAATCTTTAAAAAAGTATAAACAGAAAGCAGATTAGTGGCTGCAGGAATGGGGGAGAGAAAAATGGGAAGTGATCACGAATGAGTGATGGCTTTCTTTTGGAATGATGAAAATGTCCTGGAATTGGATAGTGGTGATGGTTGCAAAACTCTATGAATATACCAAAACCCACTGAATTGTATATTTTGAAAGGATGAATGTCATGGCATGTGAATTATATTTCATTATAAAAGTAACCCACTTTAGCTAGCTTAAGAACAAAAAGGAATTTTGAAAGATATTAATGACTCACCGAAACTCCAGGAAGTCTAGGGTGTCGGGTTTGGTGTGGACTATGTGGCTAGGTACAGCAGCCTGATTGCCTTGTGGGAGGTTCCACTGCCACTGTCTTTAGTACATGTCCGGCAGCCTGTACCCCCAATACCGAGCATAGGATGCCACTAGGTTCCCAGTCCCTGCTGCCTCTGAAACAATGTCTCTTCACCATGCTGGATTCTGCGTGGTACCTCCTTCTCTCCACTTTCTTCCCGGGTCACATTTCATTGGCCGAGCACAGGTCACTTGCCTCTACTTTGGCTGAAAGGGAGATTGTGAAAGAGAATTTCTAGCCCCTTACTTGGAAAGTCAGAATTCTCAAGGTGGAAAGTTCCTTAAATATTAGAAATTTTTTATAGGTGCCGATCAAAGAGCATGACAAATTTCCAGTAGAGATGTCTTCCCCCTTTGAGATTATATAATGTCTACGTTGATGGTGCTTTTTCTTTTTTTATTAAGAATAACTGATGGGAAGGCTTATTTAAATTAATGGAAAGCTTAGTTATTCAAGAGACCTTTGGGAGACAAAATGGAAAAAGGATCAATGTGGGTGAACCAAGCATGAGACATTCATTCTTTCATTTACTTATTCAACAAATAGCTATATATTTAAAACTGCAGGTGTTGGGCAGGACCTGCACGTAGGACTGAAGATGACCAGCTCCTGGGCTCTTTAGGCCACCGGGACAGACAAGCAGGTATAATGTAGTATGACAAGCAAAGTAATTGGATATGAACAGGAACACAGAAGAAGCATACTATTAGAATAAAACCCCACCTTCCTCTTTTATTAACAAATGGAGCTTTCTCCAAGTCACCAGGGAAGCAAGGGCCCTTTTATGGTCAGTTGGAAAATGTACTCCTCTCCTCCAATCGCCATCAAATTTACAGGGCAATAAATCAATCCTGGCAGAAGCTGGCGACACCAGTCTTCTCACCTTTGCTCAGTGCTCCTCAAGAACCACTGACAGATAGACACAACAAATAAAGGGATACGGCTATGAGGTGAGTACTTTTCCCTATCCATGTGGTGCTTTGAATAAGTAGTGTTCTTTTTTTCTTATAAATGCCCCTATCTGCTCTGCTACATGATCTGGACAACTCGCACTTTTCTTCTGAACCTGATGTTTTCTTCCTTTTCCAGAAACTATAAGGAGTGGGGATGAGATAGCACATGGAGTCACAGGCCTACTGGACAGGAGAGGGATATGTGTGTGTGTGTGTGTGTGTGTGTGTGTGTGTGTAACAGATGGAGAAAATCAGATGCATGATATTCTTCTCTCACTGGGATAAAACAGGAAAGAATAAACAAATAGTATTCCCTTCTGGAAGCTAGCTGAAAATGACATGGATTGGGAAGAGAGTGGATGCATCTCTTTGGGCAGAGAGGGAAATCGTATACAATCATTAAGGTTTTTAATAATAACCTGGATTTTAATTTTTCTAAAATTGTGGTTGATAATGTGGCTGTAGGTAGGAAGAGTGTCTAAGTAGCAGAGACTTTGTACCTTTAGGAATCCCCATCTATCTACCTGCAATCTGCCAAGATGGTAATAGTTCTTGTGGCAGGAAAATGCCTGAGGTCGTCGTCCCCAGGGTATCCTGAGCTTCCTGAGCCACAGGTGTTAAAACTGCTTCCCCAATTCAGGAATTGTGGAAGAGGTGGCTGCCTTGGGTTTGTAGAGGCTGGAAAGGAAAGTCTCTTCATGGAGAGACACAGTGCTTGGAGAAGGGAAGCTGAGTGACAATTGTTTGCTGTGGTAGTGAGTCGTGGCCTCTATGTATAAGAAACAAAGTCAGGTATTGAGAGCATGTGGGGTGGATCCGTCAGACTTCTTTCACTGCCTGAAATTCCACCACTGAAGGTCCAGCCTCTAGATCTGTAAGCTCTGAAGTGTAGGAGACATTGTGGAGACAGCAAGAATACTCAAAGACTAGTGTAAGAGGCAGAGCCTTAGTGTTTGCCTCAGTTATACCACTAACCATGGCTAGGCAAACAAAGTTCCTTAACATTTACATGAAATGGGAATCATAATGCCTGCCTGGTGAACTTTGATGTATGGGTATCATGGCAATATAATAATATAATAATAATTATATATATATATATATATATATATGATATATATATATATTATGGAGGTTAGAGTAAACTTTTGAATAATTTAGAGGAGACAAACCTGATAGATTTAGGCTAACAGGAAAAAATAGTTAATACACTCTAACTTCAATCCCAAACCTCAAACCTAACTCCCCCCTCCCTTGGCAAATTATCTGTAGATCCTTGCTCCTTACCCCCATTTCAGAACTAAGGTGCTTTTTTACTTGGCTCATTACACATTAACCAAAATCCTGCCTCAATTAAAAAGTGAAACTAGATGCATATGGAAAAACTAATAGAAATGGTCATGGCATTGGGCCAGGGCTGAGAAGAATAGGGGTGCAGGGAAATGCAGTTAAAGGAGAGGTGAAGTAAAAAAAAAAAAAGAAAGAAAATTCTTTGTTCACATGGATTTAAAGGTTATCACTACACAGTTGTTGGTTTGGTGTGGCTAGAACGTAGAGGAGAGAAGAGGCAGGGGAGGTGGCATAGGTAATGTCATAAAGACCTTTGATTACAAAGCTAAAGAGTTTACATATTATTTGAAGAACCACCGAGGAGTTGAATATAGGAAACCCAAATAACCCTGTTTGTGCAGTAGAAAGATGAATCCATCTGCAGAATGGAAGCAAGGAGCCAGTGGGGAAGCTGTGGTCACAGTTCAGGTCACAGTTCAGAAATGATGGCCCGACTACAGCATTTCTAGTAGTGATGCAGGGGAAGAAACAGATTTGAAAGATATTGGGAGAGGAGTCTGACTGGTGACTGGCTATGAGAACTACAAGAAAGAGAGGAGTCAAAAAAGTTACCCAGACTTTTTAATGAAATTGTGATTCTGTTCCTCAAGATGTTATTTGAGGAGAGGCCAGTTGGGCAGAATTGGTGGAAGTTGGGACTGGGGTATGGGGAGAGATGAACACATGTTCAAACATGTTGAATTTGGTTAAGTGTGTGGGACATCCAGGTGAGATGTCTAATAGGCAGTTGCACATATAAATATAAATCTCGGGATCCCTGGGTGGCACAGTGGTTTGGCGCCTGCCTTTGGCCCAGGGCGCGATCCTGGAGACCCGGGATCGAATCCCACATCGGGCTCCCGGTGCTTGGAGCCTGCTTCTCCCTCTGCCTGTGTCTCTGCCTCTCTCTCTCTCTCTCTGTGACTATCCTAAGTAAATAAAAATTATTAAAAAAAAACTTTATAAATATAAATCTCTGGGCTAGAAATATAGATTGCACTGTCCTTGGGTGTTATATGAAATCGTATGCATGGTGGAGCTTGCTAAAAGAGGGGATGGCAGACCTATGTTGAAAATATAGGGAATATCAATACTGGATGAAACAGAGGACAAAAGGAAAATTGAAGAAAAGCCAGAAAAGTGGGTGAAAACCAAGATTAAATGATAATCAAGGAATCCAAACATGGAGAAATTTAGAGAGGAAGGAGTGGTTGATAGTGCTGGATGATTAAGAGAGCGCCCATTGTATTTAGCAGCTCAATCACCGGTGACCTTGGCAGGAGGAATTTCAGTGGAATGCAAGAAACAGAAGCCATGCCAATAATATAGGAGGAAGGTAATGCAGATAGCATTCCATTATCTTTTTGGAAAGTTAGCTATAAAAGGAAAAAGAAAGTTATAATGGTACGTGGAGAAGGACACAGAATCGTCACCAGAGTTTAGGATGATTTGGGATGTACTTTTAAGGAGAAAGAGCACATTTGGAGGGAGAGGTTTTAATGCAAGAAAGAGGAAGGATAATTGGTGGAACAAGATTTTTGAGAAATTCAAAGTGTGTGGGATCTACAGAAAAGGTACAAGGGTTATGCTTAGACAAGAGGAGGGAAAACTCTTCCTTTAAGAAAAGGGGGAAAGATAAGAATTTACCTAGATATGGATAATTTATATAAAGAAGTTTGGGTTGAGAAGCAGGGAGATGAAATAGTTTCTGCAAAAATAGTTGTTTTATTTGTGATGTTGGGGATGATTTTGGCTGAGAGTAACACCATAGGTGACAAAGGTTGGGTTTGAAAACAAGGATCAGTGTTGGAAATTTCTCCTGTGAAGAATGAAAGAAGGTGGCAAGATTGTCAGTCAGTTTGAAGGCCCCGTGTATTTGTCAGATTATGAACCCAAGGCCATCTGCATTGCTCTGAGTGCATAAACCCGGAAGGCAGAAGTTTGGATCAATGGTTTCATTGTATGGATTCACTTAGCATATAGAGGAGCAAGGAAGATGAGAGAAATAATAGCTATTGAGGACTACGTCAAGGAAGGACAATAGCCAGAACAGACTAAGATTAAGAGGGAGTGGAACAGAACAGAAGCCTCAATGTGATCGAAGAATAAAGAAACAGTGCAATGAGAGGGTAAAAGGGAATGAGCTTCTGCCCAGTAAATAGGAAGTAGAGGCTAGGAGTTTCACAAGTGGAACAGTTCTGGGGAGTGATAAATTCCAGGGAATAGCCAGTGTGTAGGGGCAGTGGGAAGAGTACTGAAGATGGTGGAGAGTTGGTCAAGGAATGACATGGTGGGGCGGTCATGGGATTGCGAAGCATGTGAGATTTACTATAACTAGAGCAGAAGAATGAGAGTACCTCCAGAACCTGACTTCTGGAGGTGAAGAAATGCACATCCAAATAGCTAACGCCTCCACCTGTTAGTATGGAAGCCAGGATGAGCATCAAAGTTCTTGGGTTCCCTGATCACTACACACTCCAATCCATGAAATATTTTAAAGCCTGAGTCTTTGGATGCATGATTGGCAGGGCCAGGGTGAGCCACCAAATTTACGTGAGTTTGTGTACTGTGACCACGCGAGCAAGCATTGTGCCGGAGATCAGGATTCAGTTCATTTTTCTTACCAGAGTTTTAACAGGATTAGTCTCTTCTAAATAACTAAACACCTTACCATCGTGGCATGGAATTGGAATAAGAAGACTAGGATTCAGGTTTTGTTACTTTTTCCTTCCCTGAGAGTACCCTCCACTCTACTGTGTAGGGTGGATGTGAGGATCAAAGTGGCATCTAAAAGGGCCTTGTAAAAATAAATAAATAAATAAATAAATAAATAAATAAATAAATAAATAAATAAATAAATGAGGCTTTGTGAGGCACCTTAACCCCTTGTCTCCCTCCTGTACTCCATTCCACTCCTCACTCTCTACCTCTAGTTCTTTATGTCTGATATATGCTCTCCTTGGACAGTATTCAATCCCTCCACAGACAAAAAAAAGGCAAGGGCTCTTTTTCTAGAGATGTTGGGTACACAGACTAGAGTTAATTGTAAACATTGTGATGAGTGGAAGCCAATAGTCTCTGGATTATGTAAGGAGGAATGCTTGTAATCAAGTCATCGTGCAGATGAGTTCACATTCTAATCTGATGCCTGTCCTTTTGGATTGGTGGGGTTTGCGGTTTGCTTAACTCTCATTATCTGTGTCCGTCTAGATGGCAAGGAAACTCACTATATTGGAAGTCCTTCTGATCATCTTCTTCCTAACTGTACTGGCCTTAGATATCTTCTTGATGTTTTTTGTGTTGAATATTGAAGGTAAGGAGGATGCTTGTGGCTTTGGGGTTGGAAGGATTGGTAAAGAAAGTCCCCTCTGGATGCCAAGGACGTCATTTCATTCTTTTGCTCTTCAGTATGGCAGCATATTGCATGATTCACAACCCACATCCGCAACTAAAACTTGTCAAAAGACAAGTGTTCTTTTTCCACAACAAAACCTTGAATGCTAGTGACATTCAGGGTCCCAAATACTATTTGATGAAGTTTAACAAGATGCAAAATTAGGCTCATCAGGTGTCCAGTCATAAAGTAATAGAACCTTTAAAAAGAAAGAACAGTTGGGGCAACAGGACCTAATCCCATTACATTATGGAAAAGGAAATTAGATTATAGGCAGGTTGGGGGCTGATTAACTTGGCTTAAATATATTAATTACAATTAGCTTCCAGCCCATATTCTGATTGAAATAGCTGTGATTTCTTCATCAATACCTTTGAATCTGTTTTCTCTCACATAAAAGCATCCAACAGAACACTTTCTCCTCTATGTACACAATACTCTAAATAATAAAATAATGTGTAATACAAATAAAATCTATCCTTAATTAAAACAGAATTTGAAGTTTATTTTGCTTGCTAAAACTCACTTCAGACATGTATTTTAAGCGAGCATTGAATAGAAACCCTGCTCAATCTCTCTTCAGCACTCTCCACAATAAACATTAGGGTGCGTTCTAGGAACAATTATGTCTTTGAAAGATGATTTGAAAACTATTGATATAAACTATTTTTAGTCTATTAGTATTTTTCCCCTATTGAATTTTTTTTGGGGTAACAAATCCTATGAGATTACTATCCAACGTACATGAATAAGTAGTTTATTTTAGTTAACATAAAACTAGATCTTCACACCTGAAGGTGTGAAGGCATTTACCCTAAGGCATTTACCCTAAATCACACTCTAATTCATGCAGAGTAATAAAATACCACTTTCACCTGTTCTATGTTGGGCTTCTTTAGAGATGCTTCTTGAAGATATGCTTCCATGAGTTGAAAAGGAAATTTTTAAATTTTTTTTATTGTGATAAGAACACAACATGAGGTCTACCCTCTTAATAGATTCTTAAGTGTACAAGACAGTACCATCATTCGTAGGCATGATGTTGTACATCAGATATGTAGAACTTATTATTCATCTTGTGTAACTGAAACTTTATACATGTTAATTAGCAACATCCCATTTCTCCCTCCCCTCTGGCCATGGAAACTATCATTCTAGCCTTTGTATCTGTGATTTTGACTATTTTAAATTCTTCATATAAATGGAATCATGTAGCATCTGTCCTTCTGTAACCAGTTCATTTCATTGGCATAATGTCTTCCAGGTTCAACCACGTTATTGCAAATGACAAGATTGCCTTCCTTATTTTATGGCTGAATAATATTCTGTTATATGTACACACATCACGTTTTCTTCATTCATTGATTGATGGACACCTGGGTCATTTTCACATATTGGTTATTGTGGATAGCACTGCAATTAGCATGAGGATGCTAGTATCTGTTTGAAGTTTTGATTTCAATTCTTTGAATTCTTTGAATAAATATCCAGAAGTGGGATTGCTGGATCATATAGTGCTTCTATTTTTAATTTTTTGAGGAATTTCCATATTGTTTTCCATAATGGCTTCACCAATTTGCATCAACTTCACCATCAGCATACAAGGGTCCAATCGTTCCACATTCTCACCATCAGTTGTTATCTTTCTTCTTCTTTTTTTTTCTATAATATCCATCCTAAGATGTGAGGTGATATCTAGTTGTGGTTTTGATTTAAATTTCCCTGATGACTAGTGACATTGAGCTTCTTTTCTGTTGGCCATTTGTGTGTCTCTGGAGAAATGCTTATGGAAGTCTTTAGCCCATTTTTTAATCAGATTCATTTTGTTTATTTTGTTTTTACTATTATGTTGTAGGCATTCCTTATATATTTTAGAATTTTGCCCATTTTCAGATAGATGGTTTGCAAATATTTTCTCACATCCTTTATGTTACCTTTTCTTTCTTTTTTCTTTTTTTTTATTTTTTTTTAAATTTTTATTTATTTATGATAGTCAGAGAGAGAGAGAGAGAGAGAGAGAGAGAGAGAGAGAGAGAGAGAGGCAGAGACACAGGCAGAGGGAGAAGCAGGCTCCATGCACCGGGAGCCCGATGTGGGATTCGATCCCGGGTCTCCAGGATCGCGCCCCGGGCCAAAGGAAGGCGCCAAACCGCTGCGCCACCCAGGGATCCCTATGTTACCTTTTCATTCTGTTGATGGTTTCCTTTGCTGTGCAGAAGCTTTTTAGTCCCACTTGTCCAATTTTACTTTTGTTGCATGTGCTTTTGGTGTCATATCCATGAAATCCTTGCCAAGACCAATCTCATGAAGTGTTTCTCACATGTTTTCTTCTAAGAATTTCAGTTTCAAGGGTCTTACATTTAAGTCTTTAATCCAATTTTAAAATAAATTTTTATTTAAATATATATACAAATAAGTATAGAGCCATAAAGGTAGGAGAGTTGTTTTGATGTCTTTTTTTGAATAGAAACAAAGATACTAAAGGAGACCTATTATGCCTACAATAACTGTTGACTCAAGCTTCAAATGGAATTCTGGGTTTTGACTGGCTCATGGAGCCTACTGAACCAGATCCTACTTCTGATGTTACATTGGCAGGTGGTGGGGGTGGGGTGGGAGTTCATAGAAGTGACAAAGGCTAAAGTAAAAATAGCCAATGTTGAGTGAAGATCTTTGTCCAAATGAGAACAATAATATTTACCTACCTAGTTTACCTCACAGGTGGCTGAAAATGAGTGGGGAAAAAAAGGCAAAAAATAAACAAAAAACAAATGTGTGGGACAACAGGATATCAGCATGTAAAAAAATAATAATACTGGATCCCCACCTGACATCACATAGGAAAATTAACTCAAAATGGATCAAGACTTGAAATGTAAGAGCCAAACCCATTAAATTCTAAGAAGAAAACACAAATATTTTGACCTCGAGTTAGGCAACAGTGTCTTAGGTATAATGCTCCAAAACATAACCAAAGAAAAGATAGGTAAATTTTATTTTTAAAAAAATTGTGCTTCAAAAAACACCATCAAGGAAGTGAAGACTGCTCACTGGATGGAAACACATATTTGCAAGTGACATATCTTATTCTTGCATCCAGAATATATAAAGAAATATTACAATTCAAACCTAAAAGGAACAACAATCCAGTTTTTAAAATGAGCAAAGGAATTGAACAGACATTTCTTCATAAAAGATTCACAGATAGCCAATATGTCATGAAAAGATGTTCAATATTATCAGTTTTGGGGAAATGCTAGTCAAAATCAAATACTCCTCATACCCACTGAAATATCTGTCATGAAAAAGACAATAACAATTGTTGAGGATGTGGAGAAATTGGAACCATTACACACTAATGGGAATGGAAAATTGTGCAGTCCCTTTGGAAAAGAGTTTAGCAGTTCCTCAAAAACTTAGCGTTAACCGTACTAATTAGCAATTCCATTTCCAGATATATAACCAAGAGAATTCAAAACATCTCTTCACACAAAAACCTGTATGGAAATGTTCATTGTAGAATTCTGTGTAATAGTCAAAAAGTGGAAATAACCCAATGTGTGTCAACTTTGGAGGGGATTTTTTAGTGTTATATCCATACTATGGTTATGGTTCACCCATAAAAAGAAATGAAATGCTTGTTACATGCTGCAACATGGATGAGCCTTGAAAACATTATGCCAAGTGAAAGAAGCCAGACATTAAAGACCACATACTTTATGATTCCATTTATATGAAATATTCAGAATAGGCAAATCCATAGAGGCAGAAAGAAGATTAGCATTTGCCAGAGACTGGGAGAAGGGAGGGATGGGGAATGACCACTAATGGGTATGTGATTTCTTTTCAGGATGGTGAAAATGTTCTGGAATTAGATAGTGGTGATTGGTTGTGCAACTTTGTAAAATACTGAAAGCCATCGAATTGTACACTTTAAGAGAGTGAATTTGATGCCATATGAATTACATCTCAATAAAAACCAAACAAAAGGCAAATGTGTTTAGCACTTGTATGTACATGTAGGTACTAGCTACTAGGGATCAATGTAGTGATGAATACAGGAGAAATGGCTAAAAGTCTATAACTTCACCTGCATCCTTCTTGGAATTGTGATCACCATACAGATGTTCAATATTTTTCCTTTAATTCCTATACAGCGACTGCATTTGCTCCAGAGTGCCCAGAGATCCCTGAATCAGAGAGGATAGACTGTGCTCCTGGCCAGGTGGTGACAGAGGTCAGAGAAATGGGCTCCCTGATGTTGTTCTGCTGGGTTTTATTTACAGAAATGAGTATATGAAGTGGGACAAGGGTGGTGGTGGAGGGGATTATGGACCTCTGATTTGTTTGGAGTCATTTCTCTTTCACCTTATTAAAATAAACAGCAACACTGTGGAAGCAGGATAGGCTGGAAGGAACTAAGAGTGTTGGCTCATGGGGTCTCAAGTCCAGAGTAGAGGGGGAGTTCATAATGTGTCATAAGTGTGATTCCAAGGATAGCTATGGGAAGGGTAAACGTTTGTGGGCTAGACCATGTATTGCTTGAGAATAGAGGCCATCAAACACATATGGATGATTGAGTCAGTCATTTGTGGAACTCCAGTGACTTGTTATAAGAGCCTTCTAAAATTGGTGTTAAGTGGATCACTGAATCCTACTCCTCAAACCAATCTTACCCTATATGTAAACTGACTAGAATTTAAATAAAAACTTGAAACAAACAAACAAAAAACCCAAGAAACCAAAAATAAAATGGTGTATTGGCAACAGATCTTCCAAATGAACATATGCTAAAGAATTTAGATTTTCTCCCTGGGTAGTCACCACAAGAATATCAACTCTTTAAACTCTGTTTAATTGTAATTTGTGGCTTTATCAGAAAGGAAATATGTATTTAGATTTTATTTCTTTCCCCCATATTCTACATTCTATATCCCATAATATCCTACTGGGATATTAATTAGGACTGCATTGATTTTTTGGTTTAATTTAGGAAATATTGATAACTCCATAATTTTGAATCTTCCCATTCTAAAAACAGGAAGTCTTACCATATCAACTCTTTTTAATGTATGTATATTACTCAATCAGGTTTTATGTTTCTCTTGATATGCATTTTATTACCTATGCATCATGAGGGGTTTTTCCCCCTAGATCTTTCCTGTACTTAGTTTCTATTGTATATACAATCCATTATATTTTCTAATTGGTGCTCCTTTTATTACTAATGATTATTTTGTATTTATTATATTTATTTTATATTATATTTGTACATTTGTGTTCTATTACAACATAACATATTAATTATATAATTGGCCAGCTGAAATTTTCTATTATTTCTAAGTGGTTTCTGTAGTTCTTCTTCTTGAATTATTAAGTATACAGTTATGTTCTAGGCAAATAATGATACATAAGAATGGAATTTTTAGGGGCACCTGGGTGGCTCAGTTGTTGTGTCTGCTTTTGGCTCAGGTCATGATCCTGGGTACTGGGATCAAGTCCCATATCAGGTTCCCCACAGGGACCCTGCTTCTCCCTCTGCCTATGTCTCTGCCTTTCTCTGTGTCTCTCATGAATGAATAAATAAGATCTTTAAAAATGGAATTTTCAGTTCATAGGAAATATACATGTTTATCTTTCGGTGATCTTGCAAAATAGTTTTTCAAAATATTTGTACCAATTTACACTCCTGGTAGCAGTATATAAGAGCAATTACTCTGCATCCTAACCTTCTCTTGGTGTTTTTTCCTTTTTCTTTGTTTTCTTTAATGTAATTTTCACTTAAAAATTTTGAATATTGAAGTATGGTTTACATTATGTTTTATTAGTTTCAGGTATACAACATAGTGATTCAACATTTCTATATATTACACAATACTCATCATGATAAGTATAGTTACCATCTGTTACCATACGTTGTTACAATATTATTGACTATATTCCCTATGCTGTGTACATTCCACATGACTAATGAAGTTAAACACCTTTTCCTATACTTCTTGGCTACATGGATAATCATATTTATGAGGTGTCTTTTTAATTTTTTAACCAGTTATTTTCTGCTGGGCTCTTCATTTATTCTTATTGCTTTGTAGTAGTAATTTATATATTCTGGATACAAATCTTTTATCTTCTCTTATTCTGTGATTTGACTTTTAACCCAATGGTCACTTTTGGTGAGAAGTAGTTCTTAATTTTACTAAAATACACTTTAAGAGGTCTAACATGCATTCTGTATTCTATTTAAAAATTCTCACCTACTCCAAAGTTAGAAAAATATATTCCTATACATTCCTCTGAAAGCATTGTTTTATTTTTCAAATTTAGACTTTTAATCAAACTAAAATTTGTTTTTGTGTATGGTATCAAGTAGAAGTCCAGAACATTTTTTTTCATGAATCCTTAATAGATCCATCATGACTTATTGAAATTACCATCTTTTCCCCTCTGCATTGTAGTGACACATTTATTGTAAATTATGTCTTTATATGTGAGGACCTGTTTCTGGAACATCTATTTTGTTCCATTATCAGTCTGTTCTTTTGCCAGTATCACATTGTGTTGATTAGTATAGCTTTATAAAGGTCATGATATGTGGTTGTGTAAGTCCTCCTTATCATTCCTATTTTTTTTCAAGATTGCCTAGCCTATTGTCAATGCTTTAAACTTATAAATACATTTTAGAATTGGTCTCTCAGTTTTCTCAAAAAAAAAACTACCAGAAATTTTATTCTGTACACAGAAAATGAATAAATCTGTAAGAAGTTCCATATTTACAAGAGTGAATATTTTAATCTATGGTCATGATATATTTTTTCATTTATGGAGATTTTTAATTTTGAAGCTTTTGGTGTAGAGGCCTGAAAAATTTTTCCAGGTTTTTCTAACTATTTGATATTTGATTTTATATAAATATTTTTACATTTTAATTTTCCATTTAAGCTATTGTTGGCATATGGATTTAAAATTGATTTTTTGAATATTGATCTTATAGCCAGAAATCTTAAATTTGCTTATTAATTATCTTAGTTTGTTTATAAGAACTTTTGGATTTTTCTTAAACATAATGATACTGCAACCAATGACCATTTAATTTTTTTTTCCAATATGCATTTCTTCTTCTTTGTCTTATAACACCAAGGATTGTTTTTCCTTCTAATTTTTTAATATTGTTTGAAGTATTTTATCTAAAAGGCTATATGAAGTTTCAGAGAATGGAACTTTCTGGAGAATGTTTTTTTTTTTTTTTAAGATTTTTTTATTCATTTATGAGAGACACACAGAGAGAGGCAGAGACACAGACAGAGGGAGAAGGAGACTCCTCCTGGGAAGCCTGATGCAGGACTTAATCCCCAGGCCCCAGGATCACGACCTGAGCCAAAGGCAGACGCTCAACGCTGAGTCACCCAGGTGTCCCCTGGAGAATGATTTTTAACTAAACATAAGAAATAACCTTGCAGTAAAATATTAACTATGAAGGTGAAATATTGGATTTTGGAAGAAGTTGGCTACACATCATTTACAGAACTTAAGCATCTTTCAGAGGCACTGCTGAAAAAATCCCTATATCAAATGGAAGTTAGATTAGATAAATTTCCAAACATTTCTCAAATTCTACTGATCAAATTATTATTTGAGTGGAAAATAGCATAAAAGTCTATTTAAAAGATAACTGGAGAATACTCTTTGGGAAAGTTTGGTGTTAGGGGAAAGAATAAAGATAGGGAGATTTGTCATGAGTCAACCACTGTCGTCTAGGTAAGAGTTTATGAGAATCGCTGTTATTGTCTGTGGTGGAAGTGGAAATGGAAAAGAAGAAGGAAATGTACATCAAAGGTTTGACCTTTTGTGTCTGCAATACTGAGAATGGCTTAAAATTGAACTAGGGGTGTTATGGCAGACTGCATTTAAAAATATTGTATTTACCTGAATATATTAGATCTCTTGTCTTACTGCTGTTTACAGAGGTCTACAGACTTTGGAACAATTCATGGCAGTGAAACTAACCTTTTGGACTTTACCAACCTCAGTTTCAGAAGTAACAGAGCTAATGAATGTTTGCCTCGAGCTTAGTAATATCAGTTATCTAGAGGTTATCCAGAACCTGCAAACTCTTTCTCCACTGATCCCCTCCAGCTTTTTTTTTTGTTGTTATCTGGAGAAGATGAGGCAGGAATATCAGCTGTATATACAGAGAATTAATATGTACATTTAAGAATATTTTATGGTTATACTGTGATTGCTTTGTTTATAATAGACATGAAACACTGATTTAAGTTATATTCATATTGTCATTTTTCAGTGTAATTACATCAGATGTTAGCATCTGAAATACTCGTCAGTACTATTCCTTTTCCAAATGAGTAGTGTTGTGACATATTATTTTCTCTATTCTTTTTTTTAATCACATTCCTTTAATAAGGAAGATTGAGACATTATATTTATGTACAGAGTAAAGTGGAAAAATCTTTCCTTGTTCATAATGTTTTCTCTCTACCTTCAGATCCCCTTCCCAGAATCAAGTCAATAGTTTGGTGTATGTCCTTCTCTTGATTTTTCTATGCTTTTGCAAATATCTATATATTATGCACGTATATTAATACATGTTTATTTTATTTTAACAGATTATACTATATGTATTATTTCTTAATTTACTTTTTAAATGTAGGGCATTTAAATTTACCACATTATTATATCTTAAAAATAGTTTTCTTCTGGGGATGCTTGGGTGGCTCAGTTGGTTAAGCATTCAACTCTGGATTTTGGATCAGGCCATAATCTCAGGGTCATGATATCAAGCCCCGTGTCAGGCTTCGTGCTAAGTGCAGAGTCCCCTTGAGATTCTCTCTCTCTCTCCCTCTGCCCCTCCCCCTACTCACATGTACTCTCTCTTGCTCTCTCTATCAAAATAAATTAATTTAAAAATTAAAAAAGTTTGCTTCTGTTGAGATGATCATGTGGTTTTCTTTTGACAATGTAAATTATGTTAAAACATTTCTTAATTATGAACCATTTTTATGCTTGATAACCCTTAGTTGGCTATTATGCATTAATTCTTTTAATACACTAAAATACACTAAAACAGTGTTTATAATACACTAAAATAGGTGTTTATAAAAACAACTATGTTTTTTAAGTGAAATTGGCTTATATATTTTTATCTTAACTTTTCTTGTCTAGTTTGCTGCCAGAATTATTATAATTTAATAAAATGAAACAAGAAACTATCCATCTTTTCCTAGGCTCTGAAAAAAATGTGTAATATGAGAATATTCTATTCTCCAAGTCATCTAGGCAAAGTCTTTGTTTGTTTGTTTGTTTGTTTGTTTGTTCAGGGAAGGTTCCTTGACTACTTATAATTTCTCATGGCAATTGGGTGTTTCAGGTTTTCTACCTCTTCTTATTTTGATTATTTAATATTTTACCATTTAAAGATTCAAATTATAGTTTCAAATTCATTGGCAAATATTTGTACAAATAGTTTTCTCACAATCCATAGTTATATTAAAGATCCTATACCTCTGGAGCACCTGGCTGGCTCAGTTGGTTGTGCCTCAGACTCTTGATTTTGGCTTAGGTCATGATCTCATGACATTCTCTCTCTCTCCCTTACCTTGCTCATGTGCTCTCTCTTTCTCTCAAAAAAATCCTATGTATCTGTTGTCATTCATAATTTTTGTTTCTAATCTTGTTTGTCCTTCTTTATGTCAAAACAGGATTTCATAAGGTATTCATATTTCTTTGATCTTCTCAAAGAGTCTTTGTTAGATGTATTGATCTGCCAAACTAATATCAAAACATATCCTTGCACTGTAGTAATTATCAGTGTGGAACTGTAGCAGGAATTAACATATACATCATACCTATAAAATAGGAAGTTCCAAAATGCATATTCATAGCCTCATATATGTGCACTTAAATTTAGCTTGTCCTGAGCATGGCATTTCAAATCAGTGGTGGAAACAAGATCTGTTTAATTAAAGGTGGTGTCTGTTTCACCTACTACACTTGCTGGCATCTCTGTATCACGCGAACTTAGATGAATACCTGAAACAGAGGAGAGGCTCATTTCAAGTTTCAAAATGATAACTATAGATACTTGATTCTTTTACATTAATTACTGCTTTTATTCATTAATCTTCCGTGTAATTTTTCTGGGTTTGTTTAGTTTTTTTTTTTCTAGTTACTTGGGTTGTACATTGAGTTGTTCATCATGTAGAACAATACTTACTCTCTTTAATTCCCACTTCCCTAACCTGTATCCTCTTTTCACCCCTTCTGGAATCTTCTAGTTGAATATTGCTATCTGACCCCATGGGGCACTTTGCATACCCTTTCTTTCATACTTTCCGTGTCTTTGTCCTTGTGTTCTGAGGTAATCCTAAATTTGATTTAAATAAAATTTCTTCTTGTCTTGACATTGTTCTCTTTCCTTTTTGTTACTTGTCCAAATATTAATATCTTAACTTTCAATATTCTTTGTTGCTTTTTTTTCTAATGGAAGCAACAGCTATGTGCCTCTCTATAAAGATAATAATTGTATTTATTTAAAAGATTCACAATGTTTTCTATTAATTGTTGCCTGCAATTTGTTTCTTCTGTTTATTAAGTTTGGTGCCTATCATAGTGTTGGTTCCTTTCGTGTTTGGTGGTTGTTGACTGTCATCTTTGTATTTAATTATCTATAACTGCCTGTCCTATTTACCTTGACTTGCTCTAGGTATTTAGGAAGGAAGGAAAGGACTGCTGGAGAGAATGTGGGTACTTGTTTGGGAGTTAGGGACACCGGCTTATTATCTGGTGTATTGCTATGCCTTCTGAATCCTAACATCTTTCCTAACCCCCTTTACCCTATGAATAAATACTTCAGGATACCCACCAATTAGCCAGAACTTACAGTAGCTGTAAGGAATGTCAGATTAGGAAGCTAAAAGTTCATACAGGAGCTTCCCAGTTAATGATCCAAAACTATGCCCAGGTTCTCTTCAACTTCTCCACGTTGACGTGGTCTCCTCTTGTGTTTTAGGCTATGAATATATTTTCCCCTAGACTTGGTAAAGTCTATGTCCCATGTGTCAGTAATTTCATGCCATTTCTGCCATATTGCATTTTAGCTGGCTGTTTTTTAAATGTTTTTTTTTTCTTAATGATATTTCTGTCACTTCATATAAGTTTAGTTGGATGGACAGGTGGATGCCTATTTCAACAGTTTGATTCAATTTGCCGTCTATCTTATTTCTTTATTATAACAAAACAGTTTTTATACAAGTGAATCTTAAAGTTGTAGAACCTATAGAAAATATGATTTTTTAAAGATTTTATTTATTCATTCATTAGAGACACACAGAGAGAGAGAGAGGCAGAGACACAGGTAGAGGGAGAAGCAGGCTCCATGCAGGGAGCCTGACATGGGACTTGATCCTGGGACTCTAGGATCATGCCCTGGGCTGAAGGCAGCGTTAAACCGCTGAGCCACCGAGCTGCCCAATAATAATCATTTTTTAAAATATTGTATTTATTTATTTGACAGAGAGAGAACAAATAGGGGGAGTGGCAGAGGGAGAGGGAGAAGCATGTTCCCCACTGAGCGAGGAACTCTTTGCAGGGCTTGATCCAAGGACGCTGGAATCATGACCTGAGCCGAAGGCAGATGCTTAACCAACTGAGCCACCCAAGTACCCCAAATAATAATAATTAAAAAAATCCGTAATCAAGCCACTCTGAGATACCAGATATGGTTTATTTTTACCTTGTGGACATTGTGAATTTCTTTATGTCACCTTCTATCCCAGGTCTATCTTAATTTTTTTCCCATTTTCCTTTTCTTTTCTTACATTTTAGAAATGCATTTCTTTGTGCCATATTGTTAGTCATTTCCATGTCCTTTCCTCATAAGAAAGTCTAAACTGGTTGGTCTGACATCCAGCTTACTCCTGGTGTGAATATTGTATCCCCCCAACATGGTTCTCTTACTCAGTGTTCTTGGCAGAATGAACTTGTGGTTTTTATGATTATATCATGCATTGCTGCATTCTCTACTTGGAATACTGCTCTACTGTTCACTTAGCTAACCTTTTCTGGTGCGCTAGGAGTGGGATTACCTTTCGCCTACCTGGAAACCCACCTCACCCTGCTCACAGCCCTCTAGGCCGTATGCCATGGCTGGTGTGTGTGTTCCTTCAGCCCCTGGGCACTCTCTGTCTGGTACTCCTCTCATGCTGAAATTGTCTGCATGTACTACTAGACTGTAATGGAAGTTTCCCAGAGGCAAGAACTGTGTCTTATTTATCTGTGTTATGCATTTCTTGTCAGGTAGGTAATAAATGCATACTGGAGGTTGGATAAGTGTGTAATAAAAGAAGAGGAAATAAATGACTGCATGTAAATATGACCTATCTTAAAGTATTCTTGGAATAAAATTGGTTATAAATACACAGATAGAACTTTCTTCCTTCATTCCATATAATGCTAACTCTGTGCCATTGTTACAGGATGTCTGCCGCCAGCAACATAGGTGCTGCTGGAAGCCTGTGTCAGATATTAATGTCCCTACGTGCTTCTTCCCCAGGAATTGGGGCTACGAAGTCATTGGTAGCCAGAATAATACAAGGACAGGTGAGCACTGCCCTAATGAGGTCCCAGGGAACAACTATTTATGACTCAGATAAGCTAACTGAAAAATAAAGTCTAAAAGCTGCCTCCCCTCCAGCCCTAGAGTTTACAGCCCACTTGAGAAAGTTGTCATTCCCATCTCTGTTTGGATATGATGTCGACGAAGCCTTCTTCACAGCTGAGTATCAGACATCCAATCGTTTCCATTTTAAGGTTGGTTTAGAAGTTATCACTGAGCACATCTCTGAGGAAAGCAGTGACCTCACACTGGGTTCACATCATTCTCCTTTCAGCATGACATAGAGCTGTGTAGTCAGAAGCCACCCATGTTCCCCTCTGCAGGATTCTCCCAATGGGATGTGTGGGTTGTTTTGAATTTTGTGGGGGACACACGATTGGGTGATTTTTGTCTCACAATTCAAGAAACATGGGATTAGGGATTAGAAGCTATTGGGGCACCTGGGTGGCTCAATCAGTTGAGTATCTGACGCTTGGTTTCAGCTCCAGTCATGATCTCGGGGTCATGGGATGGAGCCTCGTATGGGACTCTGCATTCAGTGTAGAGTCTGCTTGGGATTCTCTCTCTCTCTTTCTGCCTCTGCCCCTCCTCCTGCTTTTGCTCTCTGTCTCTATCAAATAAGATAATGTTTTTAAAAAAGAGTTAGAAGCTATTTTCACTGGGTGCTAAGAGTGAAAATCCTTTGTAGCTTTATAAGGAAGTGGTATCATCACTTTTGTTTTTTCTCTTTTTCTTCTGACAGATCAATGATACCAACAACATACGCTATGAAGTCCAGCATGAAAATATTAACCTGTTTAATAGGACTAATAGAGCCATCGATTTCAACTATTACCTAGAGGTCATTCAGAAACCCTTCAGCATCAAAATAATAAGGAGGAGCAACGGAAGAGTCTTGTGAGCTTTTCAATACTCTTTGTATATCGTTGAGTATATAGTCTCAGTATCATTCCATCTGACTTACTAGGGGTGGATGATGAGATAAGTATGACTTGGGAAATTGTTTGAACTTCAGAAAAATGTCAAAGTTTTTACCGTAAATCACTAACACTGCTAATCTGTCGTGATTGCAGAATACAGCATGCTAAAATGTAATGTGCTGGTGTGCTAAGTTAATGCACTTGTAGTTCATGTATATTATGAAATAGAAAATTGTATTATTTTGGATTAGCATTCACTTTGGAACTCAACTTCACTATCATTCCAAATTTTTATTTCCTGAGAAACTTGCCACAAAGAATCTAACAACAGCCTGAGCTTAAACCATAAATTATACTAGAGAAAATACAGAGATTAATATTGGTAAAACCTATGTTCAAGTTCTTGCACCAGTAAGTCACCACTGGTCTCACATCAACCTCAGTTCCCAGGTCCATAGAAAGGGAATGAGAATCGCCACTGTTGCTATATGAACTGAGATATATTCATGAAGTATCCAGAGTAGTTCCTGGCATGAAGTAGATGCCTGGCAAGTATAAAGTCCCATCTGCTCTTTTTCCCCCAATCATCCAACTTGAGTTTCTGGTATCAAGTCTTCTCTAGAATGAAAGAATCAGAAAGACCCTAGAAAGACCTTCAAAAGTAGTATGAAAGTGAATGAGAACACCTGAAACACTGTTCTCAAAGAGAACAGGGAGTGTAGCAGACAGTTTCCTGGCAGAGAGCTGTTTGGTGACTCTCACTCTTACCCCATCGTCCAGATTGGACACGAGCATCGGGCCCTTGCAGTTTGCCCAGCAGTACCTGCAGCTGTCCTTCCGACTGCCCAGTGCCACTGTGTATGGGCTGGGAGAGCATGTACATCAGCAGTACCGCCACAACATGACCTGGAAGACCTGGCCCATCTTCACTCGAGATGCTGCCCCCACCGAGGTGAGCTTCCCTTCCTCTAACTTATGCTTCCCACTGAGGAATCCCTCTCTCCTTTCCAGAAAGTGACCTAGAGTCAAGTAGCCTACAAGTTACATCCATATATTATTTTGCCCAAGTTAGATACGTTTGTGCCAGAGAATATTTCTTCTTGAGGTTTATAAACTCACAATTAGTAATATATCAATTTTGTTTTATTTCATTTTATTATTATTTTTTATTGAGGTATAGCTGACATACAACCTTACGTTAGTTTCAAGCGGACAACATAACGATTCGATATTTCTCTATATTAGTAAATAATCACCACAATAAGTCTAGTTAACATTCGTCACCATGTTAAGGTACAGATTTTTTTTTTCCTTGTGATGAGAACTTTTTTTTAATTCAATTAATTAACATATAACATATTATTAGTTTTAGAGGTAGAGGTCAGTGATTCATCAGTAATCAATTTTTGAAAACATCCCACTTTTAAAGGAAAATATAATTTAATGATTATATGATGGCCTAATATATATTGGAAAATCCTTCTGCAAAATAACTATATTTGCCTTTAATAATTGAGTAGTATCTTGGGGAGAGCTTCAGCAGGAACTATCCTCAGTAGAACTTTGTGAACTAAAAAGAAAAAAAATACCTCTTTTGGCAGCTTTAATATTTTCCAGGTCTCTGCTAGTTGAAGTATATTCCAGAGACAGCAGTGTTGGCATCACTTGGGCGGTTGTTAGAAATGCAGAATCGCAGGTCAAAGCCCAGACCTACTGAACCAGAATGTGCATTTTAACAAGATCTGCAAGTGAGCCTCATGCATAGTAAAATGGGCAAAGAGCTGGTCTAGAGCAGTGCCTCTCAATTTATCTGTAGTGAAGGATCAGTTCCTTGCTTTCTGTTTGCTTTTTATTTTTTTTTAATCCTGGAAAAATGAAATAAAATTACTCAAAAACATAAAACATAAACTCAAATTTTAAATTGAACAGATATAAAATTATTCTTTTAAGTTGCTATAAAAGTTTCTAAGCTATTTCTCTTGTTTTTTTTTTTGTTTGTTTGTTTGTTTGTTTGTTTTGGTACTTTCTTTGCTAATTTACAGCAAAGGGCATGGGGAGGTCCCGGCCCATGGACAACCCTTTGAATAGCATTGCTTTGTAGAGCAGGTTTTGAAATCTCCATTGTGCTGGTGATATTTCCCTGATTTGTGCAAGACGTGCAGGTTGAAGTACATCGCAAGGGAGGGATGGGACTGAAGTTTTGCAATTCGTATTCCACGGGAGATGAACAAATCAAGTAGCACATTAACTGCTCCACCCACCAACATCTGATGAGATGAAGGGAGCACACTTACTGAACCAAATGAAGTAAAGCAATAGCCAGAACATTCACTAAAGTGCTTGCTCAAGGCCTCTGACAAACATGGAAGCCTAGTATCATCCTAAGCTTGGCTTTCTGTAGCTGGAAAATCCTTGAATTATGTAGTCACAGATTAGATTAGTCTTGCCTATCTTCCTTCCTTCCTCCCTCCCACCCTCCCTTCTTCCTTTTTACCCTCACCTCCCCCAACTTTTTCACTCACGGTAATACATATTATCTCTTTCAATATCAGTGCTCATCACAGCCCGGGACAGGTTCAGTATCTTCTTTAAACTTATTTACTACCTAAGTATTATATATTAATGATAGAAAAATTAGAAAATTTTAGGCATCAAGAAGAAATACAAAAATTCTCATAATAACAATCTTCTGCTAACATTTTGTTGTATGTCTTTGCAGATGTTTTCCAAATTTTAAAAATAACTAAGATACAATTTATATACTAAAATTCACCTGTTTTAAGCATACGATTCAGTGATTGTGGAGCACACTACCGACTTGCGCAGTTGTCGTCATAATCTAGTTTTGGAACATTTTTGTCACCCCATTAGGATCCCTCATACATTTTTAGACATAATCCCCATTCCCACCCCAGTGCTCACTTCATCTCCAGGGAATCACTAGTCTACTTTCTGTCGGGATAGATTTGACTTTTCCGGATTATATATATATATAATCATGCAATATATGGTTTCTTTTGTGTCTGTTTCTTTCACTCGGCATCACAGTTATGAGGTTTATTCGTGTGTAGCATGGATCGGTTTTTCACTTCTTATTGCTAATAGTATTCCACGGCATGAATAGACCATATTTTGTTTATCTGTTTATCACTTGATGTTACCATTTCAGTACCTTTTTGATATAATACTAGATTACATCAAGTGTTGACCAAGTACATGGTGTACATGGGTTTTGGTTTTATTTGGGGGTAAATAAAAGCATTTTTTTAAACATGTACTACTACTATGTGTTATTATTTTTTTCTTGACAGGGCATGATTAATCTGTATGGAGCTCATACATTCTTCCTGTGCCTTGAAGACATCAGTGGCTTCTCTTTTGGGGTTTTTCTGTTGAACAGTAATGCCATGGGTAGGAAGCATATTTTTATCTCAGCAGGAATATGTTTTGGGATGTGGCTTTTATAAAAATAACTTTTGTGTTGAGATCACTGTTTAACAAGAAGTGTATTTAACCTACAAAGCTTCTATATGGGAACCCAAATGTGGGGTAACCTGCTATAAATCTGCTGAAAGCTATTTCCATTGCAAACTTCTTTGGGGACCTCTTCTGATGCACTGTTTTCCATAATATTCTGCAGATAATAAGATGCATTGGCAGATAGGTCCCAAAGATAGCTGTAGATTTCACTATGTAAATCGGGTTGTCTGTTTGTAGGCAACAAGGATGTGTTATATAGCCTATTTCCCATAGCTCATCCCTTCCCCATTCCAGAATCTTCTCCCTCCAGCTTCTGGACTAACAGCATCCTAATAAGGGTTTGTTTTTATTTTTATTTATACATTATATTTAGAGTCATCTAATAAGGTTTTTAGAACCTTTCCACTACATTAAGTCACTCACAAATTCCAGACATTTGTATTGTTTTATAGCCATATTGAAATAGAATTGGTTCTGCTTTCTCTTAAAAAAATCAATTCTTCATTAGTGTTTTACTCAATACTATGTTAAATTTCAGCAATCTAAAAAAAAAAAAGAAATGTGTAATTTTCATCTCCGGCAAAATGAGATGGAGATTGTTTTGAATAGCTCAGGTATTCATATTCTAGAGAAAAGTATATTTGCAACCACAAAATTATAAAAACTCTCATTTTAATCCTTTCAGAGGTCACCCTCCAGCCTGCTCCTGCAATCACTTACCGCACAACTGGAGGCATCCTTGACTTTTATGTATTCCTGGGAAATACTCCAGAACAAGTGATTCAGGAATACCTGGAGGTATGTGCTTTGCTTGAAGAGAGTTATAATTAAAATTTAATGAAAAGAAACTATCTAAAAGGAACTGCATTATTTATTTATTTATGAAGGGTCAGGGCAGAGGGAGAGAGAGAATCTCTATGCAGAGTGTGGAGCCTGATGCAGGGCTCGATCTCATAACCTGAGATCATGACCTGAGCTGAAATTAAGAGTCAGATGCCAAACCAGCTAAGCCACCCAGGGGCCCCCGCGCTTTTTAATTTTTTATTCAAAATATAGAACAGGAAAGAACTTTAGATACCAGTTAGCCTAAACTTCCTGTTGTATAGATGAAAAGCTTAGATAGAGAAAGATGAATTGACTTGTTCAAGATGACATACAAAAAGGCATGTGAAATATGGTCCTGGATGCCAGTTGATTTATAATCTAATAGGAGAAGTAGGACACTGCCTATAATAATAATAAGAAACACCTTAATAAATGCCATTAGTCAAGTGCAAAGAAACTGTATGGGAATTCAGAGGCATGAGAGAAAGTGCCCCGCTGAGGGAACTGTCACATGGGAGGACAGGAGCTTCTAGGGAATAATGTTTAACAAGGCAAAGTTTGTGTGGGATTTTCCTCAGAGTGTTGGCATGAACAACACGTAGACTTGGATTTAATTTTTTATTTATTTATGGTAGTCACACACACACAGAGAGAGAGAGAGAGAGAGAGAGAGAGGCAGAGACACAGGCAGAGGGAGAAGCAGGCTCCGTGCACCGGGAGCCCGACGTGGGATTCGATCCCGGGTCTCCAGGACCGCGCCCTGGGCCAAAGGCAGGCGCCAAACCGCTGCGCCACCCAGGGATCCCTAGACTTGGATTTAAACATAGTCCAGTAATTCTTTGCCTACCCCACTTGTAATGAATGCTATTGGTCCCTATTCCTTTTTCATTAGCCCATTCCACTATCTGAAATTCTATTGGGCATTTATGCATTTCCTTTCATCTTTGTGAGAGCGGGAACGATGTTCACTTTATGCTGCTATATCCCATGTGCCTACATCGACCCTTACCACATTGTAAACACTCAGAAAATATTTACTGAGTGAATGAATACTTTTTTTTCCTCCCAGTTTAACACTATTATTCTACCAGTTTTTGCAAATCCCATTATTTTCTGATGTTGAGGTTGCTGGGGATGCATTTAGGTACATAGGAAACAAAGATGTGAGCTATAGAATTTTGCAAATTACCCAAGATTAGTCTTGCCTCTGACATTTTTAGATCTGGGGACTTTATAGAACGTGAAATGGAAACTGTTTTCTGTGTTAGACATGGTGCTCAAAACAATAGTTTTTAGATGCTCAAACATGTCTGTATGTATTTTTTCAGCTCATTGGACGACCATTCTTGCCTCCCTACTGGAGTCTTGGTTTCCAGCTCAGTCGCAGGAACTATAGTGACATCAATGGATTGAAGGAGGTTGTGAACCGAAATCGTCTAGCTCAGATCCCTTATGTAAGTTGGACCTTCTCTCATTGTGCGTAAGGCACCATGTCCTATCTTTTAGTTTTTGAAACAAAATCAATTTATTAAGAAGAAATACAGAGAGAGATAAGTGGACAGAGATAAACAGAAATTTGCGTGCTAAATTACCTATGTCATCATAGAAACAGCAGTTTATGGAATCGGATGGATATGGTTTTGAATTTTAGCTTTACTTCTTCCTAGCTCTATCAGTGTTGGGCTAGTTAAGTAGCATCTCTGAGTCTTAGTTTCTCTCTTTATAAATGAGCATGGAAGACTTCCTTTGATGGACTGGTAGTGAGGAATGCCTTACACTATGCATAGGCAGGCAGCACAGAGGATGAGCTCCATCAAAACTAGCTGTTATTTTATAAAAGAAAGCAGCATCTGGGGTGATATGGTTAACAAGAGCTGATGATTATAAATATTACCTAGAGTAAGTTTCTTATAGTGACCTTGCACACTCCTTCCAGATCTAGCAGATTCTAATTTTGAAAGCTCTCTGGTTGCAAAGTTTTTGTGATGTTCAATCTCCACTAGTAAATAGATAATTATTAAGCATATACTATTTGATAAATTCATCCAGGAGATTCATAACACCTTTAATGAACTTATCAAAATAGTTTACTTGGGGTGAGATCTTTGGAAATGTGGTTAGCGTGTGAAGGAAGAACATGCAGGTGGGAATGACTTTGACCTAATCTCGGGAGCTTCCAATCCCCTCTCAGGGTAGCAAGGGGAGTAGGCAGGGAAATGAGTTTTTTCCTGTGAGAAAACATGTCTGCTGTTTTGTTTGGTGTTAAGGGGTAATTGATCAGGTGTTTCATTTTAATGCTCCCAAGTCTGATACCTGCAAGCACTCAATTCCAGCAAGAATCAGGCCAAATCTCTCCACATGGTTATTATTTTACAAGGTGCTTTCACAATCATGGTTAACTGTCATTTATTGGTATTTTGTAAATGAGATAATGGAGACACATTGCACAGTTAATAATTTTTCTAAGGTCACTAGCACTAATAAATGGTAAGATTGTGATTCAAAAATATTACATGTGGTATTGGTTTCAATGTATCCCTGAACATCTGATGGGAAGGGCTTTTCTGAGGTGCTGCTAATTCAGGAACAAATGAGCTTTTTTTCCCACGGATTGGTTCTTTCTGACCATGTGGTAGTGGAGGCACCTGAGTATTGAGCATCTGCCCAGTGTTAGAACAGTTGTGCTGCATTGGCAACAGGCCACCAGCCACATTTTCCTGTAGGCCTGGAAGCTAGAGGCTTCTAAGACACATGAGGAACACTTACTACGAGAGGAACACTTTCTTAGAAGACCTTCAAATGTCTTTGAAGTTGTGGCATATTGGAAAGAAAGAGCAGCTGGACTCAAAGGGCCTATCACAAAAGTCCCAGTCTACCTCACTCACCCATGCACATGACTTTGGGAAATGTCACTCAACCCCTTCACACTGCAGTCTTCTCACTAAGAATAACAAACACCTGCTCTTCACAGATTGGTATACAAATGCTAAAATAATGTATGTGTGAGAGACTTCAGTTAATTAAAGCTCTGCCCCTTTGTCGTTTACCTTTGTTAGTTGTTCTATCAGTTTTATAGGGCAGGAAGACTGTTTTCTCCTCTTATGATACATTCTAGCTTAATTTTTAGGGTCCAAGTTAGCACATTCTTACAACACTACTATTGTTACTCACCCAAAGAGACATGTAAAGAGCACCTATTTCATGTCAAGCAACTGAGCTCTCAACTTGCAGGGATGAACAAGACATCATCCCTACCCTCAAGTTCCTCCCAATACCTATGACTTGCATCTGTCAAGACAAAGAGATAAAAGTGCAACCTAGGAGCACCTGCATCTTTCAGAATGGGCTTATTTATTTCTAGGAGGTAGCCAAGTCCTGGAATTTCAAGGATCATTAAGAAATATAGCTTCAGAGACACCTCAGTGGCTCAGTCAGTTAAGCATCTACCTTCAGCTCAGGTCCTGGGATCCATCCCTGTGTTGCGCTCTGTGCTCGGCGGGAAATCTGTTTCTCTCTCTGCCTCTCCCCCTACTCACTCTTTCTTTCTCTCTCTCTCTCTCTCTCTCTCTCTCTCAAGTAAATGAATAGACTTAAAAAAAAAAAGAAAGAAATATGGCTTTAGTTTTAGTGAGCAAGAACCAGAGCTATGATACCTTCCGTCAGCACTGTGATTATTTTCTACGTTCTAACTGACTGGCACTATCTTTCAGGATGTCCAGTACTCTGACATAGACTACATGGATGGAAATAAGGATTTCACTATTAATAAAGTGGCTTTCTCTAATCTCTCAAATTTTGTCAACGAGTTACATAACCAAGGAATGAAATATGTAATCATTATGGTATGTTCAAACAAGTCTGTTGCCTCATTTTTTTTCCTTTCAAAGTGCAAAAGAAAATGACAAAAATAATATTTGTTATCATCTTTATTTATTAGAATCCTGGCATCTCAAATAACTCTGGCTACCAGCCCTATGTGAATGGAAGTACAAAGAGAGTATGGATCTTGGGGGACAATGGCTTTGTTCTTGGGAAGGTAATTTTGCAAGAAAGTCAATAAATTATAGTAATTTGGGGAAGCTTGTAGTTTTGTTATGAAAGGGAGTAGAAGGCAAGTTGTTGTATTATCGCTGTTTCCATGCCTTTAGAGGCTCCCTTCATTATTATTTTTAAATCAGTAGATGTAATAGTAAAATAATTAAAATTCTGAGGGGTTTTTAAAAATTGAAATCTATCTGACATATCACATTGTATAAATTTAAGGTGTACAACATGCTGATTTGATACATTTGTGTATTGCAATATGATTGTTATTGTGGCAAGAGCGCTTTGACCACGTCACGTAATTATCATTTCTTTTTTGTGGTGGGAAGGATTAATATCTAGGTTCTAAAAAACTATCCCCTGACCTTCTCCTGTATTATAGATACTTGAGAAGCAATGTATTATTAGAAGAAAATTCATTTATTCTTAAGGTCTTTCTGCCTCCAACTTCTTTCTCTTTCCTAAGACAATGCATTCAGCTACAATAATGCAGCAAGATGCTCATAGTCTAATGTGAAACATGTCTTGGCTAATGTATTTTTATTTATTTTTTTTTAAATTTATTTATTTATTTATGATATTCACACACACACAGAGAGAGAGAGAGACAGAGACACAGGCAGAGGGAGAAGCAGGCTCCATGCACCGGGAGCCCGATGTGGGATTCGATCCTGGGTCTCCAGGATCGCGCCCTGAGCCAAAGGCAGGCGCCAAACCGCTGCGCCACCCAGGGATCCCGGCTAATGTATTTTTAGTTTATATGATACATAAGTATCATATCTATAAAGATAGAGCCAAGCTTTTATTCAGGCATTGGAGCAGGCTGATTAGAAGCCTAATTTTAGGGTGCCTGGGTGACTCAGTGGTTGAGTGTCTGCCTTAGGTTCAGGTCATGACCTCCGGGGTTCTGGGATCAAGTTCCACATCGGGTTCTCCTCGAGGAGCCTGCTTCTCCCTCTGCCTGTGTCTCTGCTTCTCTTTCTGTGTCTCTCATGAATAAATAAATAAAATCTTAAAAAAAATAAAAAAGAAGAAGCCTATCTTCAGAATATTTTATATCAAATCATTGAAGCAGCTTTTTATTCCATTTACTTATAGAGTCAGCATTAGCTGATGGATTATATGAGATTTACTAAAACTAATGTTAATCTGAAAAGTTTATGTGGCTGTAAGTTGTGTTGCTCCTAGGCAGTTTACTTTCCCAAACTGTCTTTTCAGGGTTATCAATGCCCCTTAATCTAATTGCTCACTTACTTCCTATCATTGACTTTGTTTACAATACTTAATTCTATTTACTTTCTTTTTCATTGAGCCTAACTTTTTATGAAACAGTAGTTTCCTTCCTTCCCTAAACTAATGCTTTGCTTTTATTTTGTTTGAAGTGAATTTCTAAAATATCAGACCAATATTCATATATAAGTACAAAATCAGAGACCATGGTCACATAAACATGGTTTTGATTATCTGAAAAGCAGAGTATCCAGACCTGTGGGTCATTTCAGTAGTACTCATATTTGAGTGGCATACAATTAATAATTTGTATATAATTACAATAATTTAGTTACCTCCACTGATCAATAAATAAATTATTTGATCTGAGATGTTTGCAGAGGTCATTGTCATGGGGATGGGTGGCTGGAGGATTATTATAAAGATATTTTGGGGAGGTGCCTGGGTAGCCTAGTGGGTTAAGCATCTGATTCTTAATTTAGGCTCAGGTCATGATCTCAGGGTCATGAGAACAAGCTCATATTGGGCTCTGGGCTGAGGGTGAAATCTGCTTAAGATTCTCTCTCTCTCTCTCTCTGTCCCCCCTACCCCCTCCATGCACATTCTCCCTCTCTCTAAAATAAATAAATAAAATAAAAATAAAGATATTTGGTTAGAATGAGGTTTGCTGGATCTGCTCTAGATAGAGTGGTGCTGTAGGTGACTTCTTTACCACACTGCCTATTTCCTGAAGACCAAAATTACCTCTAGCTATTACTTGATGCCCTGTCACCTAAAACAAGAACCAGGATTTTAATCCAGTTAAACTGGAATTTTTAGCTCACATCTTAGGTTTTAAGATGTCTGAATTTTTCTTGTATTTGTATTTACATTATATATTTATATATTTATAATATATGATACTAATATATATTACATATTAATAATATACTATATAGAACACACAATATATATTCATATATATTAATTATATTGCCTGAGCATATGGTCCTTAATGTGACAACTTATACATTTGTTGGGAAAATAAATCAGAATGTAAGCACAAAAGCATATATTCTATCAATTCAGAGTTTTCAGTAATTTAGCTATAAATTCTACCTTTGTGCTATTTCTGGAAAATGTTAAAAGCTCATTGATAAGACTAGATGAGGAAGAAAAGAGAGGATAAGAAATATCAGACCCAAGTAAGAAGCACAAAATCCATTTCGTCATTCAAAACAGATTGTTTCTCTACCAAAGGCAACATATCGTTTATAAACATCATTTTTCAAAGCAGGTTTATATGACCTTTAATTAACACTTTAAATGAATCCAGTCATTCTCTCCTAAAATATTATCTAGTTAGATGAATGGATGTTTCATAGACTGCTCTCCCAGGTGGTCTGACATCATGAAATTTTATTTTTGTGTTTTCATAGAAAAAAGACATCTGATGGCCTGTTGTGTTTTTAATTGGCTGTTTTTTCTTTTCTTTTCTTTACTTTTCTTTTCTTTTCTTTTTTTTCTTCTTTTGGTTCTATGCTTATAGTTTACTATTTAGTTTGGGGGAAAATTTTGATTCTGAAATGATAAGATGCCTGGAGCTCCTGGTGGAAGAAGCAGTAGCAGCAATGAATGTGTCTGTGGCCCTGTGGCTCACCCACTGCCCCTGCCTTCTTCTCTGTTCTCTAGGGGTACCCAGGATGGACAGTGTTTCCTGATTATAGTAATCCGACTTGCGTTGAGTGGTGGAGAGAGCAGTTCAGTGCATTTAATAAAATTCTCCAGTTCGATGGAGTGTGGATTGTAAGTTGTTATTCTAGGATCAAACTTCTTTTGGAAATGGATATTCTAAGATATAAGAAGGAGCTTTGACCCTGATCTGTAATAAAATCGTTTTCTTGATATAGTGGTATTTAAAATCCTTTTTTACTTAATGCTGAGCTTATATGCAGTAAAAAAAGACCCCTGAAAACCATAGATTTTTAATTCTGGCTCTGCCACCAGCTGATTATTTCTTCTTGTGATCATTTCTTTTTAGTTCCCAGGGCTTCAGCTTCTTCCTCCCTTAACTGTCTTTCACCTTAAAAATCAGTATTACTGTTTTATGAGAGGCTATCATTGCTCCAACATTATTTATTGCATTGATTCATTAAAATTTAAAGTTAATCAGAGCATGATTTAATGAATACTTTTTATTTTTTTTAGGTGGGGATAGCAGGTAGAGATATTTCTTTGAAATTTGGAAAATTATCTCTGTTAGCAAGATTAGGCATCACCAATTTTTAAACCACTTGTAAGACAGATTTGGTCTCAGTTACATCTTCTTGTCCTTCACTGAGTGGAATAAAAGACCGGGGGAAACTATAAAACAGAAATACTCCTCTGTCTTAGGTTCTTTCGAACAGCACTGAATCAGTAACAGCAACAATAAAATTCACATTATGCTTAAGGTAAGAATCAGCCTTTGGGATGGTATCGCTTAATCAGCTCATTGAAATCAGTGTATAAAAAATAAAGTGTGCCTGACAGCATTTCGAGTTGGAGGACAGGCAAAAGATGAAACAGAGGTCAAGAAAACTTAGGAAGACTACTCAAGATGCCAAAGTCAGTAAGAGGCCCCAGGTGTGGAGGGGGCTTTCTAGGTCAGGAAGCCTCCTCCTCCCCGGACAACCAACCCTACATCGCTAACACTTCCCGGTGTGTGTCTTGTGTGTCTTTAAAGGAAATGGATGAAGTCTCCAGCCTTCCCAAGATTCCGATCCCAAGTGTGAGCAGAACAGCTTGAACTTTCCTCCTTTCGTTCCCCGTAAGTTGTGAGATGTGCTTGAGCACACTCTGCGTGCCCGAGCACAGTCTCAGCTCCCAGGGCAAGGGGCCTGTGGACACCTGTCCCCTCCACTGCTGGAGGCCTTGCTGCGCCCCTGGGCTCTGGCCACCTGCTGGCTGCGCTCCTCCCCACCGGCCTCCGGCCTCCGCTGTCTCCCATCCTCTTCATGGTCTCCAAACCCCTAGGCAAATGATTCTGTTTTCAACTTTTGGAGAATACCAGAATACTTTAAGGTGCAAACTACCTCAAGATGCCAAAGTCAGTAAGAGGCCGCAGGTGTGAAGGGGGCTTTCCAGTTCAGAAACTTATCTATTCCACTAAAGTAAATCTGTAATTTTGTTTATTATTATTTTTTGGCTCATTAGCCACGATTTAAAGCACCAGTGGTTCCTTTTATTTTTGAGTCTCATTCTTAGATTTTCCAGTCCTGATTTCCAAAGTGTATATATGTGTAAAACAGTATCGAATGGATTATGCTGTGGAAACAAACGGACCCCAGCATCTCAGTGGATTAACATAATAAAAGTTTATTTTTTGCTCCTGTAATACTCCAGGGTGAGATGTGTGGCTCTCATGCAAGCAGTGGCTCAGGGATCTACTTACTTCCATTGCTTGGCTCTCCCATCCCAGGGTCATTTGTTTCCAGCTTCCTGGCTGAAGGAGAGAGACGGTAGAGGGAGTTTTATTGGCAGGCCTAGAAGTGGGGTGTATTCAGTTTGCTCACATTTCTTTCCACAGAATCCAATCACGTATTCTCAGTTTAACCTTGAGCGAAAATGTGAAATATAATCTTTACACTCCCAGGAAGAGAACACAGGCTTGGTGAGCATCTGGCCAGTCTCTGCCAGTTGATTCTGGTTTGTCCACTTCACTTGCACCCTGGACCACGGTTGACCTGTTTCGATAGCCCCTTTTGGTCACTGAAGGAGTGGATAACTTTTTTTTAGGAGGAATCCTAGCTTCAGACAACTTAACTTCTTGCAAAATCTGTTTGCTTGTCTGTTTATTCCTTAATCTTCTCTGCTCAGGCTATGTTCCCCCCTCCCATTTTTTTTTCCATAGCGTATCAGTTTATCAAGTTTCCCTTTTAATCTCTTAAGCTTCTTCTTAGCCAAAACTAAGTTTTTGTTTTTGTTTTTCTATAGAAAATTGCAATCTCATCTCCTTCTGTCTGCTTCTGGCAAGCACCTCACTCCCTAGCTCCCAGCATTTTGTAGACCTACCTATGACTAGCCACTACCTCATTCATAGCTGCTCTGCTTCTCACCTTTTCAAGATTGGACAGCACACAGTAGCACAATGACGACGTACATAAATTATCTTTGACCCTGGGACAACTTTAGTGTCTTTTCTTGCCACTGAAGTGGATGTGAGTCTCACTCATTCCACAAACTGAGCTGTGCCAAAAATATAAATTTCCTAATGTTTTGTCATTCAGGTTAATTTCTGATTAAGTTGGGCTGGTGGGAAAAACCCAACAAGGGTTTCATGGTCCCACTCTTTTCTGAAACTGTGCTTCATATCGAGGCATATTGCAAGGCATCCCGAAGGAGAGCTGCTATGGCCTCCAGTTGTTGGTCCGCAAGGAAAAAAAGGGAAGAATGAGATTCTAGGCTACAAAGCAGAAAATGTTAAGCATTTTAGGCCTGAGGAAGGGAAAAGAATAGTCATACTGTGGTGGATTCTATTCGTATTCTTATTCATGAAACCATATAAATGTCGTATCTCATTTCTTAAAAAAAAAAAAAAGAAGAAAAGAAAAGAAAAGAAAAGAAAAGAAAAGAAAAAAAGGCCTAACAGGGATCGAATGCCTACCATGGAAGAGTGAGAGTATTTCCTTCTCACTGCCTCTCATATCTGTCCCTTACACACTCAATTCTTCTCAATCAAGTATATGTAGAGAAATGTGTGTGCTTTATTTATATTTCATCTCAGGCCAACTTCCCGTTGCTCTGAGCTCATTTCTCAGCTGCCTCTACATGGCCCCACGTTCTGTGAGCATTGAGGGAACACACATTAGTTTAGACCATCTACCTCAGAAAGAGGGGCTTAGTGTGCTGCTAGGATGTAGCACTTAGGATAGAATTTAAAATCTCGAGAGGATTTTGTCAGGTGGCAATTGGGTGGGAAGGTACAATAACCAGGAATCAAACAATTGGGTGGTTATTGCGTTAGAGCTGATTGATGGTGAAGTGCCTCATGGGTGGTTATTTCCGTCACAGAAATTCTGGACCGCTCGCTTTCTGCCGGAACCCTCTGCATGGATGCAGAACTTTACTGGGGTCTTCACTATGATGTCCACAGCTTGTATGGCTACTCCATGGCAAAAGCTACACACTCGTAAGCACTTGGTTTTCCCACTAATTTCAGTGTAGGGGAGGTGGGAGGCGGACGGTGTTGCCTATCTTCCATAAGTATGTTTTTCAAATATGTTTTATGGTTATAAGGACCTACAACTCAGATCTTATGGGCTACTTAAGAGCTCTTCTCATAGGGCCCTTTGGTTCCTTTGTGAAGTTAGTTTTGATTGGCTTTTGACTAAGGGACTTCCTTAGATCCTAGTAGGTGGTTATGTGCAAGGTAAATAGAGGCCCCAGTCGGAAGCCATCCTGTGTGTAGGTCCTATTACCAAATGTTGTCGTGGTTCCTACACTAGGGTTGCTTGATTGGGCAAATAAAAATATAGGACCCTGTTAGATTTGTGCTGGACAGACTTATACTAAAGATTATCCATTGTTTAAACGAAATTCAAGTTTGCCTGAGGGTCCCGTGTTTACCTGGCAGTGCTATATGGCTTCTCTCCCCACTGCCTGCAGTTCTGCTGCCTGCAAATATACACTTAGGTTAAAGCCTCTTCAGATGTTCTTTCTGGAAACCTTCCTATTGGTTCTAGGAAAAGATTACTTCCCTTTTTTGTGCTCCCTTTGTTTGTATTACAATATGCTCAATACGCAAAAATCCTGTGTGATAACTTTCAGATAATCCACCTTCCCTTTTTTTTTCTTGCTGGACTGCAAGATTTTGAGGGCAAAGTCATCTCTGTAACTTTACCTGAGGAATAGCATGTGTACTAAAGTGTGTGTTGCTTTGCTGCCTGGCCAGAGGGAGAGAAGTCAGGAAGGGCCTGCTGGAGGCCTGGTGAGTTTGAGGCAGGGACTGCCCCTGTTTTGTTCTCCAGCACCGTTTTGTCCTCCTGACTTTGTATTATGTGGGATTATCCAGATGAGAGAAAAATCCTTGTCTGATAAATGCAAAAATTTGAATCTCAATGAAAGAAAAGCTTCACGATGAAGCACACACATTTCTGGTGCTGTTAAGCCTCTCTTTTCTGACCTCTGACTCTCTCACTCTACTTTTCCTGGGAAATAAACTAGAAGAATAGGACTCAATTTCCTCATCTTTGAAATAAGAAGCTTGGATTGATGTTTCCCACAGTTCCTTCTTATTCCAATCTATTATGTTTTTTTTTAATTTTTATTGATTTATGATAGTCACAGAGAGAGAGAGAGAGAGAGAGAGAGAGAGAGAGAGAGAGAGAGGCAGAGACACAGGCAGAGGGAGAAGCAGGCTCCATGCACCGGGAGCCCGACGTGGGATTCGATCCCAGGTCTCCAGAATCGCGCCCTGGGCCAAAGGCAGGCGCCAAACCGCTGCGCCACCCAGGGATCCCTCCAATCTATTTTGACCTTAAGATACTTCTATCAAAGAATGGGAGGTAGGCGGGAGAGTGGCTACATGCCTGCAGTGAGAAAGAATGAGCAGGGGGTGAGAAGAGAGTTGCACATTGCTTTATTGCCAGTGTCTCCATGCAATAAAAGTGCTTAAGATTGTGATGAGGTTGGTTAATATATTCTAATGGCTATGATTAGTAGTTAAAAGATAACTATGATGGAGAAGGTTAAGTGCCCTTCTGAGTTCTCTGGGTCAGGCCAAAGGACCTAAGTTCCTGGAGAACGGTGGCGATAAGTGAACTTGGCCTTTGGATAGGAGGCAGAGTGGTGAAAACAAAACAAAACAAAACAGGATGCTTTTGTTCAGGGGGATCTGAGCATCAGCAACATTTAAGCCGTAGATCTGATGAATATTTGGCTCAGTCTTCCTGGAAGTATCCTTTGGGGACAGTGGTTACTGGTCTACCCCAAGAAGGAGTTTCTCCTCCCTCTCAGCTGAAAGTAGAAAGACCAGATCCCCTCAGATATCAGGACTGAGGATAAGCCAGCCAATTCTGATGGATGGAAAAGAGAGAATTGAGGATCTCTGAAAAAGATTGTTCCCCTGGGCTGGAAAACACAGACGTATCTAATCTAATCCAAGGTCGGCCTTTAGATAACCTGTAACCTCAGATAACTTTATCCCTGTTTCGGTTTCACTCTGTATAACCTGAATGTGTTTCTTTCATGATCGATAATTGAAGAGTGCCATAAACCCTCTAGCCAGTGGTGATAAAAGCAAAGTACCTGCTTGTCAAGATCAAAGTAGACATGAGGGTAGGAGTTGAAGAATGAGTGTTCTCCTTTATGTTACTTTTATTTTTTGGCTGTTAAGTTGTTAGAATGGAGGATTTCACTCTTTCAAATCCATCTTCTATTTCAGAATTTTCTCCCATTTGCCACTATACATCATTGTGCATTTATAGACTCCCCATAAGGTAGTCCTCAGGAATATGAAGTGGGGGAGCATTGGTGGCTGTGACAGTGTCTGTGAGGAATTGCCCAGGGCCTGGTGATATGTTTATCTCAGACCATAGACTGAAATGAAAGATAGAAGGGCTCAAAGTGATTGTGGCCAGGTATCACCATCCCAGAGTTATGATTTTGCTTAATTTCAGATTGCTAAAGGAACGTATGAACTATTTAGCATGGAAGCAGAAGGGAGGGGGAGGCATTTCAGGAAAATGCCTATGCAAAAGAGTGTTCAGAATAAAAGCTAGGAAAATCTCTTACATCTAACTGTGTTATCCCACCTCATGAGATCCTCCATCCCAAAGTAATTATCTTTCTGAATCCCATGTTTTCCATCCCTTTGCTTTCTCTTTTATAGTCTTATTTGATATGTGATTTTTTATATGTTGTACAATGAAAATAATATTTTATATTTTAATTGCATTTAACTTTATAAAGAGTATCATATGTCATCTTTTCAGACTCACTCATTTAAAATTATTATTATTTTGTGTAGATTAAGATTTCCTAACATTGAGGATGGCTAATACTAAGTTCTAAAGCTTTAGAGGAACCCACCTGCCTAGAGCCCAGCTGGTATACAAACTGTCCTCATAAGCCAGTAGGGGTTACAGAGCTCCAACGTGAGCTGGTATAGAGCTAAACAGGATTATAAAGGGGCAGCAAGACATGGACACAAGGGACACTGGACAAGCTTTGTCTGGAGGGAGAAGATGGGGTCAATAACTCAAGACACAGCTCCAGTACTATCAACCAGAAGAACAAAAGCACAACCAGATCCAGCAAGATAAAGAGACCATAATCAAAAGGACAGGAACCCAGAGACATCTCCTTGGGGGATGGACTATAAGTTTAGACTGTCTTATATGAAGTCTGAGGCCTTATTCAGAAGTAGGAAAGAAGCTCTTAAAAGTGCTAGACTAGTTTGCTCACCTAGTTTATTGATGCCCTGATGTTTTTTCTGTTTGGCTAGAAGGCCTATTGTCTCCTTGGGTACAAGTGAGTCCTGGACATTCAGAGCTCACTTCATCTTCAATCGATTGTATTCCTTTTCAGGGCCATGGAGAATATCTTCCCCGGAAAAAATAACTTCATCTTATCCCGCTCTACTTTTGCTGGATCTGGCAAATTTGCTGGACATTGGTTGGGGGATAATGCCGCCACATGGGATGATCTCCGATGGTCCATCCCAAGTATCCTTGAGTTCAACCTATTTGGTATCCCCATGGTGAGTTTTACTTTCAACCAAAGAACCTTAACCTTTGTCCTTTGGCATTCTTTCCTTTGTTAGTCTTTGAGATGTCTGACGACCAAGGAGTATATGTCTCCTTGCGGTATGTATCAGAGGATCCATTTTTATATGTGGCATGAACTGTCTTTTGAAGATAGAATGGTAAAACTTTATCATTGGGTAGTCATCCATGGAATCTCTGAGGTCAGCATGGAAACACCATAAGTAAAATATGTTAGCATCACAGAAAATTTCCATTAGCGAAGCATCAGTGAATAGCAAAATATGAAATTGGGAACTGAACACTGAGATGAGTTCTTGGAAGCTGATTCATGATGCACATTTGCTGCTTTCTTCCATTTGGCTGAGGCCGGCCCTGAAAGCCTGGGACCTCTGTAAGCATGGAATGATGGAAATTAGGTATTTTCCCCCTTACCACATAGGTATAGAGTCAGTGCTTTCTCCACTATCACTGACCACTGTGTATATGTGCTACTTCTCCAGGTAGGTGCCAACATCTGCGGTTATACAAAAAACGTCACAGAGGAGCTCTGCACAAGATGGATGCAGCTTGGGGCATTTTATCCACTCTCGAGGAATCACAATGGACCTGAGTTCAGGGTAAGGTCCCCAAGAGAGGCAAGAGAAATTTCTTGGGTTGTCTTATCTACTTGTTCTCAAAAAGAATTAAAAAAAAATCCTATAGTTTGGCTATTAGTGTAGAAAGAAAATAGATAAATTTTTGGTCATATACCTAAAGAGCAAGAGTATTGGGATAAGGGTGCATGGGAAGTTCATACATATTGGATGATTTTATTGTGATTGATATTGATTTTTTTAAAACTCACCAATGAAGGTGAGAAGGTTGTTAGAGTTTCTGTGGTGCTGCTATCCATTACTTCTGTTACCTCCTTATATAAGACGGGACAATTGGAGTCCACTGGTATTTTATCTCAAACAATACAAGGGAAGCCAATTCTAGATTTGGAGGAGCAAGGAGGGATAGTTTAGGGAGTGGCAGGCCAGTGATCTGAAGATTTTTTTTTTCACCTTGTTACAAGGTGAAAAATTCATCCTATCTTTCTATGAATAATTGGGGAGACCCTGTCCCCCACTTACTACTTTTCACTCTTTTGTCCTTTTCTATTCAAAAATCATGTTTTTGATGGGTGAATACATAGAAGTGAGCTCAGAGCCCCTGTTAAGGAGATGTTTAGGACGATGGCAAGAGCAAGTAAGGTGGAATGCCCTTTATTTTAATGTAATCTGCACTTGGAGTATTTCAAAATTGAGTAGGTTAATTCTTACTAGGATCAACAGAATAACTTACTGATGATCATTTTAGGACCCATTCTTGACTTGTCTGATGATATGTCTCTAACCTGGGAAAAGATTCATGGCCAAATCATCAAAGAATTTTATCCCAGGACTGTCCAGTTTGGGATCTGGAGAGAGAGGAGTTATTTCTGAACTTCGAAGCAGCTGGCTGGGAGGAAGGCAGGTTGCCTTCCTCATGAGATGGCTTGGAAGCAGATAAATAAGAGTGCTCAGATCACTTAGTCTACTAAGCCATAGTGCTTGTTTTCCTGTCCTTCCTTTAGCCCTATGCAATAGAATGATAATGAGTGTCACACATTAAGTTTAAATGTAAATTTAAAAAGTAAAAAGAAACAGGGACACCTGGGTGGCTCAGTGGTTTAGCACTGCCTTTGACCCAGGGCTTGATCCTGGAGTCCCGGGATCGAGTCCCACGTCAGGCTTCCTACATGGAGACTGCTTCTCCCTCTGCCTATGTCTCTGCCTCTTTCTCTCTCTCTGTCTCCCATGAATAAATAAATAAAATCTTAAAAAAAAAAAAGAAACAGAAGCAATCATGTGAAGTATATTTTATATAACTCAATATGTCCATAACATTATCATTTCAACCTGAGTTTATTTTTTAAAGATATTTATTTATTTATTTATTTATTTATTTATTTATTTATTTATTTATTTATTTGAGATATATAGAGAGAAGCAGAGACACAGAGGGAGAAGCAGGCTCCATGCAGGGAACCTGATGCAGGACTGGATCCTGGGACTCCAGGATCATGCCCTGGGCCAAAGGCAGGCACTAAACTGCTGAGCCACCCAGGGATCCCCTCAACCTGTGTTGAATATAAAATATTGTCAAATAGATATTTTATATTCTTTTCTCTCTATTAAGTCTTCAAAATTCAAGAGCATTTTTAAAAAAGATTTTATTTATTTTTTCATGAGATACACAGAGAGAGGGAGAGACAGAGACACAGGCAGAGGGAGAAGTAGGCTCCATGCAGGGAGCTTGATGTGGGACTCGATCCAGGACTCCAGGATCACGCCCTGGGCCGAAGGCAGGTGCTAAACTCCTGAGCCACCCAGGGATCCCCTCAAGAGCATTTTACACTCATTGTACATCTCATTTTAAGTGCTAAGTTTTCAGCAGTTGGAGTGCAATGAACCAAAACAATAAAGTTATAGTTAATGGGAACATATTTTAAAATATTTTATTTATTTTTATTCTTTATTTTATTTAAAAATATTTATTTAAAAATATTCAGTTTTCAGGATTATATTTAAATTCACTAAAGTCAAGTAAAATTAAATTTCAGTTCCTCAGTCTTCCTAACTACATCTCAGGTGTTCAAAAGCTCCATGTGGCATGTGGCCACCATGGTGGACAGTGTAGCTCTATACCTTCTTGGTTGGAGACCAGAGTGATGGAGGCTTTGGAGTATTATTTTTCATTGGTGTTTGGCCTCAGGGTTTTCATGAGCCCTACACTGGGGGTGTGGAGTGGTCTCCTGCAATAGACTGCTCTACTTTCTAATCCCCTTGAAGGGAGGAAATGAGCATCTTTAGGAACAAAAGAAAGGAATAAATTTAGTTAATTTTCTCTAAAATTCATTCTCAGTAATACAGTACAGGATGACGGATCTCAATATGACATACATTATCTTTCATATCTTAGAAATTGCAAGGAAAATGAACTAAATAAGTCTCCTCATTAATGGAAAATTTCTGTTTGTGGGTCCTAAGAAAATTAGATTTACCTTCTAAAGGGTTCTGTCTTTGCTCTTGGATAAAGTCATGATTTCTTTGCACAATGTATTTTGAAGAAAAAAATAGAGGTGTCTTTGTTTCTCTGTCTTTGGGGCAGAGAAAAGAAAACAAATATTGGTGGTGAAAACGTTACAGACAGAACTAGATGTAAATTTTAATATTGCAGATTCATAAAATTGCATGGAAAGGAAAAGATGGATTATAGATCATGGTGGTAGGCAATGGAGAAACATAATACATAACAATAATTTAGATCAGCTAAGAAGGGAACAGGGCCACTATAACCCCTTTATCTCCATGACAACCTCCTAACTTTTTTTTTTTAAGTATTTATTTATTTTGAGAGAGAGAGAGAGAAAGTGTGCATGTGAGGGGCAGAGGGAGCGGGAGAGAGCCCCAAATGGACTCCGTGCTGAGTTCTGAGCCCCTGGGATCTTGACCTGAGCTGAAACCAAGAGTCTGATGCTTAACTGACTGCACCACCCGGGTGGCCCTCTCTAAGAACTTCTGTATGTATCCCCCTTGAGGCTACCACAGACCGAGATCAGAAGACACATGTCAAATATAAACTCCCCCCTCTGCTTTTACCTTGGGAGAATCATGGAATCTTTTGTCCTGTGTTTCATCTATAAAATAAAGAAACAGTACCAAGGTCCTTTTAGTTTTGGGAATGTTCTGATATCATCCAAGTTGAAGAACATGGCTACTTTCATCTGGGAAAGCTTCTTTTATAAGGGAACAAACTTTTAAAACATGATGGAAATCTCTAATATTTGTTTCATTTTCTTCTAGGACCAGGATCCCGCTGCCTTTGGTGAACACTCTCTGCTGCTGAAATCCTCCAGACATTACCTGAACATCCGCTACACCCTGCTGCCCTACCTCTACACCCTTTTCTACCGAGCTCACACCCGGGGGGATACTGTAGCAAGGCCACTGGTCCATGAGTGAGTTTCTTGACCCACAAAGAATCCTTTTCAGATCATTAATTTCACTTGTCTTGTTAGTGGTAACAAGGTTAGTCCACCTAGTGTGCTGTTGTCCTGTACTGGGGGCTTCATCTCCCTTTTCTGCTTTCCAGGTTCTATCAGGACCCAGCTACATGGGATGTGCATGAGCAGTTCTTATGGGGACCTGGACTCCTCATCACCCCTGTTTTATATGAGGTGTGTTTATAATCCGAAAATGGGGTTGGAATATCACACTTGTCCCCGTGGCTCTATAGCTGAATAAGCTAAGTCTGGAGTATCCATGACTGCATTTAAATATAAATAAATGAATGAGAGAAAGAGAGAGAAAGAGAGAGATCGATCATGAAAGTTTGGAAATTAGAAAAATTAATACTTGGTCCTCCTGCCCCACCAAGCAAAACAATTTATATTTTGCAAAATTACCTTAAGGCTTGCTTTCGTAAGCATATGACCATGGATTGACAGACTTTAAATGCCTTGTAAGTCTGGGCTGGCCATCTGTCTGTTCTTCCATTTTTTTTTTAAGATTTTATTTATTTATTCATAGAGACAGAGAGAGAGACAGAAAAAGAAGCAGGCATCATACAGAGAGCCTGATGTGGGACTCGATCCAGGGTCTCCAGGATCACACCCTGAGTTGCAGGCGGCGCTAAACCGCTGTGCCACCGGGGCTGCCCTGTGCTTCCTTTTAACCAGAGGACATGTGTTCTTGAGGTTGGGCTGGGAAAAGAGAAGAGGTGGGAGAGAGGTCTGGGCAGGGTGGGAGAGAGGTCTGGGCAAGGGAGAGAGGTCTGGGCAAGGGAAGGGTGTTACTTCCTTCCCTTCAGATATGAAGGACCACACATACTCTCCCAAAGTGCGAGTGGGGAAGTGTGGGGGAGGGATCAGGGTTATGCTGCTCACTTTATAAGCATGAGAGATCGCCAATGTACTCATGTCAAAGGCCCATCTCTTGGCAGGTGCTGTGACCAGCAGAGGTCCTGTTAGAAGGCTCTTCAGGAGACCTGGCTGTCTCAGTCTCCTCCCACTTGTTAGATTACACATGTAACACAAGTAATCTAACTTGTTAGATTACACAGTGAATCAACTTTCTCTACTTCTCTTAGAAAGTTCAGGACCCTCAAAATAAAACAAACTTAATTTCTAGGCACAGCTATGCTTTGGGTACCCGTATTTGTACCTGTAGAATGGGATGGTCCCAACCATCTCAGGATTGTGCAGATGAGCATGTGCAACCACACATGAGGTATGTAAACTATAAGGGGCATGCTGATGTTGCTCATTATCGGTATTTCCCTAGGGTGTGGACCTAGTGAAAGCATACATACCGGACGCCATCTGGTACGACTACGAGACCGTAAGTAAGGCAGCCCTGCTTGGATCAGAGACCAGCCCCTAGCAGAGGGCAATTCTAAGGCAGGAGACCTGGGATCTTGGGGTAGGATGATAGCACAAGATTTTACATTCGGTTGATAGAGGGTAATTTTCTATGAGGAAGGCCCTTCTAGATGTACTATGAAATAATTTGAATAACTGGGTTAGGTTTAGGGCACTTTTCACTGTATCAACCTGGCTACTGTGAAACTCTGATACCCTAGTGAATGAAAGCTCAGTTGTGAAAGAATCACTGCACTGTGTAACCCAAATAATACAAACCACTGAGTCTCAAATCTGCTACCTATTTCAGTTATGCCTTGGGAAACCCTTTGTTTTGGGGAGTCTCTGCTTTTCTTTCTTTCCTCTTTCTTTCTTTCTTTCTTCTTTCTTTCTTTCTTTCTTTCTTTCTTTCTTTCCTCTTTTTTTTTCTTTTTCAAGTTTTTATTTAAATTCCAGTTAGTTGGAATACAGTGTAATGTTAGTTTCAGGAGTAAAATTTAGTGATTCATCACTGACATATAACACCCGGTGCTCATCACAAACAGGTGCCCTCCTTCATGTCCATTACCCTTTTAAGCCATCCCTCACCTACCTCCCCTCCAGCAACCTTCAGTGTATTCTCTATGGTTAAGAGTCTATTTTCTGGTTTGCCTCTCTCTTTCCCCCCACCCTCCTCAGTTCATCTGTTTGTTTCTTAAATTCCACATGTGAGTGAAATCATACAGTATTTGTCTTTCTCTCACTGACTTATTTCAAATGAGGCAACTGAACTAGAGGATCTGCATGGTGCCTCCTACTCTAACAGTCCATTATCTGCTCTGTTGTCCTTCTGTTGGTTAGGGGGTAGCCATGCAGTGGAGGAAACAATCAGTGGAGATGCAGCTGCCACTTGATAGGATAGGACTTCACCTCCGAGGAGGCTTCATATTTCCCACCCAGCAACCCAACACAACCACAGAAATCAGGTAAGTGATTTCACACTCTTCTAAGGTGTGACTATTCTGATGCTTCAAGGGGAGCATGTTAAGGGACAGACAAATGGACACTAAAAGTGGATAGATCAAGGAAAAACATCTCTAGTCAATAATCACTCTCCCTTCCTTTCAAGGTCAGCCCCAAAGTGGCACCTTCATGTTCATTTAGCGGGTAAGGTAGCCTCAGTCCCTTCACATGTCTAGAGTCTTTCACTTGGAAATTGAATCAGACTTTAAGAAGAGCCAAGACAATCATTTGTGAGGATTTCCCTATGGCCAGAAACTGTCTTCAAGGAGATTCCCTTGAGTTAAATAGGAGGTGAGAGTTATCACATGGAAGCAAACATAGCTTCTAAGGTCAAGAGCCAGGAAGTTCAGGTGCAGACCCCAGCACTATTACTACCAGATGTGTTGCCATGGGCAATGTACTCTCTGTGTTGCTGCTTATCACTAGCAAGCTGGGGATGACAATAGTTTGACTGTCCCTGAGGCATGAAAGGGGCTGGTTGAACAAAGTTCTATGTCTTCTTCATTCTCTGAAACTGAGAGATGCTATTTTTACAGTCGGAAGAATTCCCTGGGACTCATTGTTGCCTTGGACTATAAGAGAGAAGCACAGGGAGAGCTGTACTGGGATGATGGTGTATCTAAAGGTAGGCTTCCCTGTGGTGCCCTCCCTGGGGTTCTCAGTGAAAAGTAAACATTACAAGCTGCCCAGTATGGCACTAACTCTGTTATCATCGATGCTTATTTCTTTAAGTTTAGAATCAATTTATCCTAAAGGTTTGGTTAGCCAAGTATGATGTATTAAAATCGACTTCAGATGAGCAACTCATATGTTATTGACTACCAAAGCGACAGACATTATTGGGTTTAGTTTAATTACTCTCTTTTTTGGGTCTCTCTACCAATACCAAATAATACCTTTTGTTAATCGATTTGTAAAATTCTGCTCTGGTTACTATTGAAGGGGAAGCACCGAGTTGGTATAGTGTGCTTTTCCACTATACGATTCTCATGGAAGTAACTGCCATAAGCTTGTGATCTGTGATTATATAAAAATCCTGCCCTGTGTAGAGGGCATTGTAGAATAAATGTAGAATTAGCATTTATTAATATTTGTTGGCTACTTATTATTGTACCGTATGCAATACATATTATTGCGCAGGGGATATAAATTGAGTAAGATGTAGGCATTGCCCCTGAGGAACTCTTGATCCAACAGGATAGATACAATGTGCATGTGGATGACTATACGTACAAGTCATGATGTTTTAAGTGCCAGCAAAATGGTGCTATGAAGTGCCACAGGAGTTCAGAGGGTGAAGCAGTTAGGTTTGGCTGAAGCAGTCCAGGAAACTTGTTGGGAGATTCGACAAAAACAGGCAGAACCTGGATAAGCAGAGATAGAGAAGGGAAAAGCATGACCTCAAGGCTCCTCAACTTCCTATAATAATGAGTCCTCCTCTATTTTCCTCTTTTAGATACTGTAACTGAAAAGTATATTCTGTATAATTTTTCTGTCACCTCGGTAAGTACTATTTTTGAGGAACACACAGTGTACATTCTTTTCTGTGATGCCTTTTTGAGTTTTTGGTTTGCTATGATGCTTGGTCATTTGGAACAGGACCACTCATCATGGTCTTGTGGCCGTGATGGTCCCAGAAAATATGAGAGTTTTTAATCTATGTTAGATATCTAAGCCTATCAAAAATCAGTATGATTTCAGTGAAGAAATTGGGGGGTTCTTTGGAAAAAAAATTCATTGTCTCTGAGTTTGATATGAGTCCTGGCTTCTGGGATGTGTCCTGGGAGGATGGTGTGTGTGTGTGTGTGTGTGTGTGTGTGTGTGTGTGTGTGTTCCCACGCAAGTATATGTGGGATGTGGTAGGGGTGATGAGTGGTATGGGGCCTTTCGGAGGTTCTCCCATAACGGCCTTCTTTTCCAGCCCCCAAACTTGGCCTTGGACACAGGTATTAAGTGGTGGTGTTGAGAGGTTGGGAGATACCAAAAACTATAGATCATCACTTGCCTTGTCTCTGTCTCCCAAAGGGACCAACAGGAAGGAAAGCAGTAATGCTAGCAGAGGATGTGAGAATTCTAATTTGATTTTCTTGGAAGTCTGATTATGTGTGAGCAAAGATTTCTTTTGTGGGGGATCTCTTTCCTTTATTCTGCCTTTCTTTTAAGAAAGAATAAAGAATGAGAAAGCATGTTTTTTTTTAATTATCCTTTTTATTTTGAGATAATTCTAGAGCCTTATGTAGTTGTAAGAAATAATACTGAGAGCCCCGTTGTCCCCTTCACCCCGTTTCTCCTCATGGAAACATCTTGTCCTTTCAAGAATGTTATGTGGATAGAATCATACAGCATGTAAGCTTGGAACTGGCTTCTCTTTCACTCAGCAAAATTCTCTCAAAATTCATCCAAGTTGTGGCATATGAAAAGCCTATTCCTTCTGGTTGCTGAGGAGCATTCCAAGATACAGATGTTTGTTTAATCAGTCACTTAATAAATAGTATCTGGGTTTTTTTCCAGTCGTAGCTATTACAAATAAAGCTATTTTGAACATTTATGGACAGGTTTTCATTTGTCTGAGGTAGACACCCAAGAGCCAGTTGCTGGGTCTTACAGGAGTTGCATGTTTCATTTTGTGAGGAACTGCCAAGCTGGTTTTCAGAGTGGCCAGACCATTTTGCATTCCCACCCAGTTTCTCTGCATCATAATCAGCATTTATGTTGTCACATTTTTTTAAATCTTAGCCATTCTGATAAGGGTATAATGACATATTATTGTGGTTTCAGTTAGTATTTCTCTGATATCTAATGATGTTGACCATCTTTTCATTTGCCTCCATGTATATTCTCTTAGGTGAAATGTCTGTCTAGTTCTTTTGGCCATTTTTTTCATTGACTATTTTTGGCTGATTTCTCTGTTCAGTTTTCAGAGTTCTTTATACATTCTAGAGAGGAATTCTTTGTTGGATCCATGGTTTGTAAAGATTTCCTATCTGCCTGTAGACATGTCTTTTCATTCTTTCAACAGTCTTCCACAGAGCAGAGGTTTTACATTTTGATGGGTCTAATTTAACTTTTTTTTTTCTTTTGTGGATTGTGCTTTTTGGTGTCCACTGGAAAACTCTTTCTATCCCTAGAACTTGAATATTTTCCCCTAAAAATTTTAGTTTTACCTTTTACATTTAAGTCTGTGATCTGTTTTGAGTTAACTTTTACACACAGTGTGACATTTGGGTACACATTCGACTTTTGGCTTCAGGATGGCCGACTATCCCAGCACCATTTGTTGAAAAGATTCTCTTTTCTCCACTAGTACTTTTGCACCTTTGCAAAAAATCATTTGGGCACACTTGTGGGTCACCTAATCTTTTTAAACATCAAAATGCCCCCCCCCCTTTTTTTCTTCAGTCTTCAGTTCCACCTTGGCCAGAGCTCAACTTCATCACCTTTGAACTGTGGTTCCCTGGGAAGGTTGTCTGCTTCCCCTGGGCTTCAGTCTTCTCATCTGAAGAATGGGCTCATTGTAGCTTCAGCCTCATAGCTTGCTGTCAGAATGGAATGAGGTGCTGAGCACTGTGCCTGGCAGAGAGCAAACGTTCATAAATTTTAGTTCCTATTCTCATTATCATTAAAAGAAAAAGGAAAAACAGTATTTGGGCCATTCTGTGTGTGTGTGTGTGTGTGTGTGTGTGTCTGTCTGTCTTCATCTTTTTCTGCCAATAGGCTTCTGTGGGTGCTGGTGTCTTTTTGTTCGTTTTCTGAGTACCCATCTTGCTCACTTGGAAATTCTGTGATGTCAGGAACGTACTTCTTGAGCAATAGAATCAATAAATAACCAGTGAATCAAGCAAACATGAAATGTTACTGTAAGACTGAAGACCATTGGGATCCCTGGGTGGCGCAGCGGTTTGGCGCCTGACTTTGGCCCAGGGCGCGATCCTGGAGACCCGGGATCGAATTCCACGTCGGGCTCCCGGTGCATGGAGCCTGCTTCTCCCTCTGCCTGTGTCTCTGCCTCTCTCTCTCTCTGTGACTATCATAAATAAATAAATAAAAATTAAAAAAAAAAAGATTGAAGACCATTAAAAGTCCGGATCAACAAATTCCCTGGGGACGATCACCACATACCAATTAGTGCTTCAGAGATAAAGGACATACCTTGGATGTCAGAAAGAAAGATGTTGATGGTATTTGGTGATGTACCCAATTTCTAAACAGATGCTTTTGTGTGTGTGTGTGTTTTTTCCTAGAACCAGCTACAGGCAAAAATTATAAATAATACATATATGGACCCTGACAACCTCATGTTTACAGATATCATAATCTTGGGAATGGACAAGCAACCTACTGATTTTACTGTCTTACTTAGAAATTCTTCTACCCCCATTTCAAATGTTAACTACAATGTTTCATCAAAGGTAGGAGATTCTTCCATCCTTGCAGGGCCCTTGTCAAAAGCCCTGGCCTAAGATTCTGACAGCCAGCTCTCTCTTGCTCTTTTGACTTTGGGCAGTTACAGAGACAGCTGGCTTGCTGCAAAATCTACCATACTACAGGGCCGTTGCAGCAGGAGAAACACGCGTGCTAAACATGGACTCTGGAGCTTTGCTGGCATCAGAACGCTGAAGGGGACAGTGGGAGTTGGGACCCTGAGGGAAGGCAGTTCTCTGGGTAGATTTAAAACTAGACCTACTGATCCCAGATGTGATAGTGTAAATATGATTCAGTACATTGGCCTAGTTCAGGAGCGTATTTACATGTTTGTCCTCTCATTTAAGCTAAAGACTCTCTTTGTCTGAGACACAATTGACACACTACAGAAAAGGAGAGTTGAATAGAACTCGAGGAGTAATCCAGTTCTGCTCTCATCGAATGAGTCCCTTGCATGCTAATCTTTAACAAAAGGTTCCAATTGTTAGTTGAATATTTCAAGCACTGGGAAATTCACCATTTCTTAGGGCAGGTCCCTTTCATTTTTGAAGGTACAGAGAGCAAAAAATTAAGAGCCTGGTTGCCAATCTTAGCTCTGCCGTCACCTAGCTATGAGATCTTGGGCAAAGCATTAAATCTCTCTAAACCTCAGTTTTCTATTTTGTGAAATGAAATTTCCATATAATTTGCAGCATAGGATTACCTTCTAGGATCAATGGAGATAATGCATATGAAGTGATTATCACAGTGCTTGGCCCATATAAATGCTCAGTAAAGTTTAACTATTGTTATTACTGCCATCATTATTACAATGTGTGAGCACCACACCCAGAGGGCGATAAATCTGACAGGCAGCCCTACCTGTGATCTGTACTCCTTAACTTGATGGAAGCCCTTCCCATTCAATATTCCACAGTGACTTCATGAGGTGAGAAAGGTCAAGAATAAGCCAAGTTCATTTTCCCGACAGGGAGGTCAAAAGCCCCAAAGGATAAAAAATAATATTTCAAGTAACCCATGACAAAGTGGTATTGGATGAAGGGCTAGCTCACATTCCAGATCATCAGGGAAGGACATTATCCAGGTGGTTCAACCTCGTTCTGTTTGTCACGTGGCTTCCTTTCTTCTTCCTCAGGTGGTGAAGATCAGTGATCTCAAGGGACTGGTACTTGGTCAAGAATTCTCCATTGGATGGAACCTTCCAGTCAGTGACCTGGAGAAATTCAACTGCTACCCTGAGGACCCTGCTGTCTCTGAGGAGAATTGCAGGCAGCGGGGGTGCCTTTGGGAGGTAATGATCGGGCGCACATTACCACAGTGAACAGGAAGTATCCCATGAGTAATTAGACACCTAGAAACACTTCCCAGATGTTGATAGGTTGAAGAGTAATCATCCTTCAGGAAGAAAATGACGCTTATCAACTGATAAGTCATCAGTTTATTAAAAACTGATGAATTATTTTGCTAACTCCGTATGATAGGTGTCGGTGTTTTCCTCAGATATCCTGAATCAGAAGACACTTACTGCCACTCTGGCTCTCTCTTTCCTCCAACCACAGCATTTAAAAACCCATTTTTATTTTTAACACAGCAATAATACATTGGGTATGTGTTGTACATTGAGTATTTGAAGTCATTTTTTCTTTCACATATTAGACAGCCCTTGTGGAAGGTAAGCTAGAACTATATCTTTCATTTGAAAAATAGAATGAAAGTCAGAGAAAATAAGTAACTACCTCAAGGTCCAATGGGGGCAGTGAGGCCACTACACAGGGAGCAGAAGCCTGCCTGAAGATTCCAGTCTCCAGATCAGGCTTCCTGTTGACACTTCCCTGCCACCCAGTGGAGGAGGCCAATGAGCATGTGTTTTAAATGGATGAATTCACTTTGTTGGCACTGTCATAGCAAAGTACCACAAACTGGGTGACTTAGAACAACAGAAATTTATTATCTCAGTGTTCTGGGAGCTAGGAGTCTGAGATCAAGGCATCAGCAGAGTTGGTTTCTTCTAAGAAAAGGGAGAGAGAATCTGTCCCAGACTTTTCTCCCAGATTCTGGTGGTTCTCTGGCACCCTTTGGTCTTCCTTGGCTTATAAAAATATCACCCGATCTCCACCTTCATCCTCACATGGGGTTCTCATGGGGTGCAAGTCTATCTCTGTGCCCAAATTTCCCCTTTTAAATAAGGACACCGGTCATATTGGGTTAGGCTGATCCCAATGATCTCATTTAACCTGATCATCTGTTAAGACTCTATTTCCAAATAAGGTCACTTTCCAACTCAGATCTAAACGGATACCAGGGTGGGACTTCACATCTTTTGGGGAACTTAATTCAAGCCATGATAACGGGCATGGTGTAAAAGACTTAGTCTGTGTGAACCAACTTCTTTAGGAATCAGACCCTTGAAGTGCAGTGTTAGAGGCTGATGGAGAGTTTCTCCTCTTGTTCCAGTCCACAACTCTTCCTGGCGTGCCCACCTGTTACTACGATACCATCCCCAGCTACGCCGCCAGTAACATTCAGTACCTGCCTACGGGCATCACCACAGAGCTTGCCTACCTGGGGGCCCCCAACTCAGCCCGAGCAGCCTCAGCATCTGGTTCTCTCTCTGCAACAGTCAGCTTCCTCCAGTTGAGCGTGATCTACCACACAGAAAACATGCTGCAGTTCAAGGTAATTGCCAAGGTGGTGAAGGTTCTGATCTTCAACATGGAATTCTTACAGCTCCAGGTGGATGAAAGTCATTGAATCACCATTGTGTCCAATCCCTCATTTTATAGATAAAGGCAACACGGCCCAGAGAGGTCAAGATCAGAGACTTAGGAGCATGGTAGAGCCGGGATGTGACCTTGGACCCACCAGGGTTGTGGATGGCCTGCACTGTCAAGTTGCTCAGTCAGCAGTGTCCTCAAAGAACCCCTTCTTAGCCCTGTGAAAAATGTGTCTGCTACATGGAAAACTCACACAAGTGGCATTAATTCACTTCTGATGTTAGAGTTATTTCTCTAGCAGTGGTTCTTAAACTTCAGAGAGTATCAGAATCACCCACAGGTCTTGGTAAAGCTCAGATTGCTGGGTCTCAGCCCCGGAGTTTCCAGCCTGAGAGTCCACAATCCTAACATGCTTCCATGTGACGCTGACACTATGGGTCAAGGGGCCATACTTTGAGACCCACAACTCTGCTCGGAGGGAAGTACAATGTGAACCACATATATTTTCTAATAGCCACACTCCTAAGAATGTATTTGAAAAAAAATCAAGTGCAATTCACGTTAATAGCATTTTATTTAACCGAGATGCTGATTACCTCACCATGTAATCCAAACACAATTTTTGAGATATTTTAGAATCTTTTATTCATACAAACTGTTTAAATGTTGGTGTGTAGTTTGCACTTATAGTGAGTCTCAATTCAGATTAGCACCTTTCAAGTCTTTAATGGCCACAAGTGGCTGGTGGGTCCGATGCTGGGTGAATTACAGACAGAGACTACGACTACGCCAGGTGGAGCTGCCTCACCAGGTCATCTTTATGTGTCCAAATAAGGAGATCTCAGGGAATGATTTCCAAAGCCAGTCACTCCCCAATGGGGACAAGCAGGCTTCTCTTGTTAGGGCTTGGGATGACTAGCAGAAGGGGGTTTTAACATCATAATGAAGCTGAGGTAACTGTGCCACACTTTCAGATTCATCTACGCAGGCATCTCCTCAAATGTTTCTTTTCCTGTTCTAGAAATTCCTTAGTTAAGTTTCTAAAAGATGAAACTGACAGGCAGAAGCTTCTAGGAGTCTCCTGAGTTCAGGGCATCAATCTTGAGTTCAGGAGGTTACAGGGCCTCACCAGTGACAATACCACCTTAGACAACTCAGCTCTAAACATTGCTTTTCACACTGTAATGTTGGAGGAATCACCCAGGCTCTTGTGAAAATGAAGATTCAGATTCAGGAGGTTGAGGGGTGGGGGAGCCTGAGATTCTGCATTCCTCACAAGCCTCCAGGTCATACTGCTGCTTTTGGTCTGAGAAACACAATTTTGAGAAGCAAGGCTATGGACAAAACTTGTCTTAAGCATCTGGAGGCTCAGCCAGTAAGATCTGAGTCCATATAAAAACTCAGTTCTCTAATTTCTGATATATACATACATGCTCAAACATAACCTTACACATTTACTTGCATGTACATATTCATAAACATACACATAAACATACATGCAGATATTCTATCCATGAAATTCTTTACACATAATTCATAAATTATTTAGAGGAAGTGCCCTCCCTGCCTTTGAATAGGTATTTCTGAGGCATTTTGGAGTTCAGGATCCATATTGGGCACTGTAGGTGGCAGGGGCTTCATATCTATATGTTATGGGATATTTGATGCCTCCCAATATGATTCAAACTGGCCAGAAAACATGGGAACTGAATTATTTGAGCTGGCAGGAGGCATTTTGGATCTAATATTATTCCATCAGAAAGTCTCCTTCTCTCTCTTTGTTAGATCTTTGATCCCACAAACAAAAGGTATGAGGTCCCAGTGCCTCTGAACACCCCTCCTTCTCCATCTGGCTCTCCTGAAAACCGTCTGTATGATGTCAGGATTCAGAACAATCCTTTTGGGATCCAGATTCTACGAAAAAACTCCAGCACTGTAATGTAAGTATTATTTACTTAGTTCTCATTAAAGTGGTTCTAGATCTAATTATGGTGATTCTAATTAATGTACATGAAATATTAATCTTAGAGACAATATAAGTGTGTGTGTGTGTGTGTGTGTGTGTGTTTAACGGAGCAGATCTATTGCTCCATTTTCTACTAGTCACTAACTCAACAAGAAAAATTAATCAGAGGCTTAAAATAAGTGTTGCTTGATTTCAGAAAAAGAAAAATGCATGTTCTACTCATTGCTCTTGTTAAGTAGAGCAGAAAACTCTTTTTAATAAGTGTGATAGATAATTCACAGGATAGAAATCAGCTCTATATACTCTCATTACAAAATAACAGAAGACTCAGAGAGAGGGAAAACTTTACTAAGGAAAGAGAAACAGCTTCTTACAATCGTTGCTTCTATCAGTGCTGTAGACTTAAAGCCTTTTCACAATGTTAAATGTGAAAAGAGTTGTCATTTCTCATCCCTTGTCCTGCTGCCAAATGGAATGAAGTGAAGGTCTGGATTTTTCTTGGGGCTGCAGTTCCCCATACATGTAAAAACCATCACCTGTACATGCACATATGGACAGCTTTTGGCTCTCTTTGACTGTGTGTTTATGACTTTGGTCAGTTGCCTTCTTTGCTAAGAATTCCTTTGGCCCATCCAGAAAAGCCATTCTGAGAACTTCGCACTTTTCTGTTGGGAAATTTGCTTAGACCTTGTTCATTTATTCATGCACATATTCAAACTAATACTCCAGGCAATGATAACTAAAGAGATGAGTGAGACATAGTCCTTGCCTACAAGGAGCCCATGACCCAGAAAATGAGATCTCAGCCTTGCAGACCACAGAACAAAAATGCAAAGACAAAACGTTGGCAGTGAGTCATGGCCATTGGTACAAGCTGTGTCCTCTCACAGTATTTGAACCTGGATCCAGTGGTGCATTCCTTTAGGAGGCTTCAGAATCAAATAGAATTCCCCTGTGTGCCCTGTGCTTGCTCTGGCCTATGATCAGTGTAGTGCGGAGATATGTTTGTGTTGCAGTTGGGATTCTCAGCTCCCTGGCTTCACCTTCAACGACATGTTCCTCTCCATTTCTACTCGCCTCCCCTCTCAGTACATATATGGCTTTGGGGAGACGGAGCACACAGCTTTCAGAAGAGATATGAACTGGACCATGTGGGGAATGTTTGCTCGTGATGAGCCACCAGCGGTAAGCACAGAAAAATAAGATTCTCAATCATTTTCTCCCTGTGTAAATTTATCTTAATCTGTATGTACATATATAGCACCCAATTAATCAGCTTCACCTTATATTGATAAATTCTGTTCTCAGATGAAATAAGCCACAGGTTATATTCTTCTGTTCCTAGAAGACAGACATATTTTTCCCCCGTGGACTATTTTACTTTAAAACTTTTATTTAGTATATTCTATGTGTCAGGTACATGTCTTAATTAATAAAATGCTGTCTGTTCTCCAGACGCTTATGGGCTAATAAGAGAGAGAGATGCAGAAGTAATGATAATCCAGAATAATCAGGAATATATTAGAAGTATGTAATAATAAATGAGGAGGGCTTGGAGGGGGATGTCACCGAATTTTTTTACTTGGGTAGAAGGGAAGATTAAGGAAGGTTTTATAAAGGATGTGACATTGTGCTGAATCTTTAATATTGAGTAGAAACTTGCTGTTTGGGCTATGACATAGAAACAACTTTTTGGATTTTGTGTGTGTGTGTTTACTGCCTTCTTTCCCCTATGACTCTCCCAGTACAAGAAGAATTCCTATGGTGTCCACCCGTACTACATGGCACTGGAGGAAGATGGCAGTGCCCATGGAGTGCTCCTGCTAAACAGCAATGCCATGGGTAAGACAGAGGCATGATCCTTGGGTATCACCATAACTAGTTGTGACCATTTTCCTGGGGTCTGGGATATCAATAGAAGTAGAGAAATTCAAGGGCAAGGGAAATGGGACAGATAAACTGACTTTCCATTCATTTCTTCATTCATTCCTTCTAGATTTATGAGGAGCTATAGGCCAGGTATTATGCGTAAAAATTTGACCAAATTGCATGACCTTATTTTACTGTAACAGTTTAACTTCCTTTCACAGCAGATGTGAGATGTTGAGATTAAGATTATGTTTCTTATACCTGCAAACCCATCTATTCCACCACATGAGAGAAGACTTTCCAGAGGAGGAGGGTATTAGGGAAAGAGAGAGAGAGAGTAGAGTACATTTTAGGGCAAATTTCTTATCTGGGTGATATACACTCCAAGGACTCCTTGTTTTCTCTCTTTCTTTCTTTCTTTCTTTCTTTCTTTCTTTCTTTCTTTTCTTTTCTTTTCTTTTCTTTTCTTTTCTTTTCTTTTCTTTTTGTTTTTTTTTTTTAACAGATGTGTCATTCCAGCCCACTCCTGCCCTGACATACCGCACCACAGGAGGAATTTTGGACTTTTATATTGTTTTGGGGCCAACCCCTGAGCTTGTAACTCAACAATACACTGAGGTTGGAATTCATTTTATGCATTGATAAACCATCAAATGTTTATTGGGTATTACCATGTTCTTAGCACTGAGATAGGTTAATTTTTTGTTTTTATCACCCTTGGGTATTCCTACTACATTATTGCTGTCTTTCCTGGAGTTAGGTTTTAGTCTTACTGGTATAAAGGCATAAAGATACCCCACATGTCTCTTAATTATGTGCTAAGTAACCTAAGAATCTCTAATCGGTAATAACTCCTGAGTTCTCAACATCCCCAGAGTGGAGCTCCACAACACGGGAGACTTTCTATCATTCTGTCATTCTGCATGCTGATGGTTTTTCCATATTTATTTGACTTCCTTATTTTTCTTGGAAGAGGCCTCTTAGACTGGAGAGGGCTCAGTAGAAGTGCTCAAGTTGCTTCAAGTATAAGCCTTTTCTTCCCTTCCCCAAAAAGTCTTCCTGGATTCATTTCTCTCTCTCTTTTTTTTTTCTAGTTGATTGGTCGGCCAGCAATGACTCCATACTGGGCCTTGGGATTCCAACTAAGTCGCTATGGATACCAGAATGACATTGAGATCTCCCAATTGTATGACGCAATGATGGCGGCCCAGATTCCCTATGTATGAATCCCCCACTCAGTCTGTGGTTTAATTAGTTATGGGAATTTGCACCTAATTACAGATTGAAAATGTCTTTGGGGAAATTATTGATGACTACTTCAGTATAGGAAAATATAGTTGTGGAGCTAGTCTTGTGTGGAATACATTGCTTTTTGAATTTCACGCGTCCCTTTTATATCAAGGGTTCAAAATTGAAAGTTGCGTTAATTCTTCAGTGATTAACAGTGTGATTGAAGGATATTGTTACTCACTGCCTTTTGCCAGGAATATCCCGCTCTAGGCACAACTGGTCTTAAGCCATGACGCTAAGTGAGAATCACATCAAGAGGATGACAATTCTAGATTATACTGTGATTGTCCTTAGAAAGGATTAATAAAAAATGACAATATGAAAGAAAGCAGTAAAAGTCAAGTGTTTACCCTCTCTAAAGCACACAAATGCATATCATACAATGGCAATGTAGTCCCCTTCATAAGCCCCAAGAAGTGCAGTCCACTGCTGTCAGCAAGCAGAATTCCAAGATAGCATACCCTTCCTTCTCCATAATCATCAGTTTCTCATCACTCATGCTCTTTCTCTGCTTTCAGTCCACCTTCTGAGAGTTTAGAGGACAAATACTGACTGGATGAAAATAAAGTGTAATGATATTCTCATCAAAGATAATTTGAAGCATTCATCCAGGCTTCAAGTATTTTATTTTTATATACTACTCTACCATATACTTATTAAATGCAAATTAGAAAAGATAGGAAAATTAAAAGATGAAAAAATCCAGAGATCTACCTCACCAGAGTGATCAGTGTTAATAACATGACAGTTTGTTCTTTTCCATGCTTTGACTTTTGTACAAGTCTCTGCTCCCCAAACAAGTTTTACCTAGAGTCTTAAGGCAATACAAGTGATTATCCTCTTCAGGCTAAAAAGCAGCATCTCTTTTTTTAAACTGGATATTGACCATGCTAGCCATCAGTCACCAATCTTGGATTGAGTGACTTTCGCATGCAGAAGCCTAGGTTGGTACTGTTTAGAGAAAAAGGAAGACAATATTCTAATCTCAAAGACCATCCAGCCGAACGGAATGGCAGAAATATACACAGTCTAGAAAGCTATACAATAATATACTTCTAAATGTGAATAAATCCAATAAGGTTTACTAGGGGTGGGGGGAGTAGATATATAGTCTTTTCTGATTCTCAGAGAAGTTGTGCTTTCTACCCTTGAACATTCAACTGGCACTTTGATAGGCTCACCAAGTTTGAAGAGTGGAAAAGACATGAATTAAGGGAGGGAAAGGAAAGAGAATTCCAGTTAGAGAAACAGAAAGAAAAGGATGGGGACAGGTGATCTGTATGTAGGAATCAGAAAATAATTTCAATCAGCAGAATTGAAAAGTCAGTGATTGGAGGTGGGGGGTGGGGGTGGTATGGGACAAATTAGGAGGGGCCTGGGCTAGAGTTAGCAGAGCTGTTTGTGTGCCCTGACGGGTACTGCTATAGGATCCCCAGCATCTTGCTGCTCCTTCCTGTAGGATGTCCAGCATGTAGACATCGATTACATGGACCGGAAGCTGGACTTCACTCTCAGCCCCAACTTCCAAAACCTCAGTCTCCTGATGGACGAAATGAAGAAAGATGGCATGAGATTCGTTCTCATTCTGGTAAGTATTTAGAAGATTAGAGCCCATTTTCCTGTTTCTGTGTTCATGGCTTTAAAATAGTACCATTGAAGGAAACTAAATTAAGGGTACATGAGATTTCTCTGTACATTTTTTTCAACTTCCTGTGACACTATAATTGCTTTTTTTTAAGTTTTTAAAAGCAAATAAACAAAGGAGGACAGAGCAAATGAAAATTGGCTTTCAAAAGGTTATGTTTTGCAATATTGATTTTTTTACAACTGTCACTGGGATGTAATTTATTATTAGGATTCCCTTGGTTAGGGTTAGAACTGTGGACTGAAACACTGACTATAGCAACAACATCCAAAAAGCCTGACTGTTTCAGGCTGTGCCTGGGAACAGCTATATCCTAGTCTAATCTTTACCTTAAGGCATTCAAGACCCACTCCAGTTGTATCATTACCCAGCAATGGTGAGGCTCAGGGGACTTATTTCTTCCTAATTAAACTCACAAACAACTGACCTAAGATCCAGAACCCTAATTCGTTACTTTGCATTGGAAGCTATACTTTGATAAACACTGAAGTAGTTACCTGCAAATGGTCTTCCCTTCTAGCTTCCAAAAAATGAAACATTATTTGCTGACTTTTATTCATTCATTCGTTCAAGTATTAATTAAATAGTGGGGCTTTGAAAATCACTGTTCTAAAAATTGTGTGTGTGTGTGTGTGTGTAATCTAAATTAACGAATAAGACATTGTCCTTTTTCTTACAAGGATTTTATTCTATCAAACGGAGACAGCCATTAAATAAACATTAAAAAAGATCATTTCAGGGATCCCTGGGTGGCGCAGCGGTTTAGCGCCTGCCTTTGGCCCAGGGCGCGATCCTGGAGACCCGGGATCGAATCCCACATCGGGCTCCCGGTGCATGGAGCCTGCTTCTCCCTCTGCCTATGTCTCTGCCTCTCTCTCTCTCTCTCTCTCTCTCTCTGACTATCATAAATAAATAAAAATAAAAAAAATAAAAAAAGATCATTTCAGATAGTGGCGGTTTATACTTCAGATAGTGACAATTATGAAATAGGATACTATATAGAGTAACTGAGGCATGTATGGAATGGGGTGAACAGGGAAGCCACTTTGGATACATAAGTTGGGCCACAGAAGAAAGAAGCTTCATGTTCTTCAGGAGTGTTGATGTCACACTGTGGAAGCACAATAAAATCGGCTTTCTTCATGGGAGGGAAATGTCTTATCAACTTGGTTATCTCCAGGAATGTTTTCAAAAAGTGTACTTAATGCCTCGAGAACTTTATAGATGTGAGGCAAATTATCTATGGGTTTTTTTTTTTTTTTTGTCTTGGAGATATTCTTCTCATGTTCTCTGTTTTAAACCCTTGCTTTGCAGGACCCAGCCATTTCTGGCAATGAGACCCAGTATCTCCCATTCACCAGAGGGCAGGAAAACAATGTATTCATCAAATGGCCTGGCAAGAATGACATTGTCTGGGGAAAGGTAAGCCTTGGGAGAAGGTGTCCATCATTAATCAGCAACTGAATGTCTTGATTAAAAAAGGTGTCTATAAATCTTGGCAAAATATATTGGGTAATTAATAAATTATGAATGAGTAGAAATTTGCCTGATGCTGATTAATAAGACCAAGGTTACAGGTCTAATTCTCTAAAATATCAGTAAGCTTTGTTTTATTGTCTGGAAATATTCTGGTGCTCTACCCCTTATGCATGTCAGCTGGTCATGTAACAACCTAAAGAATTCCTTTAAGAATAGCTCTGAAGTCTGTGTCTGCCAGGCACCCCCACTCAAAGCTTGCATTCATCTGTTACCTATGATGCTTGCATCCTTCATTCCTAAATAAACCATGAAGTCCTGTAGATTCTCCTCCTTTTGTCTCCTTTAGTTCCTTTTTGTGACCTCGGTTCTTCATCTGTTTGATTTATAGCAATAGGATTGTGGGCGAACTTCCTGACCCCAGATGATAGAAGCTCCTAGTCAGCATTCAGACTCTGCTCCATTACTGTATCATGCTACTTCCTGTTGTTCTAGATACATGCCATGCTTACCATGCCTTTGAATGTTGCCTTCTCAGCTTAGGCAGATAATATCTGCCCTTCAAGACCAACTCAAATATATACTCCTATGAAGCATTCAATGACCAGTTTAGCTCTCCTGTTTCTTCCTTTTTCTATATTAGTATCCTCAAGAGGATAGCATGTCACTTAGCATGCACATTTTATCTGTGAACTCCTTGAAAACAAGGACTATCAGGGCACCTGGGTGAATCAGTGGCTTGAGAGTCTAACTCTTTGTTTTGGTTCAGGTCATAATCTTGGGGTTCTGGGATAGAGCCTTGTGTCAGACTCTAGGCTCAGTGAAGTCTGCTTGAAGATTCTCTCCCTCTGCCTCTACCCCTGCTCATTCTCTCTCTAAAATAAATAAATACATCCTTTTTAGAAAAAAAGAAAACAAGGACCATCTTACTTAAATCTCAGTAAATACAGATTATAGTACAGTGCCTATCATATATAGTAAGTGCTCTGTAAATGTTTGCTGATGAATGAATGAATGTATATAGTTAATGTCCTTCTAGTTATAGATGAGATTGGTTGAAACTCTGGATTTTTTAATGCTATGTATATTTGGGGTCCCCAATAAGTGATAATGCTGCTTAAGCATATTGAACCGAAGTTTATGGGTTGTGAGTGAATTCAATCTTAGTTCTTTAGAGTCATGCTTTAAATTTGTAATTTATGAAGAGAATTTTGTATATGTCTATGACAGACACAGAGCAATCATTTGAAAGGTGATTGTTTAGAGGATATATTTAAAAAAGATTTAGTTCATTTCATTTTTGAACTTAATCATTTTGAAAATTTATGAAGTGAGTCAAGGGACCCCAACCTATTTTCCCCTAAGAGAATTTCACATATTCAGATTTTGTAATTTAATTAATGGCAAAGATCTTCAAGAATTTTATGGAGATGCAAGTCAATAGAGTCTAACATGTGAATCATCTCATGATCCATATGCAATGCCTTTTAGAGGCCTTAATTTTTCTTCTTTTGCTCTAGGTTTGGCCAGATCTACCCAATGTGAATGTGGATACATCCCTTGACCATGAAACTCAGGTTAAGGTATAGTTACATGCAGATTTTTGTCCACATTGCCCTAAACATCTGGATACTTATAAGTTTTATCCCAGAACTTGGTTAAGCAGCTCTCTGAGCATGCTTATCAACTGGTAATTTCTTGGTAGAAAGAGATCCTCAAACAGAAAACACAATAAGCAACTAAACTGGATATGTGTAGAAGGAAATCAAGTGAAATGTCTCCACATGCGTGCCTTTAATAGGTTATATTTTGTTTAAATCCAATGTTGCTTGAAAAATAATGAAGTCCAAAATATTTTCACTGGAGAGGTTATGAATAGCCTTTTTAATGAATTGTCTCCATATAAAAAAAAATATGCCAGCCAGTTAAAAGGAGTAATATTTTTGACCTCAGCCCTTGATGTCACATCATTCTGGGCATGTAGCATCCCCTTCACCCTGCAGCTCACTTTTCTCTGGATGACTGGTCTCCTTTATTTGGCCAGTGTAGAAAAAACACTTGTATATCTCAAGTTCGATTATTTAGACACAGACAGTTAATTTTCCAGTTCATATGATTAAAGACCCAGTAATAAAATGAATCTCATGTTTAAAGGAGATTTAAGACTATATAACCTCCTTCTAGGAGAATAAAGAAGGCAATCAGCCTTCTCTGATCTCTTTGTGTTCCCAGTAAACTCTGTAGAAGCAATAGCAGAGCTGAGGCTAGTTTCAGACCCTTGCACAAAGACCTGTTCATCGCCCCTTCCTGGTCCCCAGACTCCCCTTCCTGGATAAGCAAAGACCCAGTGTGAGGGGATGTGTTACTCTTACAGCTTTACAGAGCCCACGTTGCTTTTCCTGACTTCTTACGTAATAGCACAGTTGCATGGTGGAAGACGGAAATAAAAGAGCTCTATGTAAACCCTCGAGACTCAACAAAGAGCTTGAAGTTTGATGGACTGTGGATTGTAAGTGTGCCCTTGTTTTTTCTTTGGAAATGTTGGCAGTCAAACCATGGAGAGGCAATTCAGAGACTAGCAAAAGAGGGAACTAAGGCTGAAGGAGTAAGAGAGAAGGGATACTCTTGTACAATTGAGGTGCTGGACCCCCAGAGGCAGAGATGATTGTGGGTCTGCCCAGGAACATGCTTGTGGCTGGAGCCAGTGGAAGAGATGTGCCACTGCTGGAGATGCTGCCAGAGAAAGAGGGAGAGGGACAAATACCCCAGCTTCTCTTATCTCCCACCCTCCAGTCGCTGGCCAGTGCCTCCCATTGGTCAAACTACCCAGAAGCTAACACTACAGGAGCTTGACAGTCCTGTATCTTATGATACAGGTAGAGCTAGTGGGGGCAAGGCATGAATTCACGAGACAATAGATATTTACCATAGTGAGGGTACAGACTCATCTTCAAAGGCCTGTTCAGATATTTGTCACACCTGTCAATTGGGCTTAAGAGTAGGGCTTCTTGAGATGTCTGTGGGATATGTGTGTCCAAAGGTTGTTCTATTTGTGTCCTCCTAGGGATGGGAGGCATATCAGTGTTCTAACTTTCTTCCTCACTGTCCAGTGGCCTGAAATCCTGAGCATATTCTAGGCTAGCTTTCAAGAGCTTCATAGGTCTGGACTAGGCTGAAAGAAGCTCATAATTCACCCAGAGACAAACCTATAAGCCCACTATCAGCCCTGGGGCTTCTCTGGCCACTATTCTTGGGGTAGGTAGATAGGCCCAAAGCAGACATATGAAATATTAGCCTGAACAGGCAAAGCAGGTAGTGAAGAGGTATGGGTAGCTCTGAGGAATAGGGAGATGATCACTCTGGGATATTTGTTCTGCTGGAAAGAAGATGCAACTGAAAAACTCAAAATAGTAAACAGTTCCCCAAATACTTGCCTTTGCCCTTAGTATGTCTGGTTTAAGGTAGTCCGATTTACAAAATCTTAACTTTTCTGCAAATAAAGTAGGCAGTGAACATTCACCTCAGGAACGGCTACTTCTTGCCTTTAAGTAATAAGCCCCCGAGAATGATTTGATCTCCATATTTGTTTCTGAGTTACCTACAACTCTTCAGGACTGCATCTACCACAGAAAGCGAGACACTCCTCCTGTGTTTGGTCTCTGCTGATGTCAGAATTAGACTGAGAAAGAGTAAAGGAAGGTAATGGCAACCATTGGCCACGATAAAAAAAAGTGTATAATTCACACACAAGAAAACAAAGATGGCCTTCTTGTGTTGGGAGATGTCTCAAGAAATCTCCTAAGGTCATGGATCCAGCATAATCTCCATATCTGTGCTACTATGAAATGATCCTCCCAAGTTTAAAAATGCCAGGTAAACTGGGAGTTTAACACTCTACTTAGATGAACATAGATTCTTAGATTCCATTTGGGTCAATGCCTCAGAGTAAACAAAGTCAATGAAATGACTAGCTGAGGGCTTACCTAGGGTGTGTTCATCTCTGTGAGGTCAGTGTCCTCCAGAGAAAAGGCCCCACTGCCTCTGACATCACAGAATGTTTGTTGACTCTTTGCAGGATATGAATGAGCCCTCAAACTTTGTGAATGGATCTGTCAAAGGCTGCAGTGATGAAATTCTTAATAATCCACCCTATATGCCATGTATGTAAATGATTCCTTCCTCAAATTACATCCCTACTCAAAAACTCTGAAAGTTTGCCTCTTCCTGTCAAAGTGAACCTTAATTTTGGAAAAAGAAAGTACTTGTACACATGACACAAAATCCCAAATAGAACATAGATTACCCTGAACAAGAGTAAATTACTAATCAGGCAGAGAAATAATGACATGATGTATTATGAAAGAAACCACACAATGCAGAATGTCTGGGTGCCTCGGTGGCTGCGCATTGCCTTCTGCTCAGGTCCTGATCCCAGGATCCTGGGATCAAGTCCCGCATTAGACTGCCCACAGAGAGCCTGCTTCTACCTCTATGTCTTATGTCTTATGTCTCTGCCTCTTTCTCTGTGTCTCTCATGAATAAATCAATATAATCTTTAAACACACACACACACACAAATCCACCAAAAACAGAAAATGGAGACCTTAATACTGTTGGTTGAAACGAGATCCATTCCCTTGAGAATGGTACCATCTAGTGGAAGAAACAGTCTTAATAACAAAGGAATTTATTGTGCTGTTAAGTGGGCTCTGATTGCATTCTACAAATATCAGAAGAAAATGAAGCGGGCCTTCCCCAGCTCCTCACTGTGTCCTGACCCTTCATTAGTTATAAAGTCACAGGATGTTGATTCTCTAGACAAAAGAGTTCTTGAAATCCCAACTGTCACTGGTAACAAAGTTGTTGATTGAAATGGAGAAAAAGCAAGGCAATGAGCATTTCTGGTGAATGCACAAAGCAGGTTATTTTGGGAAGTTAACTCAGCATTTCCACTCAGATTTGGAGTCCAGGGACAAGGGCCTGAGCATCAAGACCTTGTGCATGGAGAGTGAGCAGATCCTGCCAGATGGCTCACGGGTGCGGCACTATGACGTTCACAGCCTGTACGGATGGGCCCAGACCAGACCCACCTACGAGTGAGTGTGTTCCTAGAGTGGCTGGCTCAGTCCTAAGAGCCTGCAAGTCTTGATCGCGGAGTCATGAGTTCAAGTCCCACACTGGGTGTTGAGATTACTTAAACAAATAAATAAAAAACTTAAAAAAAAAAAAAAAAAAAAAAAAGGAAGAAGCCTGCCTAAAGTGTAGTCAAGCTGAAGGGAAAGTTAAGGCCTCCCTGGTCCCCTGGATGCCTTGCTTCTATGTCTTTTACCCTTTGCCAAGGGGTAAGTATGAAAAGCCATGCCTTCAACTTGAGGCAATTTGTAGGACAGCACTACCTTTCACTTCCCGCTGACTCAGGATCTCGGGTCCAGCCAGTGAGTCACTGGAATTTTCTCCTTTCGTGGCTCTTTCCCAGGCATGCCCAGAGCCTTGTGCATATGCTGTCCTGTCAATCCCCAGGAATATGTAGGTGCTTTATAAAGTGCTCCGTGGTTCTACTTCTCCAGGATGTACTCTAAGACCAGCCAAGCTTTGTTTGTCCCAACTGAACCCCAACCTGAATACCTGTGATGGTGCCAGAAGATTGTTATTGTTTTGGTAATTCCCTAGCTTGAGAATTATTTTTTTCCCCCTGCTGAGTTGCGCTGTGAGTCCAATCAAATGGCCACAACACCGTGGGAATAGAGATTTCTCCAGGGGTCTGGAAGCTAAAAGCAAAGTATTAATTATGCTCTGGGGCTGGTGCTTTTAACAGAGCCTCCAAAGAGGTCAGACCTCTGAGGCTGCTGCCGGGGCTGCTGGCTTTTGGAGCCACTGCACTAGGGATGGGGTCAGCTGGGAACAGCCCCAAGTTCAAATCCCACAGGCCTCACTGTCTTGCCAAGATTTAGTAGTTTCCCTTGGATAGAGAATTTTCATTTCTTTCTAGAGCTGGTTAATTTCTAGAGTTCTGCAATGGCCAGTGACCGAGCTCTTTGCATCACTCACATCCACCCTTCCTGTCTATCCCTGCCTTATTTCAGGCCTTCATTATCTCTCATTCAGATTTGTGTGTAGGAGTGAGTGTGTGTGTGTGTGTGTGTGTGTGTGTGTGTGTGTCCATCCACGTGGGGATTTATGTTGGTGTGAAATATTGGAACTGACCTAATGGATTAATCTCCACCAGAGTAGCTAGCCCCATTTCCTGACATCCTTTATTGAATAATTCATCTGTGTCTATTGATTTATAATGCTTCCTTCAGCAAATGTGTGGATTGAATTACGTACTCAGATCTGTTAATAGACTTTCTCTTTTGTTCCATTGATTTTTCTCTCAGACAATTGTTTTTATTTTCTTACTGAGGCTGCAGGCAAAAGATCCACCATCCATATGGACATATCTGAACATCTTTTGTGTGTATTTGTCCTCGTGTGCCAAATTTATCCCACTTTGTGAGGAGTAGCCACAAATACAGAGAGAGAATATTGCCGAAGAGCTATAGACATACATACTCTCATTTGGATCCCAGATCTGTCTCCTTACTCTTTAAATGTCCTCTGACACATTGTCTAACTTCTCTGAGCCTCAGTTTTGTAACAGTAAAAGGAGGCCAAGGAAACCTTCCTCATGATATGTCTATAAACCTTCCATGATATGTCTATCATGGTTTTTAGACCATGTACATGGGAGTGACCAGGATGTTACCTGGGTTAAAGTAAACACCTGTCACATACCTCCCTCGGCTCCTTCTTCCCACCTCTATGTAGACAACTAGTCAATTTAATTTTTTTAAAGAAAGGAAATCCACATTTAAGTGATGATAGATCTCCAGTAGTCCTGCCATGACACTTAGCATCACTTTTAAACACCAGATGCTTCTGGGGAAGATGCTTTCTGGCTCAGAATGGAGTGCCATTGCCGCCTCACACTCCAGACTGGGGCTGCTCTCTGTAATGTAGTTCCATAGCTGTCCACCCTCAAATTCACCCTCAATTCACCTCCTTGTTCCCCTCCGATCAGAGCTGTGCAGGAGGTGACGGGACAGCGAGGGGTCGTCATCACCCGCTCCACATTCCCCTCTTCTGGCCGCTGGGGAGGCCACTGGCTGGGTGACAACACGGCCGCGTGGGACCAGCTGAAGAAGTCTATCATTGGTGTGTGGGCCTACTCCCAGGGGCCTCTGCTGGCTGGGAGGGGACTGGGTTGTGTGCTGGCAGCCGCATTGCTTATGTCCAGGTACCATCCACATGGGCAGCAGAAGCAGCAGCAGCTGACTTCTCTGTGGGTGTGAATTTTAGTTTATAGTCTATACCCATCTTTCGATATTTTCATCATAGGTGGCCCAGGGCTTCCAAATAGGGTATGGAAGAGAAAGGGCAAACCTACCCTCTGAAAGGGCTGCTTCGTCCAACACAGCTGTGTCTTCTCATTGCAGGCATGATGGAGTTCAGTCTCTTTGGAATACCGTATGTAAGTTATACTGGGGCCGTCGTTAACCAGTCAGACCCCAGAGTGCCCGAAACCTACAAAATGTCCCACCTCATGCTCTGATTTTGCATCTTCTCAGACAGGAGCAGATATTTGTGGCTTCTTTGGAAATGCCGAATACGAGATGTGTATTCGCTGGATGCAACTGGGGGCCTTTTATCCATTTTCCAGAAACCACAACACCATGGGGACAAGGGTGAGGCAGCAGCTTGGTGCCACCATGTTTTGTGCCCTTGAATCACAAATTCATTTTTACCCTCAAAAGTATCATACTTCTGAGTAGGATGAGGAAAAAAAATCATAAAAATCAGAACCGCCACTTCTTTATAAAACCCACAGAGTTCAAAACCCCAGAATTATAAGCAATTCTCAAGAATAGACCTTTGTTCATGTCTTGGGGGATGTATGCCTATGAGGACAGAGGGGTTTAGAGCTCCCTATGGGGCTAAAACAAGAGCAGCTCCTTTTCTTTGGAGAATTTTTATTTTATTCAAATCCATCCACGCTCTGTCAATGCTGCATAGAGACCCGTCTCTCCAGGGCTGTACAGGGGACTTAGGAGTCAGTGATAAACAGTGAGAAGCAAGTAGCATGGATTAGCAGGATAGCAAGGGGAAGAGAATGGGTGGGGTAGAAATGAAGGGTGAGATCCCAGTAACTGGTATGTGGGACATGTACGTGCCTGCTGACCCTTTTCTGATACCATTAGGATGATGTAAAGAAATATCTGCCACATGTTCTTTTACCTTTTTAGAGACAAGATCCTGTGGCCTGGAATTCAACCTTCGAGATGTTCTCAAGAAAAGTCCTCGAGACCAGATACACCCTGCTGCCTTACCTCTACACTCTGATGCATAAAGCTCACGTGGAGGGCAGCACCGTTGTGCGGCCCCTGCTCCATGAGTGAGTACAGCCTGTCTCCCCAAGCAGAGGTTCTGGCTGGGTCTTGGGGATAGTCCTCTGCCACAGTCCTCACAGGCTGCTGGGTATTCTCGTATTTTTTCTTTTGAAGGTTTACAAATGACCGTAAAACATGGGTCATCGACTGCCAGTTCATGTTGGGCCCTGCCATCTTAATCAGCCCTGTGCTGGAAAATGTGAGTTTTCCATCAGAGATCAGAAACCCTCAGTTACACAATCTAACGTACAAGAAGGAAAAAAAATTAGATAAAAAGTAAATAAAAATAAAGTACAAGAAGGGCGTTTTAAAGGTCATCTTGTCCCACTACTAGCTATTTTCTAGTAAACATCTTTCTAGAATATTTAAGGGAGATCTTTTTCTTTTTTCAAAATCTCCATTAATGAAAACTTCACAACCCCAACTGATTTCTCATTTTAGTGTCTCATTACCCCATATCTTCATCAAGTGTACCTTGTTTAAAAATGAATTTTTCTATATGTTTGAAGAATTTTCTCAGATCTTTTCCATTTCAAACTTCCCATACTCTTAAAATCATTAATAAAATTCTCATTAGTAGTTTTGTTCTACAGAAAGAATTTTAATAATTATTTTAATAATGATTTTAATAATTAAGTTATTGGAATATGCATAATGACATGTCGATTTTATGTTTCAGAACAAGTTTCAGGTCAGCGCTTATTTTCCCAGAGCTCGTTGGTATGACTACAGCACGGTAAGAACCTACATTTTGTGAAGAATCAGACTGGCCCATGCTGGCTAGAAGGGTGGCCAGCACGTTCTCTTGACTTTGAGGCACCTCATTTCCAAGGCAGTAGTTTTCAACCTTACAGCTAAGCAAGATTTGCTTATGTAAAAGTATACACAAAAGCATAATTAGGTAAAACCTGCCGCCCATATCACAGTGACTTTTCTTCCACCCCCATCTTTCCTGGAGGATACAGAGAAAAGACTAGATTTCCAGAGTTCTAAACAAAGCTGAAATCAGCGATTTTTCTCCTTTGACTTGCTGTTTCTTGCTGACTTTCCAGCAGGCTTAGCGAGACTTGTTGTATTGAAGCTCGCAGCATTCATTCCATCTCTTTATCTTCATCCTTCCCTGCCTGTATTTTCTCTTCTAGGAATCTGGCAGTGTATCAACAGGGCAGTGGAAAATCCTGAACGCTCCCCTTGACCACATCAACCTTCACATCAGAGGAGGCTACATCCTGCCTTGGCAAGAGCCTGCGATGAACACTCACGCCAGGTAAGGAGACCAATGGTCCCAAAGGCCTCCCTTTGTCCTTGGCCTCACCTTTGTAATGAGGTCGCCTCGAATGGAGCTGCTTGCCTTAACCAGGGCTCAGGGGATAAATAAACCCACTTACAGATGGTCTCATTGATTCAATTCTGTAAGTACCTTCTGAGTGACTTAGGGGAGGTTGCGTTCATGAAGTCAGTCTTAGGGAGATCTTTTATCTGTAGCTCTGTGTCCAAAGCCTAGGACAAAATTATTTTTTAATTTCTTTTCTTTTCTTTTCGTGAGAGAGAGAGAGAGAGACAGTGCACATGGGGGTGAGAAGGGGGAGAGGGACAAGGGAGTTGAAGAGAATCGTAAGCAGACTCCATGCTGAGCACCGAGTTGGAGGGCTCCATCTCATGATCCTGAGATCATTACCTGAGCCAAAATCAAGAATCCAATGCTTAACCAACTGAGCTGCTCAGTCACCCCTGGGCAAAAATTTTCTTGAGGACAGTAGCATTTACCTCTTTCCACATTATTAAAAAAAGCTGGGAATATTAATGAATTCTTTGATTTGTGATGGCTGTCCAAGGATGATTTAGTACTTATTTCGAAGTCTGCTTTGGTCAACTCAATATAGTTTATTTTTATTTATATATTTTATTTATATTCATATATTTGTGTACATTTACTAAATTAAAGGGAACATGCTATGTCAAGAGAGACACACATAAAAAAAAAAACTATAACCATTTAAAAAGATGTTAACTTAGCCTTGTGGTATAAAGCATGATTTCATATGAAAGAGGGCTTTGAGCTGAGTCTTGAATAATAAATAGTATTTGAATATATGAAGACAAGGAAAGAAATATTCTGGGAGTATTAAACAGCTAAAGGTGAAAAATGAGTCTGGTTTGGGGAGTAGTAGACTGCTCAGTTTAATTGGAGTGCAGATAGGGAGAGGGATGAAATGCAAAATAAATGCAATTCAAGCGTGGTAGGATCAGGTCATGGAAGGTTGTAAATGCCAAGACAGAAATTGCATTTTATTCTGTAGCAATCAGGAAGCTACTGAAGGGTTGTTTGGTGGTTTTCTTCCTAAGGAATTCATATCTTATATGTGTATTTGTTTAGGTATCTATTTTTTTAATTCATAAGAAAACCATGTCTAACAAATTTGTATTAATTATTAAAAAATAAATCTTTTAAAAATTAAGTATTTTGAGATGTATTCAAATCAAAGGACATCAATTATACATATTTGGTGTTTATTTACCATAATTATTTATAAGCTTCTATAAAGAAACCACTTCAGGGACGCCTGGGTGGCCCAGCGGTTAAGCATCTGCCTTCAGCTCAGGGCATGATCCTGGAGTCCCGGGATCGAGTCCCACATCAGGCTCCCTGCAGGGAGCCTGCTTCTCCCTCTGCCTATGTCTGTGCCTCTCTCTCTGTGTCTCTCATGAATGAATAAATAAAATCTTTAAAAAAACAATAAAAATAAAGAAACCACCTCAAAATTTCAAACAAATATTTTCTTTCATTGCATAAAATAATTTAAATAGGACTCTTTAATAAAAATTGGTTTGCACATATATCCTTTGAGATGGAATCCATTTCTATTTGGAAAATATATTTCCACAGACAAATATCTAAGTACATCTCAGTGTAATGGTATTCATGTTTCGATGTGTTATATAGTAGACATTCATGTGTATAATTTTTAAAATAAAATTGTTTTAAACCATGTAGGAAACCTTAATATTTAAGGGGTGTGCAATAAGCTCTTTTGTAAAGAAGATGCCTTTTAACCTACCTATTTTTAGAACTCTATGTGCATTTTTATGTGCATTTTAATCCATTAATTTTTTTGTTGTTTTGGGTGAGTAATACTTTCAACAGAAACCATCCTTCATTCTTACAACCTCTAATCTAGATAAAAATAACTCCTTTTTTTCATAGCCGACAAAAATTTATGGGATTGATTGTTGCACTGGATGACAATGGGGAAGCTGAAGGCCAACTATTCTGGGATGATGGCCAAACTATTGGTGAGTAGCATTCTAGGAGGATGGAGTTCTAGAGGGTCTCAGGAAGAATTGATGGAGTAAGTTGTGTATAGGCAGGAGGGCTTGGGAACTATGGCACTGCGGTAGGGTGATCTAAGAGTAGGGAGAGAAGAATAATGAAAATGAAGATGATGATGACTTTGCTAATGATAGTGAAGAATACATTTTGAGCACTTATTCTGCTCCTGAAGCACGCCACGAGCTAGGTGCTACTATTTTCATTTTACAGATGATAAGATGTTAAGTTACTTGCCAGAGATTGCACAGCCACTAAGGGTAGGAGCAGGGAGTTGAATCCATGTCAATCTGACTTGAGAGCCTGACTTCCTAACCACTCTCCCCTGCTTTGAGCCTTTATCATCACAGCTGTGTCAACTCTTACGGCTATGCGCTTACTACATCGGCAAAGGAAAAACCAGTCAGTAGCCTCCACATTTCCTCATCTGGGGTATCTATTCTTAGTTCAACTAAGATTTTCTGGTTTTACAACATCTTGATCGTGGCCTGAAACTGTCTTCCATATGCACACCCCCACACTACCCTGGAGTGAAAGAGTACTATCCTTAGTGACTACTATCCTTGACTTGACCACTATCCTTAGTGTTCCTCAGAGAGATCATGATTATCCTAATCAGTAATTGTGACCCCTTTACTGTATACAAGATTATATGCTACCATTGAAGCAATGAGTAGTTGCTCATTCTTTTTTCTTGTTTGCAGATACCTATGAAAATGGAAACTATTTCTTGGCAAACTTTACAGCAACTCAGGTAAGACAAATAGTCTTAATTTATTCAATAAAATATATTGAATTTTATAAATCCATCCCCAGTTAGCTACAGGTTAAACATAATCCCTTAACAGTATCAAAATAAAATCCCACATCTTAGTAGGAGGAACTTCCTACCTTTACATTTACAAATTGGGTCTTTTAACATTAATATAAGGGAGAAACAGTCCTTATTTTGACAATTATCTGGTATCTATCAGTCTTATAAAAAGAAAATTTATAATTCATATAGTGCCAGTGAAAAAATGAGTCTTCAAATGTATGACATGTTTTCTGGGGATGAGACAGTATTTTCTGGCTGACAATATTTTGTAGGATAAATGCTAGATCGCTTATCTATTGCACAACAATGGTGTATAATAAACAACCTCAAAACTTCAGCAGCTTGTAACAATCAATGCTTATTTAGTCCATGAGTTTATAGTGTTCAGATTATCTTGTCTGCACTTGGCTGATCTTGGCTGGCTTGCAGTCACTTGACTGTTTGGCTGCTTGGATGATCTTTGCTGTACTCACATACCTGGCAGCTGGCTCCTTGATGATCTAAGAAAAGGAAATATTCAATTGGTATTATGGAGAATTAACAAGACTTTGAGATTGATTGCAAGCAGAATCAGGGGAAAATGAAGAAAAAAGGACATAGCTTGAAGTAAATGGGTGTGCTGAAGTAAATGGGTGTGCTGAATCTTATTGATTCAGGAAACTCTACCGTTAAATTGCCTGGAATTTTGCAAGCCAGTCCTTATATTAAAATGATCTAAGATGGCCTTATGGGCAGGTATGGGCAGGACCTTTTTTATGAGGTAGAGGGCAAAAACAGAAGTGAAAATGCTTGAGCACTTTTTAAAATCTCCAATTGGCAGTAAGTTGACTAACACCCTATTAGGAAGGGAAAGGCAGATGGCCAAGCCCAAAGGCAAAGGTGGGATAGAAAACCTCATCCAGAAAGGGAGGGCATTGCCAAAATTACAAGGAAAAGGGTATGAATAGCAGGAGTGAATAATTGGAGAAAATTATACAACCAAACTACCAGTCATGTTAAATGACCCACAGATAACTGATATCATTCTCAGACTAGGAGGATCACTCTATGTCAAATCTGGAATTTGCTTCTCTATAATTTTTACCTATTGATTTGCATTTAAGGAATATATAACACAAATCTATTGGGTTTCTTTTCTGCATAAGAGTGCTTCAGTTATTTGAGGATGTCTGTCATATATACTTTCTGTCTTCTTTTGGAATTATACATCTGCAGGCTAACTTTTCACTTCTTCTGCTTTGTGCTTATGTGAGTTTCCAGACCTGGTTATTCTGTTTGGACCACAGTTAGTCTAGATTCCTCTTAAAACCTGATACCAAGGATTGAAAGAATATCTTAGAGCTGCGTTAACCAGTATGATAGCTACTAGCCACATGTGACTTTTTTCTTGGGAGAGAGAGAGGGGAGCATGTTCATGGCACCTGATGGGTATACCCAAGAAGAGTTGGGCAGAAGGAGAAGGAGAGAGAATCTTAAGCAGACCCAGTACCCTCTGTGGAGGGTGATGTGGGGCTCTAGCTCATGACTCTGAGATCATGACCTGAGCAGAAACTAAGAGTTGGACATTTAATCAACTGAGCCACGCAGGTGCCCCATGTGACTTTTGAACACTGGAAATGTGACTAGCCTAATTGGAAAGATTGTAAAATAACTCATTAGTATTTTTATATTGAATACATGTAAAAATAATGTTTTGGATATGTTGTGTTAAATAAAATGTATTTTCAAATCGATTTCTCCTGTTTCCTTTTATTTTTAAAAAATGTTCTATGAGAACATTTATAATTACATATATGGTTAGCCTTATACTTCTGTAGGATGGCATAAACTTAATACTGCAAAACAGGCAACCTCAAAACATCAGTGACACGAAACAATAAATAGTTCATTGCCCAACTATTACCTTTTTAGCTATACTCTATTTTCTTACTGTTATTGCCACACATTGTGTTAATTTTTTAAACACATGTATTAGATGTTATAAATCTCATGGTCAGCTAAAACTTTCAAATTGTCTTCATATACATGATTGTCAGGTCATGCTCTCTCCATCTTGCAGTTGCCTTTTTTGAAACTAAGTGCAAGACTTTGTATACTAATTAAATGCATAAATTCTGTTCCTAACTTAAGAAAAGTTGAAGACTACATATTTTTCCTCTCAAGATATTGTTTTTTAAATGAAACTATTGACTTAGAAGTCCTGGATTTTAGTTATATTTGTACTGTTAACCAATTGCTTAGCCAAGGGAAGACACCTCCCCTGTTTAATCTGTTTCTTTATTATAAAGCATTACATTTCCCTTAGTCTCAAACTCTAAAACTCCATTCATCTATTCATCTGTTATTCTCCAAAGATGTGATAAATGAATTCTTGTTTCCACATGATATTTGATGGCATTTTTCCCCCTAAAGATCAGAGGCTTGACATGAAAGAAAGCTTCTAACTTTCTCTGGGGGAAATGATCAATGGTGTGAGGGCTAGGATGGGGACTTGGAGGTGTGGAGCTGATTTGTAGCATTTGCTAATTCCTGTGATGTAAATCTTCACCATTTTACCAATTTCAGACAATCAACTGGCTTGGAAGATTCCAGGCAATTTAACAGTAGGCTCTCCCAAATCAGTAAGCACTGGCCTCAGACACCCAATATTTCAAGTTATGTCCCTTTGTCTTCATTTTCCCTTGATTCTGTTTATGCAGTCAGTCTCAAAGCTTATTAATTCTCCAATTGAACAGATTTCCTTTTCTTTCTACTGCTGCCATGAGAGTCAAGGAGTTTATCTCCTTGATGCATTGCATACAGTAGTCCTGGTATTCCTCATCCTCTCTTACATCTTAACTAGTCTTACTTCATTTGCTCAGCACCAGGTCCTGGAGCTCTTGCACTCAACAAGCGTTTCTTTTTCTTCAACATGTCCCTGACCCCATCTCCTTCCTCATTCATTTCACCTTTCTAAATCCATCTACCCTTCCAGGCTTCCTGAATTCCCATGTCTTTCCTAAGTCCTTCCTTGATCGTCCTATTCTGTAGTGATTTCTCCTTTCTCTTACAACCCATAACAAATATTCACTATGATTTTCATTTGGTCGCAAAGTACTACTTACCTCACGTTACTTTAACCCTTGTGTTGGTACTTAAATAGTTGATGATTTAGTCAAATCCCTATATTTGTCCCAAACTGTTCTTAGTCTAGGGACTGTTTGCTGTGATTCTTTGTTCACGCTGTATTAACAGTGCTATGCACATAGGCACATCATGATTCCAACCGTATCTGTATCATTTAGCTACTCACTTTTCAGCCCGAGCCTCAATTTCCTCATCCATAGAGAGATAATGATGTTTGCTTTTCAAAATCCTTGCAAGAATTAGTAATAATAATATAGGTAAATTAATTTTCATTATGTTGGTGTTACCAAGTTTATCATAGCAGGTACTCAGGAAGTGTATCTTCATAAAGTATTTAAGAATAAAAACAGCAAACTAACACCACAAGAGTAATATGAGGTTTCTTAATATTTTAATGTGAAGTAGAGTCTCTCAACAGATGGATTATGTATTTTTTTCTCTTTACATGTTTTTTATAGAATCTATTGAAAATCCAGACCATACACAATAAGTATTTGAGTGACTCAAACCCGCTGAAAGTTGGATATATTAAAATCTGGGGGGTAGCCTCTACTAATGTGACACAAGTTACTTTCACCTATGACAACCAGCAATTCATGGAGATGAATTTCAAGACTGACTATCAGGTATGTCTCAAAGGAATGTTATGAATTAATTTTATCATCATTCTTTTATTTGCTTATATTTGAAAGATTTTATAGATATGTGCAATAGTATGTTCCTGAAAAGTTGCAAGTGTTAAATCCTATTGTAAAATGTGTAGCATCGATGGCCCTCCCAAAGCGGTCCAGGGATCAGGATCAATGGTCTGGTGAAATCCTTTTCATGTGCTTCCCAGAAGTGGTGCCATGTGTCAAGTAAAGTTAGTCTCTCAGGCTAGTGTCACAAAACGTTTTTTTTTTAAATAAATTAATTTTTATTGGTGTTCAATTTACCAACATACAGAATAACACCCAGTGCTCATCCCGTCAAGTGCCCCCCCTCAGTGCCCGTCACCCATTTACCCCCAACCCCCACCCTCCTCCCCTTCCACCACCCCTAGTTCGTTTCCCAGAGTTAGGAGTCTTTATGTTCTGTCTCCCTTTCTGATATTTCCCCCACATTTCTTCTCCCTTCCCTTATATTCCCTTTCACTATTATTCATATTCCCCAAATGAATGAGAACATACACTGTTTGTCTTTCTCCAATTGACTTACTTCACTCAGCATAATACCCTCCAGTTCCATCCACGTTGAAGCAAATGGTGGGTATTTGTCGTTTCTAATGGCTGAGGAATATTCCATTGTATACATTGACCACATCTTCTTTATCCATTCATCCTTCGATGGTAGTGTCACAAAACTTAATTGGTTTCTGCAGCAGAGGCTAAAATGAAAGTGTAAACCTCTAAAATCATTGGAGATTTTTCTCCCTCCTTCCTGGAATTATTCGTGTCCCGGGTCAAATTGATAGGTCTTATAGGTTGGTGAAAATTGGCAGTCTACTGTGGGAATCATCAAAATGAATATTCTCACTTGTGATGTGAGATAAAATTATTTGGTTAACAAAACAGAACGACAAAGATAGCAGACCCTAGTAGACCCTATAGCAGAGTCTGTTTTCAGAGCCGCCTACATGGAAGACAAATTACCAGTAGAATTACCAAGAAGTAAACACAGAAGGAAAAGTATCCCACTTTAGAAGACTAGACTGGTCCTAAGTATGCTCCAACGAACTGTAGTGGTCATTTAGCCAAGTGAAAATGGGTTAAGTATAGTTCCTACCCTCCACCCAGTGAAAGAGTTACCTCCCTGCTGATAATTGGATTTTGGAAAATGACCCTCTGAACACTCAGATGGCTTCACTCTCTCTAGTCCTTTCTAGTTCTCTACTTTAACACGTTTTTCCTAGACGGTTGAGCTCAAGACAACCCACTGCAAGTAATTACTTCCAGTAATTACTGATGCAGACCTTCTTTGTAGGAAACTGTAGCATATGGGGATGGTGAAAACATGAAACTGGACTGCCCTTAGAAAGGTTAAAATCTAGAGGCAAGGCAAAGAGATTTTTATAAGCATTGGTTTTAAAGCTGAGAATATTAGCAAACAGTGTGGTGTAGCCTGATGAAGTGGAGAGACACAGATTCCCAACACAGGGATCACACACACAACACATCCCCCCATTTATCTGTCTGGTATCAGTGACCTGAAAAGGAATCTTTATATCTTTTTATTGCACTCTGGAAAAAAAATGAATACATTGCTTTTTGTTAAATTCTAATTTGAAAAATGACTTAAAAGAGTTATGTAAGAAGTTCTCAAATACCAATTTTATCTCTTCTTTTCTGGCAGACGCTGATTATTCAATTGACTGACAAGATTATCAGCCTAGAAAAGCTAAGTGAGGTTACCTGGATATACGGTGGCCCAGTAGTTTCTACTACACCTATGACAAGTACATTCCCAACAAGTTCTCGACATCCTTCTACAGTTACTACTAAGAATACGACTTTTGAGTCTACTACCACTAGTACTGCTAATACTAGTACTGCTTTTCCCATCACCACCACTGTTTTCCCAATAAGTACTACCGAGTTAACAACTAGTCTTACAAGTACTACTAAGTTTACAACTACTCCTACTGTTCCTAATACCACCACATCTTTCCCAATCAGTACTACTGAAGTTACAACCAGTCCTACTGTTCCTAATACCACTACTACTACCACTAGAGGTGCTAATACTAGTACTGCTTTTCCCATCACCACCACTGTTTTCCCAATAAGTACTACCGAGTTAACAACTAGCCTTACAAGTACTACTAAGTTTACAACTACTCCTACTGTTCCTAATACCACCACATCTTTCCCAATCAGTACTACTGAAGTTACAACCAGTCCTACTGTTCCTAATACCACTACTACTACCACTAGTACTGCTAATACTAGTACTGCTTTTCCCATCACCACCACTGTTTTCCCAATAAGTACTAGTGAGTTTACAACTAGTCCTACTGTTCCTAATACCACCACATCTTTTCCAATCAGTACTGTTGAAGTTACAACCAGTCCTACTGTTCCTAATACCACTACTACTACCACTAGAGGTGCTAATACTAGTACTGCTTTTCCCATCACCACCACTGTTTTCCCAATAAGTACTACCGAGTTAACAACTAGCCTTACAAGTACTACTAAGTTTACAACTACTCCTACTGTTCCTAATACCACCACATCTTTCCCAATCAGTACTACTGAAGTTACAACCAGTCCTACTGTTCCTAATACCACTACTACTACCACTAGTACTGCTAATACTAGTACTGCTTTTCCCATCACCACCACTGTTTTCCCAATAAGTACTACCGAGTTAACAACTAGTCCTACTGTTCCTAATACCACCACATCTTTTCCAATCAGTACTGTTGAAGTTACAACCAGTCCTACTGTTCCTAATACCACTACTACTACCACTAGAGGTGCTAATACTAGTACTGCTTTTCCCATCACCACCACTGTTTTCCCAATAAGTACTACCGAGTTAACAACTAGTCTTACAAGTACTACTAAGTTTACAACTACTCCTACTGTTCCTAATACCACCACATCTTTCCCAATCAGTACTACTGAAGTTACAACCAGTCCTACTGTTCCTAATACCACTACTACTACCACTAGTACTGCTAATACTAGTACTGCTTTTCCCATCACCACCACTGTTTTCCCAATAAGTTCTACTGAGTTTACAACTAGTCCTACTGTTCCTAATACCACCACATCTTTCCCAATCAGTACTACTGAAGTTACAACCAGTCCTACTGTTCCTAATACCACTACTACTGCTAATACTAGTACTGCTTTTCCCATCACCACCACTGTTTTCCCAATAAGTACTACTGAGTTTACAACTAGTCCTACTGTTCCTAATACCACCACATCTTTCCCAGTCAGTACTGTTGAAGTTACAAGCAGTCCCGCTGTTCCTAATACCACTATGCCTTCCCCCACAGGCACTACTGAGAGTAATAGTACTCTTCCTGTAACAGACACGCCTTTCCCCACTAGTGCTTCTTCATTGACAACTACTCCTACTCTTCCTGTTACCACTACACCTTTGTCAACTGCATTTACAACCAGTCCTACTGTTCCTAATACCACTATGCCTTCCCCTACAGGCACTACTGAGAGTAACAGGACTCTTCCTGTAACAGACACGCCTTTCCCAACTAATGCTTCTTCATTGACAACTAGTCCTACTCTTCCTGATACCAGTACACCTTCTCCTGCAAGTACCGCTATTGCTAGAACTAGTACTATCCTTCCTATCACAAGCACTCCCTTTCCAGCAAACACTATTGAAGTTACAACTAGTACTGCTGTTACTAATACCACTATGCTTTCGCCTATAAATACTACTGCTAACACTAATACTACTGCTAACACTAATACTACTCTTCCTATCATAACCACTCCTTTCCCAACAACTAATACTAATGCTAGCACCAATACTACTGTTCTAATGACCACTGCTCTTTCTCCAACAAGTATTGATATAACTAGTACCAAAAGCACTGTTCCAATTACAACTCTTCCTTCTACAAATAGTGATGCTGATAGTACCAGCAATAGTTTAACTATTATGACTACTTTTTCTGCACGTACTTATACTATGGATACTACCATTTCTATGGTAACCACTTCTCCTAGAAGTACTGATGTTGCTGGCACTGGCAACCATACTCCTATTACCAGTTCTCCTTCCCCTACAATTTCTGGTGGTAATAGTACTAGTAATACTATTCCCACAGTGTCCACTCCTTCTACAGATATTTACACTACTAGCACTAATACCACAGCTATCCCCACCACCAGTTCTCTAAATAGTACAGGGCATGCAGTAAATATTACTGATACAGATAAGTCTAGCAGTGTTCCAGGTAACACTACCTATGTTTCTATTTCAAATACCACAATAACCTTAGATACATTAGTGAGTGCTCTTCTAGATGCAGTAGCTCACCATCGGGTAACAACAAACTCTACAGTTAGTTATTTACCTATTACTGCAACTAATGCTACCACAGATATTACAAATATCACCACATCTGCTTTAAATACTACCATTCTTGGTAGAACAACAATGAATGCTCCTGCTACTGTATCTACTTATATTGCAAATGTCACAAATGCTACTCTAGTTCCGTGATTAATACTCAAAGCAGGAAAATTACTACAGACATCTATTTAAAACAACAGATATAAAAAATCAATTAGCAGATACATGATCTTATGCTACATAAATCTTCACAGATATTAACACTAGCTTTTATAGATATGGCTACTCCAAGCACTGTGGGTGTGGCAGATAGGTCTAAAGATGTATCCATGACTACATTGCTAAATGTAATTAAAGAAGATGTGAATACTTATTTTGCAGCCAGAATATATACTCTTATTTTAAAAATGATAACCCCTATAGCCCTATCAATTAAACTAGATATTTTATGTATCCTTGCTAGAGATTTCACGGATGTGTTTGGTATCTCAGACAATACCATATGAGGCTCCATAAATACTATTGCTTTAGATATAGTTATTGAAGTAACCTAACTTATTCTTGGGTTACAGGACATGATATTGTTCCTGGAATACTGATGATATGTGGCACTCACATGGCCCCTGTAGCAACAATTATTAATATTATAGTAAATTATTTAACTAGTAATGTTAAAATCATGCTTTATTTTTCTATGACTTTTCCACATGCCATGTCTACCAGTATAGCAATTGACTATCACATATCCTGAAAGTATTATTGCTTCTAAAGCAATCCTAGCTGTAACTATAGATATGGAAAGTGCTACTATTGTAGATTTTGTACATACTTGGACGCCAGGAACTAAAACAATTAAATTAAAAATATTAGATGTTACCTTTATTATCATAGGAAATAAAAATGTGATTATAGATGTTAAAAACATAACTTCCTAAACTTCGCAACCACTACTTCCATAGATATTACTGATACTCTTAATATAAATTTGATAACTACCCTGGGATCAGAGTTCTTATTTACTTTTAATTGACTTATAATCTTGTTTACTTTTTTCCTTATCTGCCAGTTTTTCCATTATTACTTCACTGTGAACTCTCCTGTGTTAGGACTTTGAGCATTCTTGGTCTTTCATATCCAAATTTACTATTTATCCTTGGTCTGTTACTTTCATAGATCATCCAGACCCCATAAGTAGACTCATGGTCATAACCAAATATAGCCAGTTGAATGGTATTGAAGGCTTAACCCTAGAACAGTATTCTCAAAATGTAGTTTGGAGACTCGTGGAAGGCCACGGAACTCTTTCTGGGGTTCACAAGGTCAAATATATTTTCATAATACTATGTTCTTATATTCCTTTTTTATTCTCATTCTCTATTTGTAGACAGTGGCATTTTCCAGAGACTTTATGCTGTATGGTGTCACAATAGATGAATATAAAAACAGATACAAGGATCTAGCTGTTTCTAAGATAGACATTAACCAGATTTACAAAATATAAAATATCATTCTTTTCACTATTTTATGCTTTGAAAATATAGTTGTTTTTCATAAAAATGTATTATTTATGTAAACATGTAGTTGATATATTGTTATTTTTAATGAATGAAAAAATAAATATTTTACAAAGTAGTTTACAAATGCCTCAAGTTTAATTTGGAATGCAGTACATATTAGCAGATATAAGCCACCTACACAAATCCAAAGCAGAATCTTCACTAAATTTAAAAGTAAAGGTTTTTTTTAAGATTTTATTTTCTTATTTGAGAGAGAGAATGCATCTGTGGAGGGAGGAGCAGAGGGAGAGAGACAAGCAGATACCAAACTGAACGTAGAACCCAATGGGGGACTCAGTCCCACAACCCTGAGATCATGACTTGAACAGAAATGAAGAGTCAGATGCTTAACCAACTGAGCCACCTAGATGCACCTGTAAAGAAAGCAATTTTGAGACCAAGTAGTTTGAGGATCACTTCTATAGTCAAATACATTATGAACTTCTCCAGCACTCAGGAACTCCAGCATCTGTGTAAATTAAATTACATTGTAAATTGTAAATTGTAAATTGTAAATTAAATTAAAATGGCTGTTTAAGGTTCTAACTACACAAGAATGTCTACCCCCTACTATGAACACATCTGCATGGCCTGACCTAACACCACACCTGTACTGTTGTGTGGCTGGCCTGACAGGGTTCCACATGAGGGACAAAGATTTATCAGTTAGTTTCATTTGCCTTTTCGAATCTTCCCACAAACTGCACTCTTCTGAATAAAGTTGATAGACCTTATACTAGGGCCTATATGCCTCTTAACTTGACCTTCCAACTCAAACAAAACAAAACTCATAATTCCAAACTGTATCAATTACCTTAGTCATAGACTCCCTCACTTGTCTTTACCGAGGGAGCTCCAGTGCCCTTATTTTGTTGGTACCACAAACCCTGATATAATACAAAGTGTTCCGTGTCCTAGGGCACATGGAGTCCTACAGCCAGCCCACCACACCAAGACAGATTAGTTGGCTAAAGGCTTTGTTTAAAGCACTTGGGATTTGGAAAACTAGGGATTAATTTGTTCAAACAACCACAGTTCTGTAGTTACTGAAATTCATTCCCTTTGTGTATATAAATCAATCATAATTGAAAATTTGGGATCTTGAAAAGGTAAATACTCCTAAAAACAAAAAGAGCAATAGAAACAACAATAACAAAAACCAAACAAAGTAGATAAAAGGAAACCTGGACTTCAAAGTACATACAATACTAGCACCTAATGCATAGACACCAAACTTCCAGTAAAGCCAGTAGTGTTCTTTATGGAAAACACAAAACAACAACAATGACAACAGTAACAACAAAGAATTTGGTCCAGAAGCATGCATTACATATTGCATTGGATTATTTAATTGGATTGTTTGCTACTTAGTTGCCTTTATATTCTTCAGTCCCTCTTTTTCACTCATGATTTTGCGTTTTAAGTATTATAAACCAGGCATTTGTAGAACATTCCTCATTTGGGATTTGTCTAATATTTCCTAATGATTGCATTGATGTTGTATATTTTGGGCAGAAATACCATGAAGTGATGCTCTGTCGCTCTTGTGCACCACAGCAGCACATATGTGACATCTATTTGTCCACTTTTGGTGACATTACCTTGATTGAGATGCTGTCTTCCAGGTTTCTCCACAGGAAAATTACTCTTTTTTCTCATAGTTAGTAACAAATACATCATGAGGAATACTTTGAGGCTAGGTAGCTCTATGATTCCCCTCCTGTCTGTTTTGTCATGCATTGATAAGTCTTGCCTGAATCAATTATTACTATGAATTTTTCAAATGGTTTTATAACTTCACATTCCTCCTTCACTCATTATTTGGCATTATAGTGGTTGTTTGTCCTTTACCATTTATTTTTTTAAATTCTTGGTAAAAAAAATAAATAAAAATAAATAAAATAAATAAAAATAAAAAAATAAAAAAAATAAAATAAATTCTTGGTAAATAGCCACTACCCTGAGTCCCCTAAATATGCGCCTTCTCTGAGGTCCCCACATAGCCTCACAATCCAACAACTAAAATTCTAAACTCCTAGCAATCCAGGGGGCTTACAGGCTCTTCTTTTCTGGGGCCACTCTAACTGGTGAGTGCCTATGTAATACCTTCAATGTGTGAAGCCAGAACGGGATTCCTGCCTGTGCAGGAAATGGATTAGTCAGGAGCAATTGAACTTCTAGCTCAGAGATACTTGGTCTTGGGTACATATGGGAAGCACTTGGAGAGTTTCATAATTCACTAATGCCTGGACTCTATGCCCACCACCCAGGTAATTGCAATATGGAATCAAGGTTGGGAGCCACCATGTTACTGGAATAGTGAGGCAGGGAGCTTTCCTGCTCAGTTTCTGCTGACTTGATGGTAGTAGGAATTTAAAAATTGATGGGGAATCTAGCCAACAGGGGAAAGAAACTAAGTTCTCAGTTTCCTGAAAGAGAGAGAGAGAGAGACAGAGATAGGGGAAAAGAAGGAAAAAGGAGGGAGGGGAAGAAGGAGTGAAGAGGAAGAGAGAGAGGGAGATAGGAATGTGACAAAATATAGAAAATGGATAAAGGTCAATAAAGGATATATAAGAATTCTTGCAACTTTTCTATAAATTAGAAATTGTACCAAAATATTAAACAAGAGGGACATCTGGGTGACTCAGTTGGTTAAGCATCTGACTCTTGATTTCAGCTCAGGTCTTAATCTTGGGATTGTGTGATGGAACCCCACATCAGTCTCTGCACTCAGCAGGGAGTCCGCTGGTGACTGTCTCCCACTGCCCTCCCCTCACTCCCATGTTCTCTCTTAAATGAATAAAAATAAATAAATAAAAAATAAATAAATAAATAAATAAATAAATAAATAAATAAATAAAATCTTTAAGAAAATATTCAATAAGAAAGACCGGAGTTAGTGGAAACATGAGCCCATGGTTCCTCTTGTTTTCACACAAACACAGACAAAAAATAATGAGGGAATAAATCCTTTATTTACCCTCCTATTTACATGGGGTTTCTAGTAGAGGAGGTGAGATGAAGAAGGAACTATATTCTCAGTCACTTAGAGTCGACTTCTCAGGGCTAAGGGGTGGCAGCCCCAAGGACAGAATGTTCAGGAAGTTGAGGTCCATCTCTTCCCACCTCAACGTTGAGCCCCTTCCTCCTGCAGTGTGTCTGTCATTAGGCCACTAAGAAACTGCAGTCACAGCTTGTGAGTTGCAAAAAGCCTCAAGGTATCTCATCAAGTCTCCTACCCTAAGTACGATTTTTTTTTAAGTTTTATTTATTTATTCATGAGAGACACACAGAGAGGCAGAGTCTAGGCAGAGAGAGAAGCGGGCTCCATGCAGGGAGCCCAATACAGGACTCGATCCTGGGACTCCTGGATCATGCCCAGGGCCAAAGGCAGAAGCCCAACCGCTGAGCTACCCAGGCTGCCCCTAAGTATGAATGTTTTAAAACATTTCCCCAGAAGTACTGGTCTGAGCTCTCTGTCTAGTATATGTATGATGTAGATGCATCCCCTTGACCTATAGAAATATCATTCTGTATAGGCTGATAGAGAGTTCCTCTCTCTAGGTAGTTGGGAAGGAAATGCTCAGTGGCACTGGGAAACCCTCAGAGGTGGATCATGTGGGAAGGGAAAAAATGACCATTGAGGGGTTTGTAGAAACTTGACCATAGCCCCACAAGGGCAGAGCAGGTGCTTGTCCCAGTTTTTATTCGTTTCAGTGGTTCCTGTTCTAACCTAATGTCAAGCACACAGATGGTGCTCAGCAAATATGTGCACGATCACTACATGCTGAAGTCAGGAGATGGAAAGAAAACTAAAATGAAAGAAGGAAGGCTAAATAAGAACAAGAAATTCAAGGGAACACAAAGGAAAGCAGAGGTGCTTAGGTCCCACACTGGGCTGTGAGCTGGGCAAAGGGAGACTTGGGAAATTCTGGCACAGAACCTGGGGGCGGCTGCCTCGGTAGCTGGAACCTGCCAGGGTAGACGGGACGGTAAGGCTGCTGTGTAAACTGAGGGTTGGCTTCTGAAACCCAGCCAGAAAGGGTGTTTGGTTTTTGTTTTAACCTGGGAGGTTGAAGTTGAAAGAACTTGCTTGGGGGCCTTGGAGTAATACAGAATATTGGAATAGAAATGTCAGACTTGACAAGGCAAAGACAAAAGTGGTCTGTGCTCGTTGTTTTATGCTTCTGTCTGCATCTCATCTTTATCTGCGTGTTTCCTCATGCTGTAGAGAGTAATTTGCGTTCTTCACACAGCTGCCAAACGGCATCAAGCATGTTTGAGGATCAAAAGGAAATCCTCCATTTTCCTTGAATGTTGGGACCACAGAGATACTCAACTGCGAGCACACACAGTCCTCTGGCTTCAGGTGAAACTAGATCTTTCCATAATCATAAACTTTGAAAAACCTCTTTGATTTAAGGATAGCAAGTCCCTCTGCTCACACATTACAAGGCCCAGAAGTGGCCCCAAGCATTAAAAATATCCAAGACTAAGACTGCAGGAGCTGCATGTGAACACTGAAGATGTTGCATAATCTTTGAACGGAGCCTCCAGAATTCTCCAGAAGTTTCAGCACATGTAATGGGCTCAGTATCTGGCACATACCTCACCAAGCCCAGAGCTTATTCTGCTAGGAAGCAGGGCTATGATGTTCAATCAAGGCTGGTCCCCTCAAGCAGTGGTTAACAATTTACAGAGGCCAGATCCCTGGTTTCAAGGGGTTATAATTATGATTATGATTCCTCTAAACACCTTGGGATAGCCAGAGTAGGGGTCCCTTGCACATGAACAATGAGCAAGGCAATTCATAAAGTAGCATGGTGACTTTAAGTCTCAAAGGCACCACACAGGTTCTCAATCTTAGAAAACAGAAGTGCCCCCCCCAGAAGCCCAGAACAGCCATGACCAATACCCCTTTCTTGTCGATTGTGGTTGCAAATTGCAACCTGACTCCACAAACCATTTGGGTCTATTCCCTACTCTGTCCATGTGAACCTTCTTGACATCCCCTGCAGAGTTATGGATT